TTGTAAACGTTATAATTTATGTTATATTAACGTTTTGGCGATGTTAATTAAAGTATTACTTATCGTACTAATTTCAGAAGCTTTCTCAGATCGTGCCCCGGGAATTTTAGAACTATTTTAACAACGTCAGAGAGGTAGTGAATTTTGAGAATGATAATAAAGTAGATTATATATATAAGAGAATCACGTTTATTAAGCGCAGGAGAGTTTCAAGGTGAATATAAAGCTCCAGAGTGGATTTAAATTGTGTTTGGGTTGCACATCGTGAAGCAAAATCAGCGAAGTGAACATATCCCGGGAACACATCTTTTAGCAAAATGGACGACATTTGTTATGCCCATCCGGTATACATTTTTTTATTGCGACCATGTTTGATTACCATAAATACACTATTTTATATCAACATATAAACATATTACATAGATAGGGAAACAATAAAAGGATGGGAAAGTTTTTAGAGAATGGCGTTTGTTTGATGCGTGTACATCATTAACAAAGTATTGTCGCGCGCCAGACTCCCGCCGAGTACCTGTACTCCCTCGGAGAAGGTCTGGTGGCGATGATAAGGGATTCGGAGGTGTTTATCACGGGCGCCGAGCTTGTTTGGTGCTTCGGCTGTCACTGAGCTAGGAGATGGAGAACACAGGAATATACAAAACAATCAATTACAGGATTTTTAACAATCTATTCAACACAATAATCACAATAAATTTCAAAGTGTCCTTTAATAAAGCCTTTATGGCCAATAACTCAAATGCAAATGTCTCTATATATATACAAGGGTCCAAAACACTCTGGCTCTGAGTTATCTGTCTCTCCTCTAATCTGCAATACTCTGCTCTCTACTCTGCTTGTCTCTGCTCTGCTATACTCTGATATACTCGGCTCTGCTCTCTGCTATGCTCTGCTCTCTGCAATACTCTGCTTGTCTACTCCGCTCTGCGTTGCTTGAAAAGAGCTCTCCCTCTTGAGCTATCTCGTCTTTGGGAAGGAGCCCTGGCTCCGGAAGTAACCTCTGCTTCGGGAGTCGCCTTGTCACGGGAGTAACCACCTTTAAACTCTCCTCATAAGAGTGCTTTCACTCTATGAGCTACACTGTCTCTTGGAAGGAGTCCAGGCTCCGAGAGTAACCTCTGCTCTTGGAGTCACCACTTCTCAGGATATACCTCTCTACAACCTCTGCTCAATTCACTCTTGAGCTACACTGTCTCTTGGAAGGGGTCCAGGCTCCGGGAGTATCCTCTGCTCTTGGAGTCGTCACTTCTCAGGAGAAACCTCTGCTCTCGAACGAGATCCACACACTGGGAGTACCTCAGCTCCGGGAATCGCCTCGTCTCAGGAGTAACCTCTGCTCTTGAACGAGATCCACACACTGCTAGTACCTCAGCCCGGGAATCGCCTCGTCTCAGGAGTAACCTCTACTCAAAGAGTGCTCTCACTCAATGAGCTATACTGTCTCCAAAAAGTAACTTCTGCTCAAAAAGTGCTCTCACTCAATGAGCTATACTGTCTCCAAAGAGTAACTTCTACTCAAAAAGTGCTCTCACTCAATGAGCTACACTGTCTCCAAAGAGTAACCTCTGCCCTCGGAGTCACCACTTCGCAGGAGCAACCTCACTACAACCTCTGTAGAGAATAACAACTCTAGAATGTCGATCAAAGAATGAGATTAGACAGAGCTGTTATCTCTCGCCTTGGAGCACCTCAGTTCCGGTAATGTAACCTTGGCTCCGATGAGAGTAAACCTTCCTCCACATACAACCCTGGGTGAGAGTCAGATCGCCTCGACAAAGTAGGAGCATTTATAGCTTGGAGGGGTAATGACTAGGAACCACCAATACTCAGAGCAGAATGACTCACGAATATCGATCAAAGAAATGAGATTAGACAGAGCCAAATCTACTCAGAGAATCTGGAGCTCAAAACTTCTCAAAATGACGTCACTTCCTTCAAGATCAAAGATGGCCGACCGCCGGGAATTGTGGGAACAAGAAAGCAAGATGGCGGACAGCTAATTACCCATTTTATGCCAACCTCAATCAAGAAAATGGCTAACTCACCAAAACACTGGCTGTTGTCTTGTATTTTCTTCAATAGTCGCACCAAATACAATCTGCATCTAACGATTACTGCAACTAATCCAATATATCCAAAATAATGCTCTAATAAGTCCACAGATTAAATAAAACACGCTTGCACATAAATAAATCCAAACTGACGAGGTGTTGTATCTTCAAGATCTTGGTTTACTCTGACTCACGTGGTTAATTGCAAACAATAAAATACAGACACCTCAAGTTGCATCATGGGAAAACTACAACTTAAGTTGGAGGGAAATTCAAATAAAAGAATCTGATTGGCTGATCACCGGTTGCTGGGTACTTAATTATTCTAATTTATTCCACTACAGTCTGCTGATCAGTAAACATCCCAGTGCTTACGTGACATTCTGCATGTACACATTTGAGCCATCAAACTCTCTGAAAGAGTCGACTGACTCCACATATAAAAGTTCAAAATAAAACAAAAACGAAACTCACAATTTTGTCACAGTATTAAATAACAAATCATATCATATCTAATGATGCATATAAGTAGTTATAGAAACGAGAGTTCTGACGCACCTTTAACATTGAGTCCTATGGGGAGGGACACGATTTTTCATAGTACCCTCCCTAACATGGGCTCCAATGGGGAGGGACATCTGTGAGCCTCCCTGAGCTCGAGAGGCACATACGGGGACCCCACCCCTCCCCCCTCGGCGTGGTGGCGTGTACATATTTCGGGAATCTCGGGCCCTAAGGGTAACGGACGCCCTACCCCACGTCTGTACGTTTACTGTAAGGGATACTATTCGAATTCCCGCCAAAAACAATAAATCGATAAACCAGTACGCGTCCCGTTTAACCTTGAAAGCCTGTACCGTCGGTACAGGTTCTGGTAATTTGATACGGAATATTGACAGCCGGTGAAGTAAAATTAATAAAAACGCGTCAGTCGTTGACTGGTAATCGATAATAGGTAAGACCGTACCCGCCGGTACAGGCTCGAGTGATTTCTTACATGTTGTGGCACGTGGGGCGTGACTTAAACAATAAGTTCGTCTCGTTAATTATAGTACGTACCGGAAACAGCCACTAGTCAAAGGGTATATAAAAAGATAAGTTCATTTAGTTTTCATAACGTTAAATACTTAATCACCAAAGATGCCGATTGGAAAATTTCGAGTACCATCTAATATTAAAACAATAAAAAATGGGGAATTTATTGAAACAATTTCGACACCAAAAATTGTTTTAATGAAGATATGCGACGGAATGTTCAGCGCCGTCAACGACAATGGAGTTGACATCAGAAATTACCAAATATGGCCAATCACGGGGATCACAAACGTATGTAATGCCTACGGAACGTGCGCTGGTGTATTTCTAACCCATAATCAAATGGCGCGACTTATCGACAATTTACCACACGTCACTGAAAAATTCATGGAAATTGAATCCAAGAAAAAGGCTGATGTCAAAGAGTGGGACGTTGTATTGGGGGCTCAATTTCGACTCAGCGTTCATCCTAAATTTCGAAGAGTTAATATTAGGGGTAAGGTTTTAAATGATTTGTTACTGATCATAGAACATCGAATATACAATTTAAACTGTCATTCATATTGTGGTTACATGTCGTATTTTTTTTTGTATTTTAAAAAGGTTATCATCTCAATACATACTCCGATGATCCACGGAAACATTTGCCCGATAGAAACGGTATCGTTATGACACGTGCGGTGTTTGAGCTATTTGTGGACAGCCTTATTAAATACGGGCTTGTTCAACCAACCGAACCTCATTGTGTAATAACGGGTCACGCAGAAAAAAGTGAAGCTGATAGTTGTAGTGAATGCAGTTATTTCGACCCCGTGGATTTCAGTAACTAGAGTTAAATATGATGTATCACACAGTAGAAATAAAGACATATATACGTCAATGTAAGTAATATAGTCATTCATACTTAGGTTTTTGAACATGATAGGTCGATTATTAGTTTTGAGCGTTATTGGAACATGCTGCATTTGTCAAAACATCAATGTTACTCGACACTTTAATGAAACTGAAAACGTAACACCTTATTACGTACTGAAACCATATATTAGTAGTAGTTACGATGTAAATCTAGAGACTCCAATGGCCTTAAGCTTTACCGGAGGTGTTTTAACTTTTGTTATCATAGGTGAGTTACGCGATTTTTGACAAACTATAACACAACGTAATGTTTGGTTTATATTTAATAGTGGTAACTAATGCTATATCATTTTTAGGTAATGTGTTATGGCTTAGAATGTTAACGAGATCCAAATTACCGATGGTTAAGGATGAAAGACAAAGGGAGCCTATGATAGCCATATAAAATTCATACAATGTGTACAAAAGATATACGACAAATAAATAAGAATGTATTAAACTACAAGATCTTGTAGATCAGAAAATCCCTTAATTTGTTTGTTTATTGTTCTTTAATTGTTTAAAACTTAGTGAAACATTCGATGTAAGTTTATTAATTCCAAAGTTTCAACATTTGTACAAAATCATTAATTACAGACCTACACACAAAGTTGCAATGTCATCTACTTAGAAACACGTGTATATTCGATTAGGGTGACATCTTCAAATATTAAAATACTCTGTACGATGCTGACATCTAGTGGTAGTTGGATATCACAACATTGATACAAATATATAACATTTATCGAGTATACATATTCAATAATTGTTTAACATTAAACACCGTTGGAATGTAATCATATGATATTGTTTACACGTGTATTGCGATTTAGCATTGAAATTGCGAACCGCGATTGAGTAAATTAGCATTTGAGGCTTTTTGAACATCCCATCAATGAGGATTTAAATCGACCTCTTTAAGAAAACTTTAAGACAACTATGTTGTTGTTTTTTTTGAAAATTACATGCAGAATTTAAAAAAAAAAACGTCAAATAGAATAAATTCTGGTCTTGAATAAATATGCAGATTTCCTAAAATCTTTTTTAAATACCTTTCCTATATTTCAATACTATTTAGCGATTCCTCAATTAAAACAAAAATACGAAGTGAACCAAGTAACTTGGGAAGATCACATGAATTACATGAGTTTAATTGATTTATATCGGTCTAATTAAATACAATGGTAAATAAGACAGCTATAATTAAGTAGGCAAAGTCTGTATTTAGTCCAACAAACAAGTTTACGCCTACAGGGGTGATATTCATATCATTGTATTCAAATATGTCCTAATAGAGTGTTTAAAATGGCAGCCATTTTGCTTTGTTTTTACGTGGTCTCTTAAGAGCTTTGGCCGGAATACCCGGTACTTTGTACGATGTGGCGCTTCTTTTGTAAATGAACCTAGGTGTATTATCGGTATAGCTAGGCATCCCTATTGCATCATCATCATCATCACTGGTTGATAGCCCCGTGTCATGATTTTGTTTACTGGAGGTACCTTCCTTAAAGTCGCTATCGGATGGGGCATCCAATTTATTTTCCGAGGAAAACGTAGATGCATCATTACTCCCGGAATCAACTTGCTTCGTTTGACTAGGTTTACGTGTACCTATTCCACCATCCATTTTATCAGTATTAGTTGGCGACTGATCTATGGTTTTGTTATTTCCCTCCTCAGTTTTACGCGTGGAATTTTCGAGTCTGATATATTTATCATAAGGTATCAAAACAGATTTGATCATAGCTGCAATTTTTGGATAAAATTATGAACGGATTTAATCAATAGACCCAAAACTGATGTATTACGTTTGATCAAGTCCTTTCTAAACTTCTTGCTTTTTGATTTGGTCGCGATGTGTTGTAAAACTCTTTTATGTCGTTTCAATTTTTGTTTATAAAAATTCGCGATAGGGAGACTACCGTGAAGTACGTTAAGAGCTATTTCACCTAGAACTCGAAGTTGCGTTTCAGTAATTGTATTCAATAAAACTTTCATTTGCTGCAAAGTACTAGTCAAAAGGAATTTTAGGAAGTTTTTATTCCTTTTAATAAGTGCTGACATCGTGACATGTCTTTTATATGTTGTCCGGTAACCGTCTGGATCTATACTGACGCGTTCAATTAACTTTTGGGTTTATAAATGATAGGATCTTCATTCGGAAATATACGTGTGCGTAATCTATATTCATCAACGCCATCTGGCGACATATCCACGACTATGTAACCGTACCTTTCCGAAGTGGCGTCCAAATAGCTGTCCATGAAATATTTCGTTTTATCCGGATATATCTGACCAGCCAAACACTTTAGTTGTCTTTTATCACGATTTGCCTTGAAAATGATGAAATACTGCGTATTTAATGAAATATTTCTAGCGCTAGGACCCTGACACAAGGCGTTTTGTGTTAGAAAAAGGACATTCATATTTCTATGATGACATAATTGCGTGAATATTTTGGCAGCCTCTCTACTTTGACATACGCTAGCCATTAAATCATCTAGAACTAGAAATGTTGGTATCGATATATCTTTCGTAAAATTTAAGATCTCTTCCTCGTCGACTAGTCCTTCGTGAAATATGATTTCATCTTTAAATTGTAGCTCCATATCGCGGTACACGGATTGCCAAGTTGCGTAACAAAACAATATTTTGGAAGGTGAATTCGAACTATTTTGAAACAAGGCATCTCTATGTTTTAGAATTTTGAAACACATGTTAGTTTTCCCCGATTGAGACGCTCCTATCATGGCGATAGAGGTAGGCGAATTAAAGGGCACCAGGCTATGTGTCATGACTTCGACGGTTGAACTTACAATGATAAATACTTGTTTTGCGAAGTCTTTTATTTAAACAATCGGGCCATTGATGATTTTTAATAAGTTAGTACCAAAGAACAAATATAATTTTTTACCTAATCCATTTTATTTCGATACACAATAGTATAACATAAATAGAATATAAACAATTATATCTAATTAACTTTCTAAAGCCTGAATATTCGGTTTAACGCAGGTTTGGCATTCTACATAAGTCACTGCGGATTTGGTGGAAAAGTGAGTCTTGAAATAATCTATGGTGATTAGATCATTGTAATAAGTATCCTCGATATTATAGTCATTCAATATACCTAGTAAGCTTTCATTTCTACGAATATAACGATCCATTACAACTAATGTATATTGGCCACAGATTGTACTTTCATCATCTTGAAGTCTCAAGTTATTGTATATAAATGTATCCGAATTATTTCGTATGAATTCAAATAGACCATATTTTCGAGGATGACCACCCAAACTGTCAAAATACATACATGTTTTCTGACCCAACGTGTCAATCTTGAATACAAGTAAGACCCAATGTAATCCGGGGTGATCGTGCTTGGCCGTATTGACGATATAAACGGCTAATTTACTCGGAGAAAACCGCGGTAATTCGTCTTTGGCGCAGACCCTACGGTAGGCGGTTTTTAAATAAGATGTAGATTCTAATATATGCCTTAATTGGAGAGAGTTCATTATGTTATGACGTTCCTAGCCTCGTCTATCTGAATAACTTTGGGAAACTCCGCCAAAATCAGGATGTTGATCGCTTCTTGTAGAGGTTTTTGAAAATGACCATTGATGGATAAATTACCCCTTCTCTCGATTGAATTAACTTGCGTACTGCCGATGTTATTGACGTCAAATCTTAAAATTGTAGTTCCGTTGGCGAATTCGTCTCTGGATATGCTCGCGTTTCGTTTTTGGTCGTTAAACTGGGGAAATAAGTTGTTGTAACACGTTATATACGTGTTCAGCAAACCGCCTGTTCTGTAATCTAATGTTACGGGATTGGTCACGCTTAGTCCATCGACTAACACGTCTAGATAATCTAAGTTGAAATGTTGAAAGTTGAAAGGATTCAAATCGTACACGCCCATTTGAGATCGAGCCGTGACCATGACTAGGTATATCGTTTGAGGCACCCTACCTAGAAATAAATTATCGATTTGAAAATTGCGGTTTCCGGTGGCCACACTTAAACTTTTCATTTCTCTGCCGATGTACGGATATTGAGCCAGATTCGTCTTTAACGTTTGGGCGTGACCTTCCAATACACCGGGTGTCGGCTCAATTTTGGCAATTCTTAGAAATGCGTCGGTAATCTTAACCTTATAAGCTACGTCGTTATCATGAGCCGCTAGGTTAAAGGCAGCCGGGGATGGTGTTAGTTTGACTTGAATATCAATGTTATTCAACAAATATTTTTCAATCTTAAAGATGTCAGCGTGCAATGGACCCGCCATTTCAACCTCCAAACTCTCGATCGTGTGCGCCATTCTCCTCAGAAATCCATTATTTTTGGAGTCAAACCCGTTATGGTCGTTACCTAGACTGGCTTCATCCTTAAAATACATTTGGGATGATAAGTAACCTTGCATATCTGCTGCTGATGTGTTTAGTACTGTTTGAATATAACTTGTGTACGGGTAATAAGGTCCCGATGTTGAAATTGATTTTTGCTGCATTTGAACATCCACTTGCGAGAATAATGAATGTAACCAAAGATTAGCGCAAGTAACTTTGGGTGCAGATGCCGCCGGGTCGTTTGGATCTATAGGCAATGGACTCCCATCCGGCATGGTTATTTTTGCCTTGACGAATAACACTGTTTTACTCAAATCTAAGTAGTGATCTCCGTTATTTGTTATATCGAAGGTTAATGGATTACCATCTGATAAATTGATCGGTCTAAAATTGACGTATTTCAACTGTTTCGTGCTGACATCTGTATCACGGGTTTCAAAAATCATAAACTGCTCGTTCACAACCTCGTTAGAACTGTCCATAATGTTATCCATTTTTATTTATTTGTTTTTGTTTTATCTGTTTTTCCCTTTTAATCAAATATGGTACTTATACCGAGCGTGTTATTTTCACGTTTTCCACGTTTTTTCTTTAATATGGTGTTACTCCCTTCGATACCTTTGGTACGTGTGGTCTTATTTTTAAATACGGTAGGTTTTATAGATTTAATCCGGGGGCCTGTATCTATGATGTTATCACGACGCATGCGCGCTCTAGCTCTTTGAACACTAGCTTCAGACGGCGATATCATAGTTACACGCGACCCACTTCCGGTTTGGTCGGTTGCACCACTTTTCAAAGGAACGTAATGAGCCTTGTTAACTTTAATTTTAACCATTTTTTTCTCTGGTTTTGAGAACAGATCTGTCCAGATATCCATAGCCTTTGTATTAGATTGGCGAAAAGTTTACTCAAATATGTAATCTCTTTTTAAAATGTAAAACGCAGGATGTGGGACTATTACTCGTAAATTCAACTGGAGAACCGTCCTGATAAGTCAAAGCAATACTAATCTCGTTAAAATTATTTAGTCCTAAATCCACGTAATATATATTTTTAAATTCACAGTATGTCTTAGATGTCGATATAGTACGTAGGATCGTCCTCGAAGTTGGTCCTACTAATGATTCACCTATTATATTACAATATACGTATATTAAGCCTTTATTTATACGTTTACCTAGACAAATTTCGGTTAAACCGCAAGTCCAGTTTTCTAATTTTTTAAATGTTTGGTAATTGGGTAACTTGCTGGTAAATTTACTTTGAGTGTTATCCGCGTAATAAATTAAGGAATCCTCGCTCGAAAGATGTGCGTACGTCTGTTTCAAACTCATAACTAAATTAACTAGTAATGTTTCTTCTTAAATACTAAGGTGCGAGGCGAGTCTATCGAGTATCTATCGGCTCATTGGTCTAGCAGTACGATTCTCAATTTGGTTGTGATAGGTTTCGGGGGTCGAATCCCGGACGGGCCTATTTTTAAAAAATGATTTCATTTTAATTACCATGTCTTTAAATTTCAGAGGCCAAACAAAATATAAAGTTAATTTACATGATCCTTTATTAAGCATAGGTTGCTTTAAGAATACGTATACAGTGTTATAGAATAGTCACTGGCCCTTTTTTAATGGTTCACTGACACTGAGTTTTCATTTACCTATTATATAGAAATTACGATCGAATCGATCTCATTACAGGTAGTATAATTAACGAGACGAACTTATTGTTTAAGTCACGCCCCACGTGCCACAACATGTAAGAAATCACTCGAGCCTGTACCGGCAGGTACGGTCTTACCTATTATCGATTACCAGTCAACGACTGACGCGTTTTTATTAATTTTACTTCACCGGCTGTCAATATTCCGTATCAAATTATCAGAACCTGTACCGACGGTTCAGGCTTTCAAGGTTAAACGGGACGCGTACTGGTTTATCGATTTATTGTTTTTGGCGGGAATTCGAATAGTATCCCTTACAGTAAACGTACAGACGTGGGGGTAGGGCGTCCGTTACCCTTAGGGCCCGAGATTCCCGAAATATGTACACGCCACCACGCCGAGGGGGGAGGGGTGGGGTCCCCGTATGTGCCTCCCGAGCTCAGGGAGGCTCACAGATGTCCCTCCCCATTGGAGCCCATGTTAGGGAGGGTATTATGAAAAATCGTGTCCCTCCCCATAGGACTCCATGTTATAGGTGCGTCAGAACTCTCGTTTCTGTAACTACTCATATAGCTATACCTGTTGACAATTTTACCCCAACCAAAACAGGCGCGTATCGTCATGTACGCAAAATACGCCCAGGCGTACTGTTTGAATTTGAAAAAATATTTTGAAAAAAACATGAAATTCAGTATTTTACTGTTATTTTCTTTGATGATGTGTAGGCCTTTGTTGTACAAGTGTATTAACAATAAGTTCTCGATTCCCTCATTGTCATTCACTGTTTTCGTGATTCAAAGATTCAAATTTTTTCGTGATTCAACTGTTCAAAGAGTTGCGTCATTCTTGTACGCTTATTCAAGGCCGTATGGGGTATGATGGCGAATCCCGGCAGAGTACACGCTCAAAATCAGCAAATTCAGTACGTATAAACCTGAGTATCACTTGACATTATTGAATGTAAGAAGTAATTTAATCATTTAAACCGTGCGATAAGTGGATTTAGCTTTAACTACATTGATTAAATTCCAAATTCGCACGACCTTGTGCAGACGACTTTCTCTATTTTCGTCTGGTGTAGTGTTTTCATTTTTGGGGGCCTGTAATTCACGGGTTCACGAGAAAAAGATAATACTACGACTGTTGGTGCTGCCATCTTTATATCAACCCAGAACCTATGGTAGGTCTGCACGAAAAATCATACGCCAAAAATCGCATTCATCTTCACACATTATTCATCCACATACGGGGGCGTACCCTTGCAAAATGACCACGATACGCGCCTGCAAAATACTATTATCCAATCTGTTAAATACAATGCATATTGTGAATTTATTGACATTAAGGTAAATGATAACATGATATATTGACAGTTATAACACTTCCCATCTGATGTGCGCAGATCACAGACTATGCCCCATAATATCAGAGCATGCCGTTTCAGATGAAATAGAAAGATGCTATGAGTATCAGAATGGTATACTTGAATTAAGGGGGGGGGGGGGTAGGTACGAAAATTTCCAATGAACATGCGTGACATATACGGGATTCGCGTGACAAATCCGAACAAATTGCGTTCGTTTTTTTCCGACGTTCGTATTTTTACCGTATCATAAACATATTTTGAAAATTTTTTTACAGAAACATATTTGCGTGACAATTACCAGGTAAAATGCGTATTTGCGTGACATTTTGTGTCACGCAAAAAAACTGGCGTGACTTCAAATTCTTCAGCAAATGCGTGACAAATACGCAAATTGCGGGACAGTTGACAGGCCTGCATTTGGTGTGATGTTCCATATTATGTTTTATGGTATCAACTTTTTTAGGTAACATGTTTCATGTTTGCCGTGGTAAGCGTTTCGAATTCTCATGAAGCTAACTGGCCTAATTTAGTGGCAGACCGCTTAGCTTTACAGGCGAAAATTGGTTATACTGTTGACATTATAACATTCGATAACAATGCTGGAAGGGAAACTGCTAAAATACTTTGGGTGAAACCAACAACAGTTAGGCAGGTAACCATGCTCTATTTGGAGTCCTTTTAGAATTTGCATTTGATACTTTTCTACTGTACCAAAAAACTTATGTCTAATTATAATTTAGAACCGTAGTCCATATATTTATGTTTTCGTATTATTAATATTTAGTTTACAGCATTTTCTAAAATAAACTATTCAGATAAAACGACTAGTCCGTGGAGCTAAAGAATTGGGGCTTGGAATACGTGTAGTTGGCGCGGGTCATTCGATGTCTCCGATGTTCCCAGACCCCTATATTCAGATTGGGGTAAGCCTTGATGACCTTCGTGGGGAGAAGTATCACTTAAATCAGGTTTGTTTGTATATTTGTTTGTAAGAATTGTAAAAATAAACATTAGAGAGTTAAAGTTTAGCTTAAGTACCACGATCTACATATCTGCCATCAATATCAGCAGCAGTGATGAGAAATATAAAAAATAAATATACCCAACCTGACAAAATGATAAACAAATAGTTTTCATTAATCTTGCTTGAAATTAATGTCAAATAATGCCTACTATATCGCCTTAAAATCCAATTAAAGTCTTGTTTTAATTTTAGATTTGCATATTTAACATTTTGGGACTTTCACAAATTATTTAGTTGAGTTGGTAATAAGAATTCGTGCTTTTGTAGGAAAGGAATAAATTGACGGTTTTATCAACCGAGAGACTTGGAGATGTTTTGAAGTGGGCAGCTGAAAAGGGAGTGACATTAGGCGCAGTCCCGTTTGCCCCTATATTAACAATTCCCGGTATTACCGCTACAAGTAGCCACGTAAGTAACACCACTTCATATATCAGAACCAACTAATTCTATCATTGCCACTAAGATATGATAACAATTGTAAATAATTTGTATTTGCTTGGTAGTCAGTTATGATGTTCAGAAAATTATTTAACCCATTGGAAAATTACAAATCCAACAGTTCACTTATTTCCAAGTTGTATAATTAACATAAGATTCGTTGGTATTTTAGGGATCAAGTATAAAGTTTGGACCTTTTGCAAATATGGTGTATGGATATGAGCTAGTAGATGGGAGTGCCAATGTCAGGAAGTTTAACGAGGATGATAACAAGGAGATCATTGATGCATGTAGGGTCCATCTAGGCTTATGTGGTATCATATACAAAACAATCCTGAAGGTAATAATTGTATGATCCCCCTGGACTAATGTGGTATCATATACAAAACAATCCTGAAGGTAATAATTGTATGATCCCCCTGGACTAATGTGGTATCATATACAAAACAATCCCGAGGGTAATAATTGTATGATCCCCCTGGACTAATGTGGTATCATATACAAAACAATCCCGAAGGTAATAATTGTGTGATCCCCCTGGACTAATGTGGTATCATATACAAAACAATCTTTAAGGTAATAATTGTATGATCCCCCTGGACTTATGTGGTATCATATACAAAACAATCCCGAAGGTAATAATTGTATGATCCCCCTGGACTTATGTGGTATCATATACAAAACAATCCCGAAGGTAATAATTGTATGATCCCCCTGGACTAATGTGGTATCATATACAAAACAATCTTTAAGGTAATAATTGTATGATCCCCCTGGACTTATGTGGTATCATATACAAAACAATCCTGAAGGTAATAATTGTATGATCCCCCTGGACTAATGTGGTATCATATACAAAACAATCTTTAAGGTAATAATTGTATGATCCCCCTGGACTTATGTGGTATCATATACAAAACAATCCCGAAGGTAATAATTGTATGATCCCCCTGGACTTATGTGGTATCATATACAAAACAATCCCGAAGGTAATAATTGTATGATCAACTGGACTTATGTGGTATCATATACAAAACAACACTGAAGGCAATAATTGTATGATCCCCCTGGACTTATGTGGTATCCTACACACAAAACAATCCTGAAGGTTATAATTGTATGATACAAACAATCCTTAAGGTACTTTGAATGTTTCACCTAGACAATGACATGGGTTGTATCAAACTAAACGATTATGAAGAATTTAGGGTCCATCTAATTATCATATTGTCATCCTATCCTGGTACATGTATATTTTCATATAAAAATAATGCCAAAGAGTATATAGTGTGGTATCATGGATAGAAGAATTCTGATTTTTAAGGTATATTATGGTACCTTAATAGGCAGGTAAGGTACCATGTATATCCATGAAGCTATCTAGCTAGATTAATTAATGTGCTTTAATGTTTTTTAAGTTTCAAAACTTCTGTACATGTTACAAGAGTGCCCTCGAGGGAAAGAACTTGATAACTAGTGAATAGCATCTGCATATACGGTTGATTGAAATGTTATAGCCTTGCACTAAGCATACTTAGTTTTGATTTGCCCCGTCAAATGTGAAAATTTAATAACAATGTTCGAAGCTCTTTAAATAGGATAGTTTCTAAATAGCAGAAAAATCAATGGAATCTGGTGCTGCCATCTTTTATTTAGCTTTTAACTTGGGCTAGAGTTCCATTCACTTACATGCTAAAATCTTGGAAAAGTGGCTTAATTTCATGATTTGTCAAAGTGTGTTAGTTGAATCTGTATAAAACTTGAATGATATACCACTTGATGACCCTGTTTATGTGCATGTTGTGATTAAACATGCAAATGTTGATTGACATACAAATAATCCAAGGTTTTAAAGACTTTTAGCATTGCATCTATGGAGATTTGGCCCAAGTTTTTTTAAATTGTCATAGAAAATTATTCAAATTACATAACTGTGTAAATCAAAGCTATTATAGGAGAAAACATTCCACTGAATTCAAATATGCCGTTTAAAAGAAGGTAATGTAAGTCATAAGAGGTCTAATATGCAAGTCTCTTAAAATCTCACGAAAAACGAGATTTAGCGAGATTTCAAAAGCTATATGGAAACTATACTATTGCAAAACTAATTATTAGATCCCCATATATTAACAGAGTGCATACTGCAATACCGTTATAAAAACGAAATCTCACTGAAATTTGATTTCTTATAAGGTTATCCCCGACATCAAATTGAAATTCTCGGTTGCCAACATTCCTGTACGAAAGCTTCTGAACAATGAGAATCGAAAGGATCTTGTACTGAACAACTGGGGAGTCTCGTTTATGTTACCTTCTCAACTCAAATCAGCTACGCAAGATGAAATTGTGAATATGATATCCGAATCACCTCAGAGGATTCCAGCAGACAGTTATGATATATTTAAAGAAGATATGAGTGTGTGGTAAGAATGAAAAGCTTGCAAAAAGTACACAATCTGAACAAGAAGATAGGCTAGATATTTATTTATTTTTTATGAAAATATATACAAAACACGCAACATGTCGCAATATAAGACACCACAGTGGCATATAAAAGAAGTATCATGTGCTAAAAAAGAATCAACATGGATTTAAAATCTTATTTGGAACAATTGCATCTTGTCTAATATTCTTTGACTCTATATTAGTTTCATTGGTCTATTTTAATGATCGCTGGCTACTTTATGGCCATTTAAAAAACATACTAAAAATATTGAAACATGCCAAGGTCACCCGATATTAATCCCCAAACTATTTTTGGAGCTATTTTAAGGATTTTTATCGTCGCTTGCAATTCGAGAAGCATAGCGGTACCAAAAAGCGGGTTCTTGGGGCTCGTGCGAGCCCCCTTCGCCTCGACCCCCCTTTCTTAATAAAATGAGCCCCCGGAACATGCCCCTTCTCTGAAAGAGCAACGAAGCCCAAACTGGGAACGAACCCCACTCAGCTCAGAAAGACTATTTTTGCGTGAACCATGAATCACAGGTTTATACTAGAGCCAACGGTAAGAAACTTTTTGATCGGCCCTTGTATTTGATGATGCACTTAATACAGGGTAACCCAAACAAATGCAACCCTCCATTTCTTCAATATTTTTCTTAAATGTAGGTAAATTGCTCTGAGATTTGGCACACAAGGACTTCATTCAATGTGGGATCCTCTGGCAAAGTTTTAATAATCATAGTATAAAATTGATAGAGTTGTTTCAAAATATGCTCCAGGTATCGTCAATTTCGCTGAAAACAAACTTGCAATGTTCAAAGAAAACTGGTCATAACACGGATGCATTTTTCCCCATGGGTATGGCTCAAATTTTTGCAGTCATTGCTTGTTGGAGTTCTGCAATTGCGGTAGGGTTATTTTCATACACATTATCCTTTAAATAACCCCATATATAGAAGTCAGAGGCTTTGAGATCAAGACGTTGTGATGACCATGGGTTCTCCATCCTAGGAGAGATAATCTTCTCATAGAACTGACTAGTGAGCCAGGCTATGCTATCATAAGAAGTATGAGGAGTAGCTCCATACTTTTAGAACCACTGTTCTTGTCTATTGAAGCCTGTATGTCATTCTAGAACTGCCTAGAACTTCCTGGGAACACCAATATTGAGCTGTGTGTTAACAGTAACAGTGTTGCCATTATCAACCTCAAACCAAAAGGGGCTGATGATTTCATGTTTGGAAATTGGCAGCCCAAGCTTTGCATTTAACAGAATGAAGGGGCCTTTGAAGCACTTCATCTGGAATTTGTGATCCCAGAACACATTATTTCTTGAGTTTACATGTTCAGAAAGAAGGGAATTTGATTCATCCGAAAACCAAACATTGGAAATGGACGACATGTGGAGCATATTTTGGAACGACCATAACTCTATCAATATAAAACTATGATTATTGAAACTTTGCCGAAGGTTCCTAAATTGAATGAAGTCCTTGCGTGCCAAATTTCAGAGCAATTTATCTCCATTCAAGAAAAATATTGAAGAAATGGAGGGTTGCGTTTTTTGGGTCACCCTGTATAATCCATAATCAAATTGGTTCGTTGAAATAGTTTTCTACGTGCAAACCGCCACCCTTACCCCCTTCGCCTTTTCAAATGAAACAAACCTCCAGCCCCCTTGGTAAATCTTGGCTACGGTCCTATAGAGTCGAATTGAAACAAGAAATAAGGATGATTAGAGCCATTAGACAAGATATCTGTTCATGAGCGTGTAGTCAGAAGAACCAGATGCATTCAAATTAGCCTCCAGAGACTAGACAGGCATTTAAAGGATGTTTTGTAAAATTTCCATAAACTCGTGGTAATTTTAAATAGACCAATGAAACTTGGAAGAATATGAGAACAATAAACGAGGTTCAATTTTGCTTTATCTATTGTTTGTTCATGTAGGATATGGAGTGACATTGATCAGAATACAGTGTCACGTAAAAAGTACAATGATACTCTTGAGTTAGCTGACGGATCTACATATGATGCAGTGTCTGTGATTAAACCATTCTCTGAAACAAGCAATGCTGGATATGTTCATACCAAAGAACAATGTATTCAACCGAGATCTACAACATCGTTTTCAACACCAGAGTCTGACGACTTCATGGAAAGTGGCAAAACTATGGCGGTAATAAACATTCGAGGTTTTTCCACAATGTTTCATGTTACATCATTGTATATAACAGTATGTGCAATGACTCTGTCTTTTTAAAGATAATTGGAATCAAGTGTATTGAAATTATATTTCTGTATTATTCGCTATTTTATCAGATCTCAATATTTTCTTTGTTAAAAATCAATCAAAATCAGGATCAAAAGTAAACATTAACATGTTTTCGAAAATATTGCTCCTAATGTGTTGTGCGCCGTATCCCTTATTATCCTACAGTTAGTGTATAAATGTATACTAACATCAAAAAATAAATTTGATATTTATTGGCAAAATGAATAACCGGAGGATATCGTGATGATATACTCCGGGCGGAGGATATCGTGACGATATACTTAGGTAACCCCAATATGCGGAGGATATTGTGACGATATACTCCGCTTGTTGATTTCCCGCCAAATTGACTCTATTTGGCATGAAATTCATTTTGAAATGATACTATGACGTGTCGCAAAAAGCTCGCGCACGCATTGTTACACATTTTGTGGCGTAATCCAGAGGATCCTCGCTTTTAACATGATAGAATGTGACGTTTTTGAGAAAAATGTACACACATGAAAATCCTTTCGTCCTCCACATTGACCTCTATATCTCAAAACATTTTAGACGAAATACTCTGATATCATATATATATTGTTAATGGGCTAGGAGCATCATAAAATACGAAGCATTTGATATTTTAGGTGAAATAAATATACGTGTTGCTGTGCTTGAAAATAGGCGAATGGCGTAAATTAGCCCTATTTTAATGAATTTTGAAAACCTTTCGTCCTCCACTTTTCCACATAAAACAGAAAACACATACTTTTGTGAACAAAATCAACCATTTATTAATAAAAAACTAGAGTTTAGGAGCAAAATTATCATGTATGATTTATTAAAAATTGATCTCGTGTTTTTTGTTTAATGTACACCTGAAAAGTTGAAAGTACCAAAGAATGAGCAAAAAAGGTCGCTGTCAACAGATTCTATTTTTCAGACTCTATGACATCACAATATGGGACGCTTGCTACAATTCATCCTTTGAAATAAAACTTCCATCTACCTTCATCAAGACGAAAAATAAGTTTGAGTTATGAGCGTTTAAAGACGAAAAATAATTCAAAATGTAACGTGTCAACATGGGATATTTGCCAGATGTTTTGGTAAAAAACGCTTTTTTAAAAACGAACGCGCAAAAAATGTGAACGGAGTGTAGTTGATCTAATATCTTCATCGAAACAGCTTTAAAATGATATATAACTTTAATTAGAATATTATCGTATAACCCGGGGAATCAAAGTTACATTCACGCGATACCCTTATAAAACAAATGCGCCACCTTTTTGCGACACGTCTATACATTTAGTACACTCCTTGTAAGTGTAGGATAATAAGAACATCCTATGATGTTTTTTTACTCGGTAATATTGATATATGCACTCGTTCGCATGCTCTCTCGTGCAGATATCAATATCACCTCGTAGATAAAAATGATATTCCTCAAAATCATAGGATATCCTGTAATTATCACTTAATTCTCCCCTTAAAATTGCATGTGCTTTTAGAATTCCCTACATGTAGTGGAAGAAATATTCAAAAACACACGGTTCCATACTGGTGTCACATATGGAACTCTAGGTTTTCGATGGATGAGGCTTATTGATGATTGTCTCTTGTGTACGACAAAGGTACCTTATATCACTTTCTTCTTTTTGAATTTCAGTTAACATAAAAAACAAAAACATGGATTCGTGGTAGCTTTGTTATTTCGAACTGTAAAGAAAAGAGCAACATTTTCAAAAGAGGTTTCAAACTTAAAATAGCCTGATTTTTGTTTTAAGCATTTTTTCTGTTCCCAACACATTTTTGTTGCTTTTTCTCAGTTAGCTTTAACGATCATGATGTCTTTTGATGAAGGAAATAACAAATCATATCATATCTTATGATGCAAATAGCTATACCAGTTGACAATTTTACCCCAACCAATATACTATTATCCATGCACATCACTACGGAAATCGGGGCAGTAGTCACGAGAAATGGAAGCCATAATGGGACTCCTTGTATGAATAAAGATCAAGCGCAGGTGATGGAAATGAGAGGTGGTAAATTAAAGGGGCAATCACGCAGCACTGCTTGGCAACCACGTCCATCTGACACATCTCTCTACCACTGCCCCGATTTCCTTGTTTCCTCTTGGTAGATGGTATTCCAAGGGATATTTCAGCATCCAAGTCAATAAGATCCCAGCAAACCCAATGCATCAGACTTCGACGGGGAAGCTATGGGCATTCCAGCCATTATGCATGTCTTGCTTCTGTTAAAATGTCCTCGTATTTGGTTCGCAGTAACTCGTCGGGAACCTCCATTCTTTCCGCCCCTCAATCAGTTAGTTTTAGCGAGATTGCACACCTTTTGACATCTGATGTTATGATAATGTCTATTTCTTAATGTAGTAGTAGCTTTGTTTTGGGGAAATACTAACTTCTTGCCCAAAAAACGAATTTCGTCACTGAGGTGATTTGCTCCGCCCTTCTCGATAGATGGATCTCGAGTATACATTTAACACGAACATGAATTGTTCCTGAACTTTGTTACAATGACGTTGCGTCAAAGTATCTAGTTGAGAAACAGTCACTGATAAAGAAACCTACAATCTGATTTTCATTTGGTGTCGTATCCTCATCAGATACATTTAAGATGTTTTTACTTTTGGTTTTAACCAATATGACAGTTAATTTGAGTTATCTCCTTTTAAGATGAAACTCTGTAATCACTCATTATTATTGCTTCAGATCATAGCTTAATTCAAACATATTCTGCAGGTTGCAAATAAAAGTTCGGAGTACAAATTGGTGATGTATACTGAGATATTCGTAGATAATGACAAATGTGAAGAGCCTATTCTTAATGATGATACGCTTGAGAAACTTTTAAGCTTGGAGTCGCGGGTGAGTTTACTCTCGTATATTAAGCATAACCTTATGTAATATGTACGAGGCCCGATCAGAAAGTAAGTAACCAAATGCTCTCATTTTTTCATACTTCATTCAATCACATTGAAATTTTCACAGATGATGTAGAAAATATATAAAATATATATGTTTTGGGTAGGCGGGGCACCCTTCGTAAGTGGCTTTGGAAGATGATTTGTAGAGTTTTTTACATGCTGTATTTCTCCAAATGACCTAACATTTTTTTTATGCAAGACTGAATAATTTGTTTTATGTATTATAACAATGGTAACTACGCTCCATTGTCTCATTTATAAGTCATCGACACAAAGATATCATGGGTATATCTGTCATAATGATGGTCATGATTCAGTCACAGTTTCAATCCAGTCAAATGTTGTTGAAGAGGGATTTTAGTGGCATGATGACAATGGTCCACCTCCACAGAGCCAACATTACAGAATATACAGTAGATTAAGCCTTTTCCATGGCCACACAACTACCCCAGGCTCACTATTCCCCAAACCTGGCCCCATGTGACTAAATTCTTTCCAAATGCAAATATGTTGTTACGGAGAGACCGCTTGGACAGCAAAAAGGCCATCATTAAAGCTTTCAATGGCAGTTTGCAGTCATTGAATGGTGCCATGTTGCACTTCTTTAATGACAGAGTGGAACATTGCCTCAACTGCATTGACTTTGGTGGCGATTAATTTGAAGGACTATGCGTTAAAATGTAGTCTTTTACATTTGAATTTGATATATTTGGAGGTATTACAACATGTAGAAAAACTCTACAAATTATCTTATAACGCCACTAAAAACAGGGTGCCCCGCCTACCCAAAACAATCGTCACCATAGCAACAGCAATAACAATGGAATTGACGCTAACCCATTGTCCTTGGTCTTCTTCAATAGGTTAATATTTTCTACATCATCTGTGAAAATTTCAATGTGATTGAATAAAGTATGAAGAAATAAGAGCAGTTGGTTACTTACTTTCTGATCGGGCCTCGTACGTAACATCAGTACCTATTTGTACCTTTTGAAATTCGTCTGTGTTATGCCTATCGGTCAGGTGTAGTAACTAAGTCAACATTAGAAATTCGTATGTTCATCAATATTTACTAAGAATGGTGCCACAATTGAAGTAAATCTCTGGATTCCTATCAGCAAACGTGTAAATGATAATTTTGATGTTCTGTTACATATATTGGTGAAGCAATCTTGAAGATATGTTCTGAATTTCTGAATTTCCCCTGTGTCCCTGTGTACCCCTACTTTTAAGGATGTTATTTGTCATTTTTTTATCATGAACCAACCATAAACGTATTTTTTCTATTAACATATAGAATGAACTTTCTGTTTTCGAATATTGACAGATGGCACTGCATTTATTTTTTCATGATATGGAGCAAACAGAGGCGTGTCAATTTACATTGTAATATCCTACATACTTATATTTCAAGGGTAGTTTTGAAGAATAATCGAGAAAATCCATGTTTTCAAATGGATTCATCCTTTTCAAAGAACGTAAATAAGGATATGTGGTTTGAAAAATTAACAACATGTTTCAAGTTCTTACGTCAATTCTTAGTTGAAGCAAATATTATGAAAGTAGTAATTTCGGATGTAATCTCCTACTCAATGAAAATTGTTGATATTTGTGAAGTTTTTCTTTCGGAATACACATTGCTGAATCACAGAACCCTGCCTTGTTCGAGATGCTCAAAAAGTGTATTGTTGTTAAGACTTGACATCGTTCGGATATTTGGATGTGATTGACGTTTTCGGTAATTTCCTACCACTGTAACTTCCGAATTGATATTTAAGGCACACGTTGGTGCATACAGCATATTTGTTCATTAACTGTCGACTTACATTTGTATAAATATACACAGTTTAACTCAAATCATCAATGCTCGAAACAATTTATCACCTAACTTAGTGAGTCTAATGTTTCATTTTAACTTATAATTATGGTATCGGATTTGAGTATGATTATAGATGAGGCTCAAACAAAGCAAAGGAATTCTATGAAACTTTTTCTGAAAACTTGAATGATATTTCAAGAATCCTCCTTCAAAGTGTTACCAAAGTGCTCCCTGGGAATGGAAATTTCGTCTTGTGCAATCAAGATAATATAATTGCGGGTAGTTTGAATTTTACTTTAAAAACATATCGTCTCCTTGAAAGGTACCTGCCATTTTTGGCGATCTATCATGATAAAGGGCTAAATATCGGGGAAAAACATGAGTTTACACGCTGGCATTTGGAATTGAAATTTCCTACATAATGGTTGACTCGTGTTTAAAAGTCATGAAAACAAGGTTGAACATAAAACATTGACCTACATGTAGTTACTGTCTATTTATCATGGAATCACTAAGGAAAACATCATTAGTGACTTAAATCGTTAACAATTCTGCTGTATTCCAAGAAACTTATCATTAGAAATGCAAAATGTTCAACTTTGTTGTTCAAAAAATTGTCAAACCGTCCCAACCTGTTCTTAGATTACCTATCCTTGCCTATTTTTGCTAGTTATCATTTTTGCTTGTTTTTCGAATGGTTTATGGGGATTTATGCAATTATAAATTGTTACTATATTTATTGACTCTTGATTAAACGCACACTTATAACATTATTAGCTTTCCTGTTGCTAAGTGGTATTTTATGACAGCTTGTTTGTTTTCTTCATTTGTCACGATGATTACTCTAATTCATCATAGTTTACGTACAGAATGATTCAGATTCAAATTGAATTTATTTTCTGTTTCGATATATTGTTATTGTATGTATGCATTCTTGTCAGCTCATAAGCATGGAGCCATTTACGCTCTTAAGCTTTCATGTTGTCGCGCATGTTGAACAATTTTTTATTTGTAATTCTGTAATTTTGTGTTCATATTTTCTAAAAGCGTGTGAAACCATGCGCCTGTAGCACATTTTAATGAATGTCTTTTAGCATTGCCGAATGCCAATGTTAGAAGCATTTTAATATAGTGTATTCTACTAGTTGAGTCACTGTTCTTGATTGTTTTCATTGTTACAGTTTAATCATACAAATTAATCCGCATCGGTATTTGTTTTGTAACTCTATGTAATTCATATGCTTGCACTTACACACTGTTCATTTATAGTTTCTGATTGCACTTATATCTGTTATTGTGTATGTACAGGGTGGTCCAAAAAATGGAACATTTGATAATTGAACTCAAAATCGTTATTTTTTCTCTAAAATGACCAACATTTTACTGAGTATTGTTCAATCACCTATTTATCTGATGCAAAGTTTATAGGTGCAAACAACAAAGTTAATGCATTAAACTAGAGGATGTTTGACATGACCCCCTTTCTCCTGAATTACATGTTGAAGCCTGGGATTCAGTTTTGAAATGATTCATTCACTTTGCTGTTCGTTTGATTTTGTCCAAGCCATCTTGATTAAAAATTCAGCTTGAACAAACTACTTATATGTTTGCCTTGGAAGATAAAATATTTGAACATATTCAACATTTTTTACCTAAATTGATGATTATCAAGCATATTTTGACGGCTATTGTTGGATATATTACTGATTGAATATTCTCCAGAAAGAGGCCAGTGCAGTCTATTTTGACTGGTAAATGAACCCCCAGTCTTGAAAATAACTAGTCAGTTACCCCTCGACTGAAAAGTGGAAACAATGATTTTGTCAGTTTAGTAGCTGTATGGGTTATGCAATCACTCACCTCTGACATGTTCTTTCTTTCCTACTCTTAAATAAAAATAATGATTTGGGGTATTCTTAAGTTGACAATAACACAATAGTTTCCCAGTGAACCATAGATGTTAATACCTCATGTCAACTAAATATGATTTAATAAAATGTGTATAGCAATCAACATGTTCATTAAAGCTTTGAAATAAGGATACTTGAAAAAGTTGCTGCGAAATTGACAAGTGTATATTTAAGAAAAGGGGGTCATATCAAACATTGACTAGTTTAATGCATTTACTTTGTGGTTTGCACCTATAAACTTCACATCAGAGAGATAAGTGACTGAACTATGCTCAGTGAAATTTTGTTGCATTTTAGAGGAAAAATAAAGGTTTTGTGTTCAATTAACAAATGTTCCAATTTTTTTGGACCACCCTGTATATGGTGTCATGTAACGTGACGTTTTGTGAATGTATTTTTACATTTCAGTTTTTTACTTGATTCAAGGAGCGGTATCTCTTAACGTACTTTTTATCATCATTTCGAATACTTATTTCGCGAAAACTTTGTTGAGAATGGATTCGAGATGTACTCCAAATTAATACGTTAAAATGTGTATTATCATCTTAATAACCACATCACAAATTATTTTGGAATTTCAAAGATGTACGATTTTTGAGATTTTTATTTTCGAATGTTGACTGAGTTACTGGACCTGACTGCTAAAAGCCAACCTCAAGAGGCAATTTTTACGTCATGAATGACGACGCCACACTTATAGAAACAATTATAGTTTGGTAAAACTGAACACAGCATATGGTAGAAAATGAAACCAGGTTATTTGGGCCTGTATAGCTCACTTACTTTTCCATTGCTTTTAATACATAATTGTTTCGCTCTGTATACACATGCTTGTCCATTGGAGTAATATTATTTTCATTTAGCATGTGAAAATTACATAGAAAAACATAAATCCCGGTATAACAGAAGAGTGTAAAGAATAATTCTATTTACAATTATAATTTTTTATTTCAGAGAGATAAAACAAGCTCAAATATGAAGGGGTGAAATATATAAAAATTACAAACTTCCCTAGTTGATAATTATAGTTTGGAAAAATAGCATTTTAGTCCCTCATTCTTTCAAAATTCATCAATATCATACCATGAAAGGTACATCTATTTGTTTTAAGGTGGGGTCGAGTTGACTAAGGGTTGAGGTGACCAAGGGTTGAGATGACTTGGGGTCGAGTTGACTAAGGGTCGAGATGACTTGGGGTCGACTTGACTGAGGGTCGACTTGACTTGGGGTCGACTAAGGGTTGAGTTGACTTGGGTTGAGTTGACCAGTTACCAAATTACATACTACCATGTCTACTACGGATTACAAGTTAATTAATTAATTTACGTGTTTTCTATAGTTTGGAGTTGCTGTAATGAAGAACAACTCTCGAGCTCTGTCACATTGGGGAAAGAGAGACAAACACATCCCTGGATCCTCTGATCGTACTAGACGTCAATTCGGAGATGACCTTCTGACCTTCATCAACATGCGCAACAAATATAAGCTGGATAACAAGAACCTGTTTGTCAATACTCATTTGAAGGATATATTTAGAGATACCTTTGCTTAGAAGACTCATCTGATGCCTATTTACTCCTGTTCTCAATAAACATAGATCAAAAGCACCCAGATGAATCAGGGCGTAACGATTTTCTAGTTTAATATTGTGCCCCCCCCCCCCCCATCTCCGTGTAAAAGCGACTTCAATGATCGATTTTTCATTCGAGATAAGACATCCAATTCATAATAAAAAATGTTAACAAACGATATAAAATGTTGCTATTCAGTTTTTCAAAAATACAAATATCCGTACACATAAATCTACTGATAATATTTGAACAGAACGAAACAAATACAAATGCATAAATCTAATTATTTTTTCGTGATATATAACTTTTAAAACCATTTATTAAAGCTAGGTATCCACATGATGAAATGCTACACTGACACCATTGTCTTGTCGGATCATCAACAATTCATTAGTATATATGTACTAGTAAATGTTTGAGTTGGTGTCACTAATCTCAAATCACTAGGCAGCATTGTCAAACTGCAAACTTTTGTAATTTCTGTTTATCAATTCAAACCAGCTCAAGGCAGTATGCTAAAACAACAAGTTAAATAATCATTAACCCCACTTCGGTTGCAACGCAACAGAATGAACTGCAGTTTATTCTAAAAAATGCACAGCTATGACAAAGAGGAGTGCATTATTTTTCTATTGTATTTAAAATGTATACTTGGCGAACTATCCAAAACCAATGTGGAACAAAATACGATTGACTGTCACATGTAGCAGTAAAGCTGAACTAATTAAACCCTATTCACTCATTCAATAGTTGAATAGTAAACACAAAAGAAATCAAATTCTCAGATCACCTAGCCTGTAACTGACAGTGCACTGAAGCTGAATTAATGACACACACTCACTTCTAAACACAGTTGCCTCATAGTCAATACAAAAGAAATCATTTATTCCTAAAATTAGATCATGGACCATTTACCTTTCATTAGAGTTGGTGTGTGGTTTAAGTAAGAGAAACCATTTGTATTTTCTCCTAAAACCCAATACTCATAGTGTATCCCTAACTGAAAACACAAGGCAGCACTCTCAAACCGCAAGGCAACTTATGTAATGTCAGTCTTGTCCATGTGAGTAAAAACCTGTTGTCTACTGTTTTATGATTGTAACGTTCTCTATCTACTTCGTAGACCATCATATTTAAAAGGCCACAATGTTTGGTCATGTGACTTCAAATCTCGTATCATTGTTGCTGTACCCAGAAAAAGTGAATGGCTCCCTTAATTACTTGCCATTTTTGTCACGGTCAATCACTGATTAATATCAATGAGCACTCCCGACATGGTCTTCCAATTTGAGGCAGCTTTATTTGGGAATCATTATGGGGTCTGTGTGAGATTACAAGATAATTGAAGAAAAATGATAAGACGCATACAATTATTTGATTTACACATAATATAATGATGCTAATTACATATAACTTTGCTCGTTTTGCATCATAATGTTTGAACAAATATCATGTGGTAAGACTTTTCACATAGATGAAGCGTGTCGAATTTTGATACGAAAAAGTCCATGATTGCAAACCTACGGTAAGTTGGAAATAGGAACTAAGAGAAAATATTTTAAATATTTAGGATTTATCATAACATTTTTAACTTGTACATGTTCTACGCAGCTTAGCTTTTGAAATATACGTTATGTGTTCAGTCTTATTCAATTTCGAATTGTAGATATTTCTAGACTCTTGTCTTGAACCCTGTATCTGATTAGAAAAGTTGCTTGTCCAGACAAGTTTATCATAAATACGCGAGTATGACAATAATGAAATAAATAAGTACCAAAGGTATAAAGTATAACAATATACACAGAAGGGAAACAGGAACTTTAAGCAGTCTTAAGGAACATAAAAAAAGGTTTATATGACGAACGTTTCTCGAATATTCAATTATATTTGACAAGATCTCAAGATGTTTAATCAAGATGTACAAAGTACGACGCTTATTTTTTTTCAAACGCAGTGTGTGTACATGTGTACTTATGTATGTGTTTGTTTAATCTTCTAAATAAGATTTAAAACTTGAGATAGTTAGCGTGGCTACACATTGGAAAAAGCTCTAGATTGGTGAATAATTGTATATATTATAGTACAATAGAGTAATATGACACAACGGTCTAATATAAAGGATGTTTGAAAAAAGTATTGTATGTTATTGTACAGGAGTAATATGACACAATTAAACGTCCTTACATGAAAGGAAGCTTGAGCAAATGGTAGAACGGTATAAACATCGTTGACAGAACCGAAGGACTGGGTATTCGGAAATGACACTGTTGATGCTTGTATTTTGCCTTTTGACAACTAAAGGTAAGGCCACAATTAAGGCGAGTTTTTCGAAATAATTGACAGAATATGACGATTATGAATTCGTCCAGTGGTTAAACCATTTTTCAAAGTAAACTCTAACGATAAAAACGACTTCTGTTGAACATTTTGAATTAGATAGTAACGGAGGTTATTTATTTAGTGTCTTAGCTTACCCTTTGCGTGGGCTTTCAACTAAAGGCTTTATGATAATTCAAAGACCTTCGATCATCAATAATAATTTCAATTAACTATAGGTCAATAATAAAAAATGATAAATTACATTGAATCTAACATTGTCATCAGTCACAACAACCCCAACTATGCCAAATCATAATCCAACGTGAAACTAAAGTGTTTTTTTTGCTTGGAATGAGCATTAAAACACTCCTTCAAATAGCCACAGAGAAAGATGTTTGAGGATGACGATGACAGAACAAACACAGATAATCAGGTTAATTATCGGCAAATGATTCAAGAGTTACCTTCCAGAGTTAGGCAGGCTAGCCTGGAGACCAAATCATATCCAAATTAAAACACAGTGGTCTCAAATTGATACACAAACAAAAGCTTCACTAGAATCCCCAGCAGTGCAGTTTCTTGAACCTCTGACCTCTCTGTATAAGGGGGCTATAAGACATTGTGAGGGCCTCCCTATTCACCATATTTGACGCCCAATACTTTTTTCTCTGAGACTATTTGAAGGACCATTTTTATGCTAAACCCAAGCTAAGAGACCTAGAACAACTTAAGACCAGCATCCAAACAGAAATCAAAACATTCCCCCAGATATATCAAATGTGATGAACAATGTAGTAGTAAGGATGCAGACTGTCACCGAAATATGAGGTTACATTGAATATGTGGTGTAAAAGGTAACGGGGTAAAGTATCAAAAAGGCAAAACTGAATTAAAAACTGTGTATAAGGGAAAAAACTTTCATCTTTTATCTACAAGACCATGCAAATATTGATTGGTTTGTCAATGGTGTTGATATACTTTTGGGTACATTTTTTTAGACACCCTATATCTGCCCGCTGATGAATATAATAGTTTTTACAAACCGGCTTTATGTACCTGTAACACGTCCAAGTATGGGATAAACTGATTTATCGGTACATAAAGCCGGTTTGTAAAAAACTTATATTTTCATCAGCGGGCAGATATAGCTTTACGTCCCGCTCCGAGCGGGCAGATATAGTATATCTGCCCGCTACGTCATAATCGCCGCTCGCATATTGGTTCATAATTTGTAACGTTCGTGTAATAACTGTAAACGACAATGGAGAAAAACGTAGACAATCGCGATCTGTTTGATGGTTTAAAAGGGAAGGAGCATCCAGTAATCAATGAAAAATTCGAGACCATAAATGTGGGAATATCTGAGAGAAAGGGAAAATCCGGCCACGGCCAAGAAAACAAAACTGGACATGAATATTCTAAAATATTTCCATGATTGAACAATGTGAACCAAATGACCAAGATTGGTATGGGATAAACATATTATCCTATAGTCGGTTCAGGATATTGGGATTATCCCTTGGCCAATATAATATATCTTCCCTCGGGACCTATGGCCCTCGGGCAGATATATTCTATTGGCCTCGGGATAATCCCAATATCCTGAACCTCATATAGGATAATCGCTATGTATCTCATACTTGAGTGGGTTTGGGGTAGATATCACCCGCTCCAGGCCAAATTATCTATCTATAAAATGTATTGAACTAAAGGAATTTTACGAAAATGTTAAATATATATACATGCATGAAATAAAATAAAGATTCCAGTAGCCGTACCAACATGCATGAAATAAAACAAGGATTTCTGTAGCCGTAATAACATTTTTCTAGCTTGGGCTCGACGTTTTTATATGATTTTCTTGATAGTTTAAAAATACGGACAAACGTATTTAACTGATACTTTCTGTTTTGCAGAACTGTATGCAGAAGTGTATTGTTCAAAATATCTGTCTGAAAAGCATGAAATTCTTAAATAGGTGTTATAATATAAAATTGCAGCACATTGCAATCCACCACAAAATGGTGTTGTGTATACTCCAACAAAAGAAGCATATGGCGAAGGAGAGATAGTACAGGTCACATGCAGCAATTCAACGTCAGAAAAAATAAATGTTACATGTAAACCCTCTGGTCATGGAAGTGATTGGTTTCCAAAACTTCCGACGTGTAAGGATAAAATATATATAAAAAAAACATATACGATGACTTACGGTTGTAGTCCTGAATTTGATGATTGGAAATTGATCTTCTTAAAATGTTAAAAATTTTCCATTAAAAGGTCACATCTCTCAATTAACTTCATGAAAATATTGCCATGAAACACTTTACTAGTACTCCACTTTTTCATTTCGACTGTATATTGTAATTGACGATGCTATTTTAGGTGGTTTCCAAGTCGAGATGTTGGTCGCCATTATAGTACCATCCATCCTTGTTATTGGAGGTGTAATCATCGCTGTATATGCTTGGAGAAAGAAACGGAAAAGCACAACAGGTGACATTGATAACAGCAAGTTGTAATTAAAACAAAACAAAATAAATTGAAATATGATTGATCTAGGTAGCAGTTTTAGATTTTCATGGTTCGTACACGGCGTTCAGTAAAAGCTAATTTTGTTCTTAAATTTGTATTTCTTGCAATTTGTCATTCAAATTTTCAGGAAAGAAGCATCTGACATCTTCTAACTACCCTTAGAAGTCATAGTAACGGGAATACAGGTTCTGCGGTGAAAGGAGTGGTATCGATATGGAGACCTGAATTCAACAATGTTTTTCTCTTAACCAATCATTGAAAACATTCTGTAAAACAACACGGTATTTTATGTAATGTTGACTGATTGGCAACAAGTTAATTATTTAGAAATATTTTATATAACTGATTTTGTTAACATGTTTTGTTTTTTGGTGCATTTGTTTTTGCTCCTTTCTACCAATTCTTGAGAATGAAATAAAATGTCTTTCCGAACCTTGTTGGAGCAAAATAGCATAATAGCATATAAAAAATGTTTTTAGACCTCTTAATATTATAGTTATACAAAGGAATTTTATGTTGATTTTAAAAAAGTATTCAAAAAATTAAAACAAAATCCCCAAAATAGATAAAAATCAAGATAAACCTTTTATTTCATTTACAAGATACTTTTTTAAAATCAACCAAAATTTCCTTTGTACAATTACAATATTGAGAGACCTAAACATGTTGTGTTTATGTCGTTTTGTTCCAATGAGGTTTGGAAAGATGTTTCATTTCACTCTGGAAACATGATACCAATAACAAAACAAGTGTTTGATGTGTTTTCTAAAACAATATAGATGAAAGTATATATATAGTTTTCAAATTATATTGTTATATGACCATTAAGTTGACGATGTGTTAAATTTTTAGATTTTTTATGACTGGTTTAAGAGAAACGTGTGTTCAAAAAGTTCTCCGTATCGATACCACTCCTTTTAATAGTTTACTGCATAGTAGATTTTGTTTACGTTAGATTCTGTCATGTCCATGTTTTGATCAGCTCTACTTTTCTTGCCTAACTGTGCCGAATCAGCTCGTCAATAATCTATAATTGAAAATTAAACGATGCGAACACGGTTTGGTAATACTTGGTATGAATAGAAAATCAGCAATACTTCCGTGGGAATTAATAATTGTCCCTAAAATAAATAGAATCGAACTTCATCGAACAAAGTTTGGGAATATTTGGCAGGGTAACTACTAACTAGATCAAAGAAAATTCTATGTTAGTTCTTGAAATTCCCAAATACGTCCAATCAGAGTTCGCCAAACATCAGTAAAATAAGGCTGGTAAGATACTTCAGAATGATTAGAGTCATTCGACAAAAGCTCATGATTTCTCTATATTAATATGAAAAGTAGATGAAACTGTGTAACTGAAATACTTTAATATGAAAATAAATAAAACGGTGTTCTAAAATATGGACTGTCATCTCCTGTGAAAAGGAGGGTTGATTAGAAAAAGAGTTGATTTTTTACAAAATTATGATCTAATTCATCGTATACAGGGTGTCAAAAAACAACGGCACCCCCCTCAACAGCATAAAGTTCTCAATGTTCTATATCGTGTCATACCTCATTTGAAAGATAATTTAATTCTGGAGTTACTCATCATATTTCATTTAACAAAACTTAATATTAAAAAAGCTACATTGTTTCAAAGTTTGCTACTTCGGTACTTTGTTTGCTGCTCTGTTACTGGTTAAAAGTCAAATTTTCAAAAAGTGAAATATGAAAGATTTACCCCAGATTTCAACTGCACTGAACATATGGGTTCATTTCTCAAAAACAGGGTATAGGAACTGATGGACAAAGAGCCTCTTGAAAAAAAGATACAGTAAGGATGTATTTCTGAAGAATGTGAGGAAAGTGCAAAGAGGATTATGCAACGCTACACTTTTATGTGAATTTTTATTGAAATTATATCCGTCCAGATAAGCTGCTGTTTGAGCAGTAACTGGTGGCCATACTACTAAGAATCAGCTGTACATCTGTAAAATTATATGATATAGAGCTGAAATTTCTCAGGTAACTTCAGAATTAAATTGTCTTTAAAATGAGATATGACACACCATTAAGCATTAAGTACTTTTTGCTGTAGAGGGGTGCCGTTTTTTGACACCCTGTACATACAATATATAATTAGATAGATGCCCGGTGTGTGTCCAATATAAGGCAAACAATTGGAATGAAAGTGTTTGCGTTTTTACAACTTGTGATGACAGTAATATTTCAGCAACTGGTATTCAAAAAACTCTTCGAAACAGCTAGTGTAAACTAAATGCTGTATGTCATTAGAATGTTCGGACACTTTAAATAGGCTCTTGTGTGACTTTCTATTAGGCCACATGAAAAAACACATGGGTCATCCAAGGAGTTAATTCCGGTTACTATAATAAGAATACCTGAATGTATTATCAACACACGGACATCATATCCCTTACCCATCGTCAAGTAATCATTACCAAAGTCCATAATTAAACAACAAGACAATGTCAGATTTTATTCATGCTATGAGAGTCGTTTCAATATATGTTGAAGAAAGAGTCCAAAACAATTAGTAGGGAGTTCAGTGTCATGATGGGGGACAGACAACGTAAGTCCCGAGTTGTCAAGAACATTATCTACTGGTCTATAGGTATAATAACATTTCGATTATTCTAACAGAGAGATCGAAGAAAAATACAGAAACACATGAAATGAAAGACATGGCCGTTGTTAATGAAACATCAAGAAAACCATTACTTTCCGATCTGCAACAAACACCTGCAACAACAGATGAAGGTAAGAAAGATGTTATCGCCTGATCACAAAGTTCTCATATCATAATTCATGTCTGGTACTATTTTACCTTTGACGATTCTCTCTTACCATATTTTGCCACTGCCAATATGCTTGCTTTCTTCGTCTGGTATCTTTCTTTTCATGTTTTTATTGTTTCCATTGTGATACCGTTAGTAATTTGTGAGTTTCATTTTAACTGAGATTTATTTCTGGTACTGATGATAACTAATTTAGGTTAGAGAGTCTGAAATGATGTAAACAAAAGCTCACGAATTCTTCCAGTGAAGTGTGAATTTAAGAATAAATAATATTCCCACCTCTTTGACAATCATTTTTTGTGTTTAGGATTTATCAAATGACCTTGCTAATATAAATGACGAAAAAGTTTGCCAACAAATATTTAATGAACACTATGAATAAACAATATAAGGTAAAGCGTGGATTACAGAGGGCGAAGTTGGATATTTTGACTCGATATATGACACAAATTAATAAGATATTGATTTGGAAATCTCAAGAAATTTGTTTTAATTAATATTTCCTATCACTTTCACCATCACCCTTGTAATATCAAGTAAAACTAGATTTGAAATGTTTGCAATAAAACCGCCTCAGCTACTAGTGAGAGAACTTGTACGGCGACCATACTCTCAAAACATTTCTTAAATATTTATTTACAGAAGATAACAACAAACGCAAAGGTGTAAAAAGCAAACCTCCCAAGGATGATGGAAAACAAATACCGACGGAGCAAGGTGCCTACAAGCATCTCAATGGTATTAAGTTTTTTACCTGTAAATGTTATCCAGCAGGTAGCATACAGCATAAGACCCTTACTCGAGCCAAACCAAATACGGTATTAATCGCTATGATATTAACAACAATACACTTCGCGTTAACAAACCAGACCTCGGTCACGTGGTTGAATTGCGCGCGGCGCAAGTCAGCTGCGTAATATTTGATGAAAGTTCTTCTCTGGTATCACGAAAAAGCAATACCCGGGGAGAAAAGTAATATAAATATTACACAATTGACTTGCGCCGCGGGCATTCAAAAACGCAGCCCTCGTGATAAATCATTAGGGTCTTCATCAATGAATTCTTGATCCAGCGGATGCTTATTTGTCTCTTAACTTTGGCCATATTATATAATCACCAGTAAATACGAGACATTAAGCTTTTTTAAGAGATTACGTTTGATATCTATACACCAAATTATTCTTTACGCTATCAACATGGTGTGTCACTGAAACTGCAATTTTTAGCGTACGTAGATTCACCATAGCAAATATCAGTGACAGTATGGAAACACAACAACATCAATGCCCCAAATGTTTTCTTTATTTTCAGACCACGAACGTAAAGGTGCAACAAGCAAACTTCCAAAGGTTGCTAGACAACAAAAACGGCCAGGGCAAAATGAGATGAAAGATAGTGCCGACCAAATCGATGGTATATTAGGGTTATGTACTGGAAAGTTTTTGATACAGGTTATATCCCGAGGAAAATATGTATGCAGGTCTCGAGAAATGCACATAATTCCCGAGCGATAAACTCTGGATCAAAAACCAACCATACACGGCAGATGTATTTACACCTATTGAAAAAAACATAGTAAAACATCTCTTATTAATTCTTTTAGAATCAATATTAGAAATTCATTTAAAAAGTCGTTTGGGGCGGGATTTACTCCCGTCGAGAGCTACTTAGATTTTTAAAGTATAGCTCTCTATCGCTAGAATCAACAGCTTAAGAATCCTGACTTCAAAGAAAATTTCAGGGAATTCAGCTGACTCATGTTGCACATTATATACCTGAAAATGTATCCTACATCGCCATCTTTCATTCAGCTCAACTATAGAACGTCTCACTGCCCTATGTATCGATCAGGACTTCATTTTATTGGTCGTGTCAAAAGTTTTGGCCAGATATATTCAATATGGCGGCTTGACGTTTCCCAAGTTGCGCATGCGTCGATAGTATTTCCGTTTAACCGCCATATTGGAAATGGGTATCGAACAAAAAACGATTAGAACTCCTGATCGCCATAGAAGCACATCCGCGATCCTACATGCACGAGGAAAGTAGACACATATGAGCCCATATGTAGGCTACAGTTTGAGACAAACAGCAAGCCGCTGATTGGCGCTGATCAAATTTAGATGTCACAATTATTCAGCTGGGAGATCCTCACGATGGAGAGCTATACTTTCAAAATCTAACATGGTAGCTCTCGACGTGAGTAAGGCGGGATGGTTACAGCCTGTATTCTACAGACCTCGGCGACAGCGGAATAGCTACTGAAAAAATATTACCCCCCCCCCTTAGTTTCACAATAGACATTTCCGCACGTTCATGACGTTATGTACCTAGAACCTCAATATCTATTGGATACACAAACATTTCTAAATATATATTGGTTAACGAAAACAAATCCTGCACCAAGGGATGTTGTAAAAAAAGTTCGATCCCACGACCCCGAGTTTTCAAAGAGCAACTTATTGATATGATACGAATGTATCTTAATATAATTTATTACTTTCTCTGAGCGTTCTTGGTGAATTTGCCGAAGACCATGAGCTCCCGGGTCATTTGATACCTCCAGTTCTCCAAAACGACGAAAACGACGCGACTTGGGTTTTTACTGTCATTCCAAAAATTAATCAACTTTATTTAAAATTACGCAAACATAACTATTCTTTCCGATTCGAATGTCGTTAATTGGTACTCAACTTTTGTGCATACTTCCGAAATGAGAAATGTCAAAAGTAATGTGTCATTTCAGATTCTCTAGACGATATATTATTGCTGAGCATCGGTAAGAGGATTACTAACAGCCTTGTAGATATGGCAGTCCAGCTTAAGCTAGGCAATGAAGTTGTCGATAACATTATGGCAAGCAACCAACGTGTTTCTAGCTATTGGGGGTACCAGTTATTAACGACGTGGCATCAAAGTACTGAAGTTCCCAATAAAAGGCGTGTACTTGCAACTGCACTAAGGGGTATAGGACGAACCGACCTTGCACAAGAGGTGGAAAAATATAAATCTCTTAAAATTGAGTTGAATAGGAGCGGATCTCTGTGAACCAATCTTGTGATAAACGAAAATATGTTAATTATGTGCCCAAAAAGTGACAGGACCTCTTTTCACTCTTCAAGTCAACTATGCCACTGCTTCCAAACAACAGAAGCCCGGGTTTTCGAAGCCTTTAAGAAAATGATCTTTGCAATATACGTTTAATGAAATAGAATAGCAGTTTGAGCGACGCCATAATACTAATGGCTGATAAAGTTTTATTCTTTTTGGGATTAGGAACGTTTTTAAAATGGAGGTACTTTTGATGAACTTTTCTTTATTATGATCATTTCGATTCTTTCGAATAACGTGCTCTTTGACATACTGTACGCTATCACACTGGCGTTTGACAAAGTTTGAGTTTAGAGCACCCAATCCGATGTTTGACAAAGCTTCATTCTGGCTCACTTTTGAATTTAAGACTGCATTTATTTTTAATGGAAGTCTTCTTTGATCTGGATGCCGAGTATACTTTGATTTGGAACATGCCAGTATATTTAACCCATATTCAAATGCAAATGGCAACATAGGTTCGGACATAGGTTTTGTTTATTTGAAAGTGAATACCCCTGAACTGTTTATTTATATGTAGGTTGTAACCGTATCGGCAAAAGGTATGCCATAAAACATAATTTTGTGATTTATAATAGAATAACGTTATTATTAACCAACTAGAATTAATTACGTTTCTAGTTTTGTTCTACTATTGATTATCATGTGCGCGTGTTCACAGATCGTTTCAGCTTTATCAATAGAAAATATTAACTTAACGATATTAAAATTGCCTTCTCATCATTTAAAATAGTTGAATGCTTATAGTTATATGATATTTTTCATTATAGTGCTTTCTATTTTTTACGAAATGAAAATGTACGATTACATGATACGGATTTTATATTATTTGATATATTCATATTTTTGATTTCTAGTAAATTCTGTTTGTAAAGGCCTTCATTCAATGTCACTTTGTTATTAAATGAACAAGCTTTATGAAAAAATGGCCCCTGACTTCTACATTTGAACATTTCGTTATTTGAACTTTGTGGATTTCCTCGCTCTTGGATATTCGACTTGATCCTTGTATATCTTGTATATCATCCGAAAGATAATTAAGACTGATCAGTCACATTTGCTACGTCGACTGTACGGTCTATCATTTCTATTTGTAAAAGTTCCTGTGAGATACTTTTTGCTACGGCAACCTTATAGAGAATTTTGAGAGAGAAAACTACAACTGCCGCATGCCCTTTCAAATTATGACGCATGTTCACCATAGGGCGTCTAGTGGAATCTAGTGAGTAAAAGACGATCTTACCAAAAACACATATTATTTAGTACAACAAAGTTTTTGTAAGCTGTTATTTGTGTAGACATAGAGGCTGTAAGATACCGGATAATGTATCATTTTCTGTGGAAGATCTTAAACGTCTAGTGTTTTCAATTAATCGAACGCGCCCTTAGTGACGTGACTGTCAGTTAAAATTTGAGACTCCGGCTATAAATTACGACCCAATGATCAAAAATAGGACAATTCATTCCAAAAGGTGTTGTTCCAAACTTTGCACGAATGTGTAGCATGCATGAGTGCTAACAGTTGGACGGCACATTGCCTTAACCCATCAGCTTTATGACGTGCACTTCCGCGTGGGACTATATCTTTACAACGGGAATTTCAAGTTTTTGTCAGTGTAGACATAAAAAGTTGCGGTCCTCTTACTCGCGCAGTTTTTAATATTTTCATTTGAAACTTGCAGGAACGGTGCTTTGAATCTAGCTCTCTACTCTTTGAAAACGTCATGTAGAATCAAAACAGTTGAACTATTTATTTTTTGTCGTGAAAATATTATTTTTTTAGTTTATTTTTATTTTAAAACTTTTTGGGAAAAAATGTAACAAATTTTTATTTCTTGTCATATATATCCGATATTTTGTCATCATGAAATTCGAGATTCCTTTTAATGATGGTGCAAATTTCATAACAATTGATGATTTTTTATTAGACTCCAGATGTCAATCTGGAGTCTATTGTTTTTGCCAGTATTCTTCTTTATTATTCTTTAGACGATTTTTCTATAACTATAAGGTATCCAGTAAAGACCATTATACAGTTCATTTAGGTTCAGTATCTAGTTGGCGGGAAATTGGGTCAATTTTTTATCTAGGTCAAAGGTCAAGAACTAGGTCAAATCTTACATTTTCAACCTTCTGTCCATTGTCTTCGTTGTTATTTATCGAAACGTCTTTGTCTTTTTTCATCATGTAGCTTAGAAACAGCCCTTTCATGATTTGCCATCCATTTTTTGATTACTCCTACCAATTTTGAAATATGGCGTCCAGAAAGTAGGTCGAAATTAGAGGTTTCTCAAATTTAACATATGAGTTATGAACTAAGGGAAGAATTTCCCCAGGAATCCGAATCTGCAAACCAAATTTCGATTCGACTTCCGGTTCGGAAGTTATGGCGTTTTAAAAGCTCAAAAATTTAGTGCCCATGTTAAGTCAATGGGAAAAAAAAAATTTTTGAAGTGAGAAATACGAAATATAGACTGAGTTCAGCTTAATTTAATGAAAGCCTTCAAAAGAAGGGGACCTCAAAAGCCAGTTAGTTTCAAAATTTGGACACCAAAATGCCTAGGTCAAAATCTAGGTCAAATTCAAAGGTTTTCCTTATTTTTGCGATTCTGACACTACACTTCAATTATATTCTTCGAAATTGTGTATACATGTAGCCAAGAGTGTGCTAATAGTGTTAGCCTTTTGCCGTCAGAAAGTATTTTGACCCACTTTTGAGATATGGTGTCCGAAAAGTAGGTCAAAATAAAAAATCCCCAAATTTAACGTATGAGTTATGAATTAGGGGTAGCATTTTGTCAGGAATCCGAATCTGCAAACCAAATTTCGATCCGACTTCCAGTTCGGAAGTTATGGCGTGTCCAAAAAGTAGGTCAAAATAAAAAATCTCCAAATTTAACGTATGAGTTATGAATTAGGGGTAGAATTTTGTCAGGAATCCGAATCTGTAAACCAAATTTCGATCTGACTACCGGTTCGGAAGTTATGGCGTTTTGAAATTTCGGAAAAATCGATCTGATGGTATCCTGATAGAAAGTCAAGAGTAGAGAAGAAAATATTGAAAAATTCATCCATCCTTCCTATCTGATCCTATCCTATCCTTCGTATCTATCCTTCCTTCGTATCTTTTCCTTCCTATCCTATCCTATCATATCCTTTCTTCCTATTCAATCCTATCCTTCTTTCTTATTCTATCCTATCGTCCCCTCCTATTCTATCCTATCCTACCTTCCTATTTTATCCATCCATCTTTTTCTGGATGACTCAGCTTATTCTGGATGACTCGGCTTATTTTGGATGACTCGGCTAAAAAGGTCTGAATCTGGAGTCTGAAATTGAACTCGTTCAATTTCCAAAGTCTAGTTATCAGTGTTATGTTTTCCAAAAACGGTGTACCACTGTGCATGTTTCTTTAATTGACGGCACATTTGCCTTTTTAATTGGGAGAACGTACAGGTCCGGACGCAATAAGCTTTATTTGATTTAATACACTCAAAAATAAAGTTTGCTATCAAATCAGAATGTTCACAAAACATAAACCTTGCCTTTGTTTTCCCAATTCTAAAAGCAGGCGAAATGAACTATGATAATCGTTTGACTCTCGATACTACAGAACTTGAACTTGAACATACTAAAATCGAAGTTACCTATAGTTACGCTTGTAAAGTTAATTATATGTTTAACGGCGTGCTGAGTGAATGTATCTAATCAAATTTGTCACATACCCATAAGATCGTAGATCACAATTCTAAGTTTAAAATGTAATTTGGATTCGTAAGAAGTATTTCTGTTTTAAACTTACCTTTGCTGTCTGAAAAAGACCAATATGCATAGACGGGGATGTTGAAACCTATAGTTCCTTTGAATGACCTGCATTTGTACTACGAAATGATCCTGTGGAGAAAAGTTGATGAATTCCAAACAGCTAGTTCTAGCAAATCTACTAGTATAAGCTTACTTTCTTAAAGTATTTCAATGTTAAAAATATCTATTGATATGTTTCATTTTTAAAATGATCTTTTGCTTCCCTTAACTTATATGTGTGACTTAATGAAGAATGCTGTTTACCATATCAAACTTAAGACTTAAACTTGGCAATTACTCGATACATGTTATAACGCGATTTTCTTTCATTTTCTACAAAAATGGTATGTTTTCGAACGGTCACTTATGTTAATCTATGACCATGGTATGATTGAAAATGAAAGAACTGAACCAAGTATTGTCGACTGGGTTGAATCATAAGATTTATTTTGATTGATTTAATCTCTTCTTGAATTTTAAGACTTTTGTCCGAATTACATCTGCTATGGAATTAAAGTTCAAATATACCTCAGAATTGCTTATTGAATTAACCTAGCAATTAATCTGAAAATAATTCTTTACATAGGTTATATATCATAGATCATAGATATGTAAAAAATAAAAATGTGTTTTGAAAGATGAATTGGTAACAAACGTTTTCGTACACGTGCCATTCTTCACCTTCAGCCCATTTAAAGCACGAAATCCCGTATGACGTAATATAACGAAAATGCGCAGATAATTGATATTTTTTAATTTTAATTCAACTCACATTGACCTTTCTTATTTAGAACGTGTTTAAAGTTCTCATGTTAAGAAAATAGATATGTGGAAAGGCAATGGTTTAAAGCTTATGAAAATGTCAAAATCATAATTCAGTTTTAAAATGAGATATTGACATGCATTCACGCACATGTGACATTATCTCTTTTTGTTCAATTCAAACATAAAAATCTCATTACAGTTATACATATGAACCAATCTTAGTCATGCCTTTCTAATAGAAGGAACTAAATTTGAATCAAAAAATAATTCTGTGTAAAGATTATTCCCCATAGATATAATAAATGTCAAAAATGTCAAAAAATTTATCAAAAATTAAATACTCACACGCTTTTAAGCACACATGACCTTTTCCAGTTTTGCTCATTTCATTTACCTTGAAAACCAAGGAAACCGAACGCAATTGCTATATATACAACCTTGATACGTGTACCAGGTCTATAATTGGATTTTCTTATGGAAGAAACTAAGAAAAAATTATAAAAATAATTCTGCGTCGGGGTGATGCTTCACAAATAATATTAATGTCAAAAAATTAATTCATTTCTTCAAAATTAAATACTGACACGCATTTACGCACACATGACCTTTTCCAGTTTTGCTTATTTCATTTACCTTGAAAACCAAAGAGACTGGACGCAATTGCCAAATACTTCTTTGATACGCGTGTCAGGTCTATAATTGCATTTTCTCATGGAAGGAACCAAGCAAAAATTATAAAAATAATTCTATGTTAAGGTGATGCTTCACAAATAATATTAATGTCAAAACTTTAATTCATTTCTTCAAATCCAAATACTGACACGCTTTTACGCACACGTGACCTTTTCTCCTTTTGCTCATTTTTTATCCTAAAAATCAGTGAGATTAATACATTGTCCGATACTTCTTTAATACATGTCGGTTCTAAAATTGCAGTTTATCATGAAAGAAATCGAACAATTATTATAAAAATAACTATGTGAAAAGGTGATGTTCTTCAGATCATATAAACATCAAAATTGTAATTCATTTATTGAAAGTTTAATATCCACATGCTTTACCGCACACATAACCCTTTCCCTTTTTGTTCATTTCATCTATCTTAAAAATCAGTGAGCCTGAACTCATTGCTAAATAATTTTTGATATGAGTCAGCTGCAGGTCTAAAATTGCATTTTATCATGGAACAAAACGAACAATCATTATGAAAATAATTCTGTGTAAAAGTGATGTTCCAAAGACAATATATATGTCAATTTGATAATTTAGTTACTCAAAATGAAATATCCACATACTTTTACGCACACATGATAATTTTACTGAATGACGCTACTTTTTGGATTCAACCATGCATATAACCTCGTAAAATACACATTTCTACCGAAATTATGCCCAACCGTTTTCGCAGAAAATGTAACAAATGAAGGCATTTTATCGGAACTGATTGATATTTGGTACTTATAAAATATCGTATTTACTTTAACTTTTAAGCGATTCAGACATTTAAAAAAATGATGTTTAATCAATGTTAATTTCGCAGGAATATAGGGTACAAAATGAGTGAAAGTCTCACGTGTTTGATTGCATTTTACTCTCATTCATGTGCATTTTTCTAACATTAAAATGAGATAGTTCGAAAGAAGAGATCAGTAGAATTCTATCCGTCACTTTCATTTTCAAATGTTTAAATGTTTACGATTTCAATGGACCTCATAAAGATGGTAGCCAACGGACCAGAAACAAGTAGTGCGATGACGTCATATATCGCTACACCACTTTGATATAAAGTTTGGTAAACAACAATGTTTTTTTTCAATGTGCCGTCCTACTGTAATGCCTTGGTCACATTTGCTCCGATTTTCACTACGGCGCCCGGCCGATTGAGTATTTTGTTCAAAATTGAATACAATATTGAACAAAACACTCAATCGCCGGGCGCCGGCCGATGGATCGGAGCATATGTGACCCAGGCATAAGTTTGGGGAACAACTACCTTCTAACTACCACGACACCTTAATGCCTTGGTCACATTTTCTCCGATTTTCACTACGGCGCCCGGCCGATTGAGTATTTTGTTCAAAATTGAATACAATATTGAACAAAACACTCAATCGGCCGGGCGCCGGCCGATGGATCGGAGCATATGTGGCATAAACATTATCAAATCGAATCAAGAGTGAACGATTTTCCACAGATACGAGTACGAGTACAATAATGTTTTCTCATATCGTTCGTTATTATGTTCCAATGCGTTTTCTTGAAATGTTCGTGATCTTGGTGATACTGATACCCACTTAGTGATGTCGGAGTCACATTTGCTCCGACTCATCGGATGGATTCCGGTCGATTGAGTATTTTGTTCACAACTAAATACAATTTTGAACAGAATACTTTATCGGCCGAGCGCCAACTGATGAATCGGTGCAAATGTGACTCAGCCGTAAAAATGCTTTGCGATTTCTTGTGTCCTCCTGATCGAGGCAATATCGCTCATAAACTCACATTGGTGAGTGATGTCTAGGTCCCATTTTGAATTTGAGTTATGCCTAGGTCCCAAATTGAATGCAATATTGAACAAAACACTCAATCGGGCGGGCGCCGGCCGATGGATCAGAGCAAATGTGACCAAGGCATAATGTGAGCTAGGCATTATAGTACATGTACATTATAACCAGATTACAATAAACGTTGGTTCCCAAAGCAGGCACAGTTGAATGTTTTCCTCGCTTCATTGAATGCAATCATCACGGATCACACAAATACTTTATAAGCACTTCTATTGTGAATTTCGAAGTGGGAGTTAGCTCATTGAACATGTGCTCTTTTTCGGTTGATTGACGGCGTAAAGCTTTTCAAAAATCATCAGTAGTCCAGAGGTTATAACACCATTCCAAGAAAAATCGAATGTCTTTCTTAGAAATACCATTAATTTATCAAGGGAGTGGTGAAATTCAGCAGCTATGGCACTAGACATCGGCAAATTTTGCCGCATTACCTCGGAACAGGCTATTCGACATTATGTTATGAAAAGTACACTGTACTTGGAAACTCGAAAACTATCCTGGTCGGACTTTAGTACATTCCAAGAAAACTCTCACTGGCTCAATCACTGATAACTTGAGAATGCAGAGCAGATCTAGAGCTGGTTGACAGACCCAAACTAAAGAAAGCTGTTCTGTAAAAGCTTCTAATATCAGACCACAAGACGAGAGAACAACAATCACTTCGAATGAGCGATAAAGTGAATCGTTCGAACTCAACGAGAAGAAACGGACAATACATGGTCAACTTATAAACATCCTCTGAACCTCGGACACATAGCCATGATCGCATCGTCCATCTGTGTTTGGCTGTTCTTACTCACGATCTCTACCATTCTAGGCATTTGCAATGCCAATTGGTCTGACGGTAGGTTATCGCAACTTTTTACTTCTGACTTGTAGGTCTCGTGGTAGTTATCAGAAATTTACCAAACAGAAAGTGAAAAAATGCTGGAATTTTGAAAATTTTTGAACTAAGATAACAGCATCCTGTCTTGATTTTCAGTCGGTTTTACTAGTTCCATATATTATTTACATGACCAGAATCACCTGGTCATGGTCAGAAAAGATGATAAAATCTCTCTGAAATTGTGACTGAAAATAGTTAAAAGTTATCTATTGATCATCATGTTCCTCCTGTGGGAAAAACATGAAATTGTCTGAAACAAGAATTGTGGTCAGAAATGGAAGAAACAGCTTTTTAAATCATTTTTTTTTCTTATTTTCTATTTCTAGAAATGAATTCAAATTTTCAAAGCTCGTTTCGTTAAAGCAATATGTTGGGCACATTTTCTGAAAAATTCAAAATATTCTGTTCAGTGACCTTACGGAAATGCTAACTTTTAACTTTTTTCAGTCACAATTTCAGAGGACTGAAAAAGCTATTTCATTTTGACCATGACCATTGTGATCTTGGTCATGTAAATAATATATGGGAGTAGTAAAACTGATTGAAGGTTAAAGCAGAACCATATATTATTGCAAAATGATATTTTGATTTCTTATTTTTTAGCTTTCACTGACGCAGTTAAACAGTGAAATGGACTCTAAGAATGAATTGAAATTTTTAAAGATCCTATCATTTCAAGCAATATATTGGGCACATTTACTGAAAAATTCAAAAGAGTCTGTTTATGACCTTTCTGAAAGGACAACTTTTTACTATTTTTTCAGTCACGTTTTTAGATGGCTGAAAAAGCTAGTTCATGATTTTTCGTCATTTAAATGTTACTCGGGAGTAGTAATTAAACTGACTGGAGGTCAAAGAAAAATGTGAATTTTTAAATTTTCTTTTTGAACTGAGTTCTACTTGTACTTTGACCTTCAGTCAGTTTACTACTCCCTATATCATTTACATGACTATCACAATAGTCAGAATGACCATTAACATGATGTACTAGCTTTTTTCAGCCCTCTGAAAATGTGACTGAAAACAGTTAAAAGTTGGATTTTCGGAAAGGTCACCAAAAAGAATCTATTGATTTTTTAGAAAATGTGTCCAATATATTCCTTGAAATGATAGGAGCTTTGAAAATTCGAATTTATTTCTAGTAATAGAAAGCATGAGAAAAACTTATTTGAAAAGCAATCCATTTTCCTTTTTATTACCACCACTTTTGTTTCAGACAAAGTTTTTAAAGCTCCTGTCATTTGGAGTAATAAATTGGACACATTTTCTGAAAAAAATTAACATATTCTGTTCAGAGACCTTTCCGAAAGGTCAAAACAGAACTTTGTCATCTCAGTTAAGAAAATCACATGTTTTTCATTTCCTATTTGATGTAAAATTCTGATAACTGCGACGGCACTTTAATGTTAAGAAATATCAAGGTTTCGTGGAAGTTAACATGAAATGACACTGACAAGTGACGGAAATATCAGGATTTTTGAACTAGGATAACAGAGTTCTGTTTCGACTTTCAGTCAGTTTTACTAGTTCTACATATCATTTCTTATATTTAACAAGGATCACAATATAATAGCATTACACAATGCAAACGCTTTTTCAGTTCTCTTAAAATGTACATTGTACATTATAAATAAAATCGTTTTATCTGCAAGAAACATATTATGTCTCAGTCATGTTGATTTAAAAAAACAATATGTCGGAGAAGCATTAAGATACAAGAGACTAAGCATCTTAGCCAAACCACAATCAATCTAAGATATACAAACAAAACAAATTTGCGTGTAAATTAATTGAGTTTTCAATACGACATTGCACTTTCATTTTCTAGGTTCGTTGACGAACAACCCAGTTTAAATGGAGCCTGTTATTTATGAATGTTTTTTTCATAAAATATTATACAATGTTAAGGTGATATTGCTTTTTTAGATTCGATTGATCAACGCATTGTATTTTGACCCTTAGTCAAAGCATTAAAGGCCCTATATAAAGTTTGAAATTATGTTTTTATCATTTAATTACTATTTTTCATAACTTTAAGTTATTTGGAGATTTTTGAAAAACAAATTCTTTGAAGAAAAAAGTTGTAAGCTTTTTATATTTCCAATATCCAAAGTTCCCTTCATTTTTCAAATAAAGAATTTTTTTAATCATCAAATATTCCACCATACAGTGAAAATTACATTATTTTTTAACACCATTGCGAAGATTGAACAAATTAAAAACTATTTCAATGACAAAATGGCTTAAAATGTCGTATTGAAAGTGTCACTTAAATTTTTAGCATATTAAAAAAATGTGCTACCTGTAACATCATCGTGATGTCATTCGGGGTGCTAAAATGTTTTGAAAAATCGCATTTGTATTGCAAACATTTTTTATATATGTCACAATTTCAAAAAAATGTTGATAGTCTAACCAGATTGAAAATGGAAATATATTAAGAAAAATATTTTTAAATATTACTGAACCATTGTTTTCTACGAGAACTTAAATTTTACTTGAAATGCGCTTTTCTCTGATCCACTTTCATGCATGTATAAGCTCATTTCTCGCTTATTTAATTTATTAACCAATTCTCTAAATTTTAAGATAAAAGAAATGTGAGGATGAATGCTATCTATTGGTGTGAATTATCGCTAGTTAAAAGATATGTGTGCTCTTAAATTTAGTTCTGATTCAATTTTGAACAAAAATTTCTTCAAAAAAAAGAAAGTTTCAAATATCACATTTTAATAACAATGGGTAAGACTACAAAATAAGCCAAAGTGGTAAAAACTTTATATGGGGCCCTTTAACAATGGCCACATTTTCACAATTCTAGGTAGTGTCTGTTCATCCCTAATCGTTCTCAAGAACAGTGGAACATTTTCATCGCCTGTAGGGAGTGATGGACAATATCCAAGTGGTCTCAAGTGCGCTTGGTCACTTACAGTTCAACCGATTCATGTAAGTCCATGCATACCCTACATTCTTGTTTCAATCGAAAGCGGTAAGTGAATTAACCCTATTATCGCCCAATTATTTTTTCGAAATAAGCTTGTGGTATCTCTACGAATATGGAGGATGCTATTAGTTTTTAAAGAACGTGTACATGAACGAATAATGCGACACACTTATTTTTATCTACTCGTATTTTAGCTACACAACGCTCCAAAAAGGAATACGAACATCAGACTAGGGCGTAATGCGTATCGTTTATCTAGTGTTTAATATTCATTGACTTAGGTAATCCAATTGACGTTTTCTAAGTTTGAATTGGAACAATCTTTGAACTGTGAAGATGGTGATTACGTTATTGTTTACAACGGCGAGAGCTCACGAAATGACCCACTGGCTACAATCTGTGGGGAGAATGCAAAACCAATATTTTCAACGACGTCCAAAATGATAGTGGAGTTTATCTCAAATGATAAGATTGAGCGCTCTGGATTTACGGCCAATTTTAAAACTGTTGACCAATCAGGTATGCAAAATTGTATAGCATGAAGTGTCAATTATAGTCTCTCTCAGAGGACTTACCCCGAGCGCAGAGACTAGTTCTAGATGCAAAGCCATTGCTTAGTCAAACAAAACGAATGATGTGATCTAGTGAAAAGCCGGGTGAAAAGCCGGGTGAAAAGTTCGCCTTAAAACTTATGATACAAGACTCTCGATCTAATTTAGAGCACTTAATATATTTTATATAATTATAAGCTAGGCATATATACAATAATCCCGACAGAAAACAGACATGAAAAAAACTCATTCTTTTCAGTGTCATATTTAACAAGAAACTATGATTTAATTTCAAAAAGGGATCAAACTAAACTGATGAATGAATCCTATGATTCGTTATATTTATGAGTAATTGTAAAGGCATAATTCAAATTTTCTGTTCCAGCTGCCGCTTGTGCCAGTGGAAGAGGTCCTCTCAATTTGACAGACACTAAAGGTTCAATCAAATCACCAGGATATGATGGAAACAGCATCTACCCCCCTAATATTATGTGCCAATGGGTTATCAAGGCAAATGAAGGGATGGTAAGACATAGCAGCACTATTTGCTAAAATGTAGCTTTTCAATACTCACGTGATCTATCTTTTATCCAAGGGGAAACATACCTTCAAAATATTGTATGTTTTTAGGAGATCGATCTTACGGCAGATAGATTTGCTCTAGAAGAATCCAGAGGATGTCACCATGACCACGTGGACATCTTTGATGGGTCTGAACCCGTGTTATCTAAACTACTAGGAAAATATTGTGGCATCCATGCTCATGTTGAACTCGACCACGCACCTGCTTCAAACATGATGCTTATCACATTTATATCCAACAAAAATGTTGGCGGTCTTGGATTTAGATTTCGATACAGTGTTTATCCTAGGGTTGCTTCAAGTAAGTATAAATACATCGGAAATTATTTAAGAAGTAAAAATACATATTGCCTTATAAACGATAATTGATGTATCTAAATTATGTTATTTTACTAAAGCCTGCGACGTAATGAGATGTGTTGATCTAAACGACATTTAATGTGTGCTATTTTGTTGCCAACACAACTGCAGCTAGCCATGTGATATATATTGTAGATAGTACCCCGGACAGGTTGTATGATGCAGTCGTTTTTTTACTCTATATTTGCAATAGAACAACCATTCTTATTGAAATTTTCAAGATTTATTCTAGAGACAATTTCCAACATGGAAAATAAATATTTTATCAAAATTTCCAATTTTATGATTTTGACAGGCTTTTTACAAAAACACTACACTTTCAATAAAATACAGGTTTTTGCTTGAACAATTGAACTTTTAACGTCATATCAAATATTGTCTGGCTATTGAATTTCCGGCTGCCTAAAGTTTTTCCAGATATATCTGTTGCCATATTAATAATTATGGCTGATTATTGTCATTCACTTGAGTCATATTCAATATTATTACAGTGAATTAGGCAAATAAAAACGTGTTGCCCTGGGTCTCGTTTTGTGAAGCGTTCCCTAGATTGAGCCCAGATAGAGGAGGTCAATCTCCTTGTCCACGGACATGAGTTCAAGCCGGTCACTGTTCAATACTGTCCAAAATGAAGTAAAACATTACAAATCTCCTATTTGAAGTATTCTTGGCATTAGATCTTTCAGAGATGTTAATACAGCTGTGTCAAATTTTATCATGAAATTGTCAGGGAGACCTGACATTTTAAAAGCATGGTACAATTTATGTGCCACAGGCTTGCATGCTGAGTGACGGTGGCGGAAAAACCCAGTGGAGAAAAAGGTGCGTTTTCAGAGATAATGTGACCCAGAATGACAAGTTTTTCATTGGCCTAATGCACTGTAATAATATTAGGCCTAATGAACATGACAAAAATGAATAACAATAATCAGCCATAATTAATATGGCATCAAATACATCTGGAAAGACTTCAGGCTGTCAAAAATTCAATGGTTAGACAATCTTTGAAATGACGTTAAAAGTTTAATTGTTCAAGCAAAACCTGTATTTTGTTGACAGTGGAGTGTTTTTGAATAAAGCCTATCAAAATCATAAAATTCGGAATTTCGTTAAAAAAAAATTTTTCCATGTTGGAAATTGTTTCCAGGATAAAATATGAAAATTTCAATAGGAATTGTTGTTCTATTGCAAATATAGAGTAAAAAAACGACTGCATCATACAACCTGTCCGGGGTACTATTGATCATCTTTCTTAAAAACAGCTTTATTTGATGATGCTTGCGATCAGCTCCTAAAAGATGTTAAATATGTTACCCATGTGTAGCCCTTTTTATTATGATTAAAAAACTATTTGTCTAATATTTGTATCCTCCAACACACTTGTTAAATCAAAAGTGTTAATGCTTTGTTTGTTGAAAGCGGCGCCAAAAATGACTTTAAGCTCTTAAATGACATACAACGAAAGACAAAATATTGTTATTTCTGTGGTGAATTTAGGTTGTGCTGGCCAATATTTTGTATACTCCAAACATTAAGATGTTAGATTTGTATATATCTGATTTTGAATTATTATTTTGAGATATGAAACGTATCTAATGTAGTATTTAAATGATTGTTATAAAAATTCTCAATTATATCTTAAAGGGTTACGTATACCTTCCCGTATAAATACAATATAAATCCTGGTATCAGTCCAAAACGTTCTGTTTCATTAATAGGACATTTCATAAGACCATGCTTTATACTTATACTTGATAGCTAAATCAAGATATCAATTTTTCCCATTAAACACAAACTTAAAATCCTAAAACTTAAAATCCTCAAACTTCACCAATAAAAGGTGAAATTGATTTATCAAAATAAAAATTCCCCTTTTGTAAAAGCATGGCGATCTATACCACACTATTGCTACATAAACAGTCAGAGGTCTTTACACAATGACCTCAACATGTGCACCCTTGAGTATCATTCTGGAATCTTGCCTTTTATACCAAACGGTGAGCAACACAAAAAGTCATCATTAAAAATTCACCATTAAACTATTTTTAGAAAAATAAGCAATATTTTCAATACAAATTATTATGGTCGTGATTTCCCCCTGTGTTGGCAACAAAATGTAACACAATGAATGTTGTTGATATATGATATCAACACACAGTCGCAGTCTTTAGTACCATAACAAAATTTAATTATATAATTTATCATAGAGTGACCCATACATACATGTAGGTTTACTTCAAGTATTGGTCAATCTTTATCTGCCACTTTATTTATATATCCATAGCTTCCATGGCACTGTGATTTTATTCACACGTTTTGTCTTTCCATGCAATCATCCCAACATTGGGTAGGGTAAGATTTGAGTTGATTTATTAATACTTTCTCACATACTGTATCTCTCAGGGTCAAACCAAAATGGAGCGAAAACTTTGTTAAATCTTCCTGGTTGCGGATTACCTGCTATCCGAGATGAAACAGGGATAAATCCTTATATCCTAATAGATGGTAGTATTGAAGCTACCCCTCATAGTTGGCCATGGACTGTCATGATAGTAGACTCCAGTGGTAGCGCAAATGCACAAATCTGTGGTGGTACTTTAGTGAGGAACAACTGGGTTATCACTGCGGCATATTGCATTAGAAGGTGTGTAATCAGTAACCTATTTAACCGCATCATGTACATTTCTTTTTCCAAAAATATAACATTAAGAAGTAATCATTTGAAGCATCAGAACCTTAGCATTATGACTAGACAATACATGATGTATATTGTGATTGTCTTGCAATTATATGGAAGTTTAAGCATACATGTAGGTTCTGAGCCGGCCGATATAAAGATGGCAGCACCGTCGGAATCCAGTATATTTTTGAACATGCCATCTTTATTTGAAAATTATTTCTATCGACCTTAGCCTATGGGTATAAGTTAAAGTATTTCATACAATATCAAAAATTGTTTTCAGTACTTCACCATATTCGCTAAAGGTCAGGCTTGGTGAGCACAGTCAAACGGATTATAACGATGGAGGCTATGTTGCAAATGTTGCGGAAATCATGAAGCATCCAAATGCAAGTGATGGATATGATATAGCAATGTTGAGGCTTGTAGAACCACAACAGCTGACTGATAATGTTCAAACTGCTTGTATTGTACATGAAGATGTTTCTGGTGGTCATGGGTATAACTGCGTTGTTACTGCATGGAGTTCTAGGACATGTAAGTTGTTATCGCCTCTTTTTCAATGTTTGGATACTCACGTACTAGATCTATCTAATTGTCTCTATTGTAACTACTGATATCCAATATTAAAATCCATTGCATGATGAAGTCAAAACAAAGCCTAAAGTTCTGGCAATCATTCTGATTCTCATCACATCTTTCTGTCGTCAACGAGAAATTGTATAAGAAGAAGCTATATGTTAGAAGCTAATAGAAGGCCATATCTGGCAATGGAATACAAGCTTATTTATTTGCTAAGATAAGTTATTATCATAAAATTTCAGATTTTGATAGGCCTAATCCACCAGTTGCTCTCAAGAAAGTTGGCTTTCAAATTCGTCCAAGAAAAGAATGCTATAGGCATTATTCGTATTTCAATGACACCATGATATGCGCTGGATATATGGAGGATAGGTGTCATTATAACGTATGTGTTTAACCTTTACTTGCACATACCATTTCACAACCTAATTGGCATTTTTGGGAAACTGAGTTACCGCAGACCTAAATGTTTAATAACTATTGCTCTAGACAGTATATCCTTGGAAATTCACAAATAAATGAGATGAAAATTGATCCTATTGAATTACAATATAAACCAAAACAACACAATAAGGCGTGTATTGAAGATTTAACTTCCTGTTTTCTCAAAATCTGCTTGGAACTGTATCATTGCAATTGGATTAACATGGGAAATTCCTCAAAAATAAAATTCTAGGGATTAAAGAAGGAGTCAGCATTAAATAATTTGACAAGTTATTGGCATACAGGAAACCTATTTAAAACAGCATTCATCTTTTTCAAAAGCGAATATGATCAATGATTCTCAGCCCCCTGTAGGTTTGAAAAATAACAATACCTGGGTGTTAATCCATGGATCATCGTTGAAAATGAGAAATAATTTTTTGGGGGATTATACGGTGTAATCCTATAGTCAACAAAAAGTTTTAAAGTGTATTCCTGTTTTTAAGATGAACACATCAGCAAATGCATGAAAAAACTCCCACAATCCATTCTGCAAACAACTCGCGGCCCTTTGAAATCTATTTAGGATTAAGCCAAATCTGACATATTGTGATTCAAAACTTTAATTGTATAGAATTGTGTTATATTTCAAGTTGGGAAGAGTTGTCTTGGGATGAGATGTCTTTGGATGAGATGTCTTGGGGATGAGTTATCTTGGGATGAGATGTCTTGGGGATGAGTTGTCTTGGGATGAGATGTCTTGGGGATGAGTTGTCTTGGGATGAGATGTCTTGGGGAGGAGTTGTCTTGGGATGACATGTCTTGAGATGAGTTGTCTTAGGGATGAGTTGTCCTGTTTCCCTTTAATCCATTGATTATCCAGATAAACACCAATTCATTTATCAATAAATACCCTTCAAAGTCTATTAAAAAAAGTAAACAATGTTTTGGAGGATTTGTTTCAAAGGTTTTGTAAAGTTATATAGTATTTGCACTTTTTCAACATTCCAACATTCCTCATCAATCGTGATACAAATTGAAATTTTTGGGCTCTCAGAAGAAGGATGGGACAGTTAGGTTTATTAACATGTGTGATTTAGTTTTTCAGACGTTACAATTTTCAATATATTCTAAGCAGATATCCTAACCCATTCCCTAACTCATCATTTAAAGATATGCTAGGCAGATAAGTAGGTCTGTTGAAAATGATTGTGTTGAAGAATTCATATTGCTTATTGCGAGTGATTATTTAGCATGTTACTGAATATCTCATCAAGTGACCTAAACTACAGCAGCTAAAATAAGCATATCGAAATATTATAATTCAGTATGATTTGGAGAAGGGGATTATACAGTTATAAGGGATTAGAAATTATATATCATCTTACAATTTAGCTCAATTCTTGAATTTGAAGATCTATTGCCATATTGTTTAAAATGCGTTACAATCGATCGATCTGATGGTAAGAACTAGTATGTGATATGATCGATTTTACCTTTTTGTCGTCATTGCTGAGGAATACAATAATACCACTCCAATTAATGATAACTCATTTATTGTATTACTTGTGCTTGATACACATACTGGAAGATATGCTTTTAAAATTAGTAAACCATTACCAAAATTATGGTTACCCTGTAGTAGTGAGAGGCACATTAAAAATGAATATCACCCCCTTCAATCTATTTTTACAGGTTTTTATGATTATGTCACATTTTTCTATATTTTGCGTAACCAGGATGGTGAATTTTCTTCATTTTTCTTCAAACATTTCGCCTTACCAATATTTATTATATCTGTCAATTTCAAGAAAATCGCACCGCTACGTTTGAAAATAATTCAAATTTTGTCGTTTTTCCCATTGAGCTCCATTATAAAAATGGAATTTTCAAACTTAATATTTTAAAATTCTACGCGGTGAAAAGTTCCATATTGAGTAGTTAGTTAATGTTATGGTGTTGAAAATTCAAAACAAAAAGGAATAAAGAAAAAATGCCACAGAGAAGTCTCAATAGAGTCTCTTTAATTACATGAAATTACTTGATTACAAAAGTGTTTCATTTTTAGACAGCTGGGATAACTAGGTTATCCCAAAAGTGCCAATGAGGGTTAAATGCTATTGGGATCTTTGTTAAATGATTTAAGTCAAGGGTCCGTCGATTATTTAACACAGATATGTCTTGTATGATGACTTTGAAAGCGGATGGTAACCTGAAATCAGCGGCTATGATAAAACGAATGCATAAATGAGCCAATCTTGATTAATTCCTCTTCATCGACATGAAGGGATCTATTTTCCGTTATATGTAAAACTGCCTCCATTTCTATTATTTCAACAGAATTACAATTGTTGTTTTATGGTTTATAATGTATCAATAATTTGCTGAATATTTTACTCCAGGAGTTTATAGGATCGCCAATGGTGTGTCAGTTATCATCAACCCCCTCTGCACCTTGGTTTCTTACTGGTATAGTCAACTACATTTACTGTGCCAACGCCGATCGACGACCTGGTGTCTTCATAAGAATAGCAAACGAGGAGATTCAAAATTGGATCATTGAACTAATCGATAAGCCAGTCCCAACAGCTGACCCAAATGATCCATGCTTAAATAGGATTGAATTAACTGAATCCACTGGTGTCATCAAGACGAATGGTTATCCCTATAATTATGCTATTAATTTACAATGTAGATGGTTGATAAGAGGCTCAGTGAACCAGGTTTGCTCTGTAAAACCCTACTATCACACCAAACTCGTTCTCATTACGTTCTCTAAAACGGGCCCAAACTGTGAACGAACGGATTTGACGTAATTATAACGGTTTAGGGTCCATTTGCAAACTTCATGAACGTAGTTAAACGGGTAGGTCCTCCAGAACTCAGAGCATTCTCAAAATTGTCCAGTGGTCGCTACATTCTGCAGTCAGAACAAGTGACAACGTACTTAAGTCGAACTGGACGTACTGCGAACGGAACTGTCTTCCATCCTACCTAGTACGTTTTAGAACGAGATGAACTGTCTTGGGACTATTGTGAACGAGGTAGAACTAATTGCAAATGGGTTTAAACTGATTCAGGATGTATTAAAGACTATTTATGAACGACAGACTAGTTGCCACTACTTTTTTTGTGCGAACGGAACGAATCTAGCTGCAACTTTTATGGTCTGTTTACAAACTTTATGGATATGCTCGAACGGAAAGGTGATTTAGAATTTTGAATCATTTCAAAATTCGATGGCGACAATACCGCTCTATGATTAGATTATTTGACAACGTATTTCAAACGAGATGACCTACTAGACTAGAAACGAAATCGTTGTATTTCGAACGAACTGCGAATGAGATGGATATGATGGACGTATTGAAAACTGTTTGTATACAAAGTAACTAATAATTTTAGATATATTTCTCGACCACACCCAGATTTAGCCTGTTTTAGGCCCACGACATTTTTGAAAAGAACGGTTGAGAACTAGTTTGGTGTGATAGGGGGTAATAGTAATATAACCATCAGTTTGAGGCCGATATAGAATGGTACCCTTGGCCAAAGTTGGTATTCTTTTACTTATCTGATCTTAAATTATTACTATAATCACACCGGTGTAAAAGGGTAGGTGGTCCTATCAAATTTTGGTCCTACTCTCTATTGAATTAAATGGTGACCTAATTACAAGTATTTTCCTTATATATTCAGGGCCAGTAAGGACCGTAAGGAAAGGGGACCATAATTCCCAGGGGACCATAATCCCCAGGGGACCATAATTCCTTTCACACTGGAATAGCCTGACAACGGTAAAGTCAGATACCGTTGTCACAAATGGCGGACATAACCATCGCTTCAATTATATTTTCATGAACTGTATGTTTAAAAGAGCACTTAGACTAAATTCCATTGGAACAATCAATCAAAGTGCAAAGTGTTTTTAATACTCATTGTACAGTTAATAATGTTCTACCATTGAAATAAAGTCTTTAATTTAACCGATCAAAATAAGATACGGGACAACGGACACTGTAATTACCATATGCCGTTGTCTTTCTAAATTACTCAAATATAGATTCCGTTGTCATTGACGATATCGAAGACGCTATATTGTGGCGATTCACAACCTAATTTGATCGAAATTGGGATTTCATATGAAACATCACAAGAGCTTAATAAATGCACAGAATTAGCGACGATAAAATCCCATGAAATGAGGACCAAGTTATTAAACAGTTGAAGCGACGGTTATGTCCGCCATTTGTGACAACGGTATCTGACTTTACCGTAGTCAGGCTATTCCGGTGTGATAATAGAAATCAAGATAAGTAAAAGAGACCGACTAAGGAACGGCTATAAAATGGTAGCAGTAACATCTTTTATTATATTCTCTTAAGTCTTAGGAAAAGATTAGATAGCTCCCAGTATTTCATCTCGATTCTCTTACAAACTTACCGAGCCTGGTATTTTCGTTGGGAGCGTTCAATGGCCTTCTATGCGACGACCAAAAGGAAAGGCTTGTTTTATTGCCCGACACCATAGATATACAGGGAAAGTAAAGATACAAATACTCTTATTTTAAGAGATTTAGTTTTTTTGTAATGAAATCGCTACAGAGTGTAGAGGCACTACATTACAATACATCTACCAACTTTTATAACATATAGTCTAAATGTGTTGAAGTTACGGTTGTTATGGTTACGATGGTGAGGGGTATGCGGAGCAGTTCCAGGATATCGCTAAATTGTTATAAATTGCTAAAATATAACCATTTGAAATAGTGTTTATTATTGTATTTCTTATCAGTTTTTTTTTGTCCGATATTGTATTCTTGCCGCCATAGTATTCTCTAGTATAACGGTATCATTGATACATATCAGAACTATGTAATGTCACAAGTATAATGAAAGAAAAAGAGTGTATAAGTGCTTAGAAAAGTGTCCCTGGATTAATGGGAAAGCCAATAGTGCACCTCCACAGTCAATATTCCAATGCACAAACCAAAGAAACAAATCTTACAACTGAATGTCTTGGCATTAACCTTTTTGTACAATGGCCCATATTTCCCTGATAATGTCCCATTGGACTTCTACATTAATGAATATGTTAAAGCAATATTTGTGAAAATGTCAACATAAAAATCAGAGTCGGCTGGAAACCAATGTTATCAGCAATCTTAGAGACTGACAACAAAGGTTTTGTCAGGTCTTTGAATCTTCGGTCAAAATGCACCAAGAATCTTTAAATAAAGGTGGAAAATACATTATACTTGATAACAATAGTAATGTCAAATGATTAAATAATGTTACAGTAGTACTAATCCTTTTGCTGTTGTGGTACATAATTTGATGCATAATAGCAACAGGCGACGGAGTGTCAAAATTATATGCACAGGAGAAAATAATTTTAAATCATAATTGTGACGCTGCTCCACATACCTGTGACTCCTGTTACCATAACAACCATAACTTTTTTATTTTGAAACAATTTGTCATGACAGTTGCAGGATAAATTGTTACAATGTCATTCTACAATCTGTAGCAATTTCATCTCACAACAGGTAAATCTAATGAAATAAGAGCATTTGTATCTTTACTTTCCGGACACCCTGTATATTCCTAAATAACAATTCAAACCAGTTGAACTTAAAGCCTTGTGTCAATACCGTTCCGGGTCGAAGGGTCCCTATATTAAAGACTATCTAGAAAAATACATAAAATCTATTATTTCTCCATGAAATTATTTAAAAAAAAGTAGGTAGGTTGTTGGTCTTTATTATTGGAAAGTTTAAAGTTATTTTTATCAAACACTGACAAAATATATGAGAGCAGGGCGTCCAATACTTTTGGATCACCCCTCGTACAATAACATATTAGACCAAAACTTACAATAAAAATCCCAAAGTGCAAAATGGCGGCAGTTAACTGTGAAATTAAGTTAACGCGACAGACAAGGTCGTGAACTCTATGACATAATGAAATCGAGATGAAATGCTTGGAGCATTTTGTTTACATTTGCTCGGATTCATCGACCGGCGCCTGGCCGATTAAGTCATTTCGTTCATTTTTGAACAAACTCAATCGGCCAGTTTCTGGCCGATGAATCCAAGCAAATGTTACCAAGGTATTAGTAATCATAGGGTGCTTAGAGACACGATCACTTGATTATTTAATATCAGATTACCATTCATGTTTACAGAATGTAAGGCTGGAGTTTACGGATTTAAAGATGGAGGATGCAGTTAATTGTGAATACGACAATGTCAGTCTGTTTAGTTCTGATGCACCAGATGAAGCAAGAAAACTTGGAACCTTCTGTGGTGTCTGGGTGGCTCCTTCAGTTTATACGTCAACTGGGAGTAACATGTTTATTCTATTCAATTCGGATGATAGTGTGACGAAATCTGGTTTCCGGGCTGAATACACTCTTATTACAAGTAAGTAAATGTTATATTCATGAACATGTATTTGTACATACATTGCACTCAAAATTTAAAGTGTGTCAGATACTTTTTTAACCATAGGGTTTAGGTCAATATATAAATGAAGGTAGGCCTAGTCAGTGGTAGGTATTTTATCTTCAAACCAGATTCATTGCACTGCCATCGTTATTTGAATACTATTTCTTTCTGCCGTTATTTAGCCTCTACTGGTACATCTTATTCCTTAATAATCCCGATGCTCGTGTTTTAGATGGAGCCTCCCCAACATCGGGCCCAACGCAACTACCTTCGGGCCAATGCGGCAGTCCAGCCATAACACCATATCTACCAAACACAGTAGGCGGTTCTGATGATGCTGCCAATAACGTGGTAAATGGAGATAATGATGTACCTCATAGTTGGCCCTGGCACGTCATGCTCACCTCAATGTTTGGTAACCAGTTCTGTGGGGGAAGTCTATTGAATGAGTACTGGGTCATAACTGCTGCTGACTGCTTAAGCAGGTTGGTATAACTACAAGGAAGAGTTCTCATTTACCCGAAAGATATAAATTTTAAATCACAACTTTTAAACAAAAGGATGTCTATATGAGTTTACCTGAAATAAATCCATTTGAGAACTTGTATTTCAAGATTTTTGCATTTTTTTATATTCTAGAAACCTAAAAAGCTATATCTAAAATTGTATGAAAACAGCTTACAATTCTCCCACCTGGGGTACTAGTCTATACCCACGTATTGCTATTAGTCGAGTTTCGTAAGAGTTATTTGCATGGATCTTTCTTAAAGTGATTAATTAATGTTATATCTATGTTTGTCATGTACAAAAATGAAAATGTCAATGACATTGAATAAATAAATAGTATTGCCTTTATAGGGATGCACCCTGGGTGGGGGTGTATAATATTATAACGCCTCAATAACCGGCACTATGGGACGTGACATTTCAATGTTAACATCAAAATCCTATAAGTAGACATACTGTCTGTATAAAATATTGCAATTTAGACTTATACCTTTCGGATGCATGGGAACCCTTCCTTCCTACTAAAAAGTAATATGTTTTAGAATGATGTAAAGATGGCAGCAGTGGTTAAATTTTATCATGTGGGCCTTTTAATGATAAGTGACTTACCGAAACTTGATTTAGAATACAAATATAATAGGCGAGTCTCCAGCAAGCGTTTTGGGAAGTCAGAGGACCACTTGTTAGACATAATTTTTCTAAAAGATGACTTAATGTAGCATAAATTCACATACATCTGGGCTGTATTAGATTGTGGATGAAGGATTCTGAGCCTTTTTACCTCCCTAGAAAAATATTTGAGGGTGGTATTAGATTATCATTCTATAACATCAATTAATATTTGCTATAGTACTGATTTCTACATAGTATGTCAACAGTACAGTGGATACGTGTATCCTAAAATTTTATAGAGATATGTTTATTGGTACAGGAGAAAACGTAATTTATAGAAGTAAAAAAGATTTCATTTCTGAAGAAGTAGGATGGACATCCTACGAAACGTCAAAAAGAAATATCTCTGAGAAAGAAAATCAACAACTTTGTTAATAGTAAGATTATTTTTGTTCATTTTTCAGTTTCACCAATCTTGTTGTTACAGCTTCAGAGAAATAATAACCAGTTATAATTCTTCAAGTAGTATTTAAAAATGATTTCCAAGTTATGTGTGACATTGTAATATAAGGAAAGTAATGATATTAATTTTGAATTTTAAATATGGCTTTGTTGACCCCCACCCCTTAGAAATACAAGAAAGTGGAGTGACACAATTAGATGAGAAATTCTATAATGAGTATTAGTATATGTAAAGTAAATATATAAGCACAAATGCCAAAGGGAAAGGACCAAAAGCTTGACGATGGCTTCTTGATATCAAAATATCATGATTTACCCCAGCAAAACCGATATCATTTTGAAGCCAAGCAGAATGTTACGAGGTAAGGCGCTCCAAGAAAATGCAAAAAACTCCAGATTTGGAGTTTTTCGAATTCTTAACTAAGCCAAATCAAGTATGGCAGCAAATGTTCCTTCAGGCCAGTGACAAATCCTAGATATCTAAATTACGGCCAAGAGGTGCATTTATGCGCCTAGCGTTCTTTTTAATCAAGGAAATGATATCTAATAAAACTGAAATGTAATAATCGTTCATGGTTCTTTTTAATATCAACACATGATATAGATGACTTTTTCAAACCTTATTTGAAGTGGTTTTTAATCTATTTTCATAGTTGATTAAGCATTCCGTCAATATTAAATGTCAACTTAGCTTAATGATCTTTTTTCAAAGTCAAGTTGACTAAATAAGATAGCCCTGGCGTGTTTATGATGATTTTACTCTCTCGATTATCTTGTTGCTCCATGTCAAAAGTTTCTAGGATTTTGAATAGGTTTGAAAATTTTCTGTTTTGCGGCTTAAACAATCAGGCCCCCTTTCTTATGCACTACGTAAACCGTACACAAATTGAACAATTTCTCATTTCATAGATACCGAGAAGATCAGGTTTTAGTAAGAGTAGGGGCACATGACAAAGATGCTACTGAGCCAAGCCAAAGGAGCTATACTGTTAATAGATTCGTCACACATCCACAAGCCAGGGACATTGCCTTATGGAGACTTGATGAACCTGTAGAGATGTCCGATGAAGTGAGTCCAGTGTGCTTGCCAGAGACTGGGGATGTTCCAACTGGCACATACTGTATGATAAGTGGATGGGGATCAGGCTTCAATGGTAAAAAAATCTCTGAATCTGCATGCTGTCAAACATCAATTCAACTTCTTCTCAATGTAAAAAATTAATATAGTGTGGAACAATATGCCATTTTTATTTAATCAATAGATTTACATATCATGGAGCCACTTAGTTGTTCAATTGCACATACTATAAATATATAACCGTTTTGACATAAGTATCACTAATACATATATTTTTGACATCTATCAAAGTGGTGTTGAAAAGTGACCCCAGTTGATAATAGCAGGCCTCAAATACTTTGCATATTTACATTGACCCCCATGTTAATTTATCAATCTTCAAAAGACCCCCTGCAAAACAGTTCTCAAATGATGAACCCCATAATCCTAGGTATGTCGCAATATGATGATCTTCACAATAAGAAGGGTTGTTTTTTTTCTTTTGCTTAGTTCCAAAGGTATTGGCGATTGGAATCCCTATTGGCAATTGAAATCCCTATTGGCAATTGAAATTCCTATTGGCAATTGAAATCCCTATTGGCAATTAAAATTCCTATTGGCTGTTATTAGCTCACATGGTGAGCTTTTGCAATCACTCACGTGTCCGTCTGTCTGTCCGTGCGTTCGTGCGTGCGCCTATTTTCAAAATGGCCGCATTTTTGGCCCGCAAAATTTTGAGCCATTTCCTAGCTTTACAAATAATCTCAGGTGTCCTGCATTGTAAGAATCCATGTCAATGTAAAGAGTAGTTGTATGTAATAATTTTGTAAAGAAAATTATTTCAATTTTTTTATTTTCAGCCATTTTAGTTAACATTGATTTGTCCATCTGTCTCGCGAAATCCACTTTTCCGTCAACAATAGTGGCACGTTTTAAAACCTCTGTCGATAGGGTTCCTGTTTTAAGTTATTTCAACATCAATACTGAAAACTCCTCTATGACTCCTAGTTCAAAAGCTCGCCTATTTTCAAAATGGCTGCCATTTTTGTCTCGCGAAATAATTCCAGGTGTCCTGCATTGTAAAAATCCATGGCAATGTAAAGAGAAGTTGTATGAAATAATATTGTTACAAAAAATCAGCAAAACATAATATCCATTTTTCAGCCATTTTAGTCAACATTGATTTGTCCATCTGTCTCGCGAAATCCACTTTTAGACCATTTGCCTTAAAACCTCTGTCGATAGGATTCCCGTTTTAAGTTAATTTTGTTCAACATCAATACAAAAAACTCCCCTATGACTTCTGTTTCAAAAGCTCGCATATTTTCAAAATTGCCGCCATTTTTGTTCCGCAAATTAACTTTTGGCCCATTTCTTAGCTTTACAAATAATTTCAGGTGTCTTGCATTGTAAAAACTGTAACTGTAAAGAGTAGTTGTATGAAATAATTTTGTTACAAAATTTCGGCAAATTTTTTTGTTCAACATCAATAAAAAACAACCTGTGACTCATGCTTCAAAAGCTCAAGCCTATTTTCAAAAAGGCCATCATTTTTGTCTCGGGAATTAACTTTTGGCCCATTTCCTAGCTTTACAAATAATTTCAGGTGTCCTGCATTGTAAAAAGCCATGTCTTTGTAAAAAGTAGTTGTATGAAATAATTTTGTTACAAAAAATCGGCAAAAAATTAAATCCGTTTTTTTTTTATTTTGTGTCATTTTAGCCATAATTCACTTTTGAGCAACACCATGTGAGCCCAGTACCCACGTTACTATTTTTTAAACGACTATCAATCTGGCTTTACTAAAATTTCCTTTTCTCAGAAAATTCACTATGAAATTTTCTAATATTGTAGATTTCTATAGATAATATATTGAATTTAAAAAATCAAACAGGCACATTTCTAAAAATGTCTTATTTTTAATATATTGATTTATTAACAAGGGGCTCAATATAAATGTGCAGTTTTTGAGGCTTGCTATTATCAACTGGGGCCACTTTTCAACACCACTTTGTCAGATATCTAAACTATATGAACTAATGATACTTCAGTCAAAACAGGGTTCTTTATATATAGCATGATTGTGCAATTCTATGGTTTTATAGACCGAACTGACTCCATTTATAGCCTACTTCTCAAGTGAAAGGGGCACGAGTTGTTTGTAGAATGGATTCGGAGAGTTTTTTATGCATTTCGCTTATGTTTTTATCTTAAAAACAGGAATACACTTTGAAACGTTTTATTGACTATAAGATTGCACCATATAATCCAAAAAAGTATTTCTCATTTTCAAGGATTATCCATGGATTAACACCCAGGTATTTTTATTTTTCAAACTTCGGAGGGGTGGGAATCATTGTGCTCGACGCTTTTGAATAATATGAATGCTGTTTTAAATAGGTTGCATGTATGCCAATAATTTCTCAAATTGTGTAAACTGCACCAATTCTTTAATCCCTAGAATGTTATCTTGGGAGGAATTTCCCATGTTAATCCAATGGTGGGGTTCCAAGCAGATTTTGAGATAACAGGATGGTTAATCTTTAATATACACCTTATTGGGTTGCTTTCATGTATATCTAAAATATGAAAATTGAATCTTTAATTTCATCTTCTACCAAAATAGTTTTCTTTAATTCAACCAGTCTGGCAAGTGGATTTTAGCGAGAGAACCCTCCAACAGGCTGATCTCCCAATTATTAGTACGCAGGTGTGCAATCAACATGGCATGCACAGTGGAACGATAACGCCAAGAATGATGTGTGCTGGTTATATTGAGAGGGGAGCGCCAGGTTTTTGCAGAGTAAGAACGATTTAAGACCAGTGAAGACATCCTCAATATTGTCCTCTTACTATGACATCAATTGCAATATATTCATTGTTACAACAATTGATTTAGAAATCTTCAGTAAATAACCATAAATTTCCAAAATTCCCACATTAAAAATCATGGATATTAACTCAATCAATCATAATATGATACATGCAGGGAGATAGAGGGGGGCCCTTGGTATGCAGATACCCTAATTCAAGCTGGGAGTTATATGGTATTGTTAGCTGGGAGGTGGATTGTAATTCGGTCCTCACTCCTGGAGTATTTGTTAGAGTATATTACTACATGGATTGGATTAAACAAAGACTAGCATGTAAGTATGAAATGTATTTGTTCTTGTGTTTTCTTGGTTCCCTAATTTGTCCAGGCATTACCCATTTTAGTATACACGTATTCCATACCTTAGGTGTTTGGTTGAGTAACAGATATTAATTTGCATTTTGCTCCTTGAAAACCCCCAACTTATTTAAAGATGTCGTTCAATGTATAAATGAAAATTCGTAAAAGCTTATTTTCGTAGTGGTATCTCACACCCCTGAGTTACAAAATAGTGGTCAGTGAAAGAGAAGGCATGTTTAAACGGTGTGAGGGGGCCTTTAGGTCGGTGTGTACCAGGGGTGATCAATAAGTAATGGACGCTTTTTTACACAGATGCTTTTTATAGACCAATCCCTTTGATTTTTCTACCAGTGATACGTCATTTAATTATCTATCAATTCTGAAGATTTGAAGACTTAGAATTTACAGTCAGTTCCTAATGTCAGACATTAACTACATTTCGTCCAGTTTACGAATATCGCCATTTTTCTTGGAGCCATTTTGACGGCGGCCAGCTTTTTTCAAATGGAGTTCACAGTATTCCAGATAAAATTACCTCTAGCCAAGAAATAGGCTAGAGACTTGAGTAAATTCGGTACATTCTAAAAAATTATCAACCCTCAAATCATCATCTAGGTACACTAGATGCACCTTGTGTGCAAAAATGAAGGATGAAGACCATATGCGTGGAATAATTTGTAATGTATCTATCTGAAAATAACACATGGTCAATTAAATGTATCTTCTGTATTTAGTACCAGCCTTGCCCCCTCTCCCTAAAGCTTGCAGTTTCCAAGTCATTGTGTCCGAAGCAGGAGACCTTGTCTTCCCACAATACTACGACTCTCCCAACGAGGATGACATGTACAGGAACCAGCTGACTTGTGTTTGGTTAATACAGGCACCACCTGGAGAGGTTTAGTAGTAATATGTTTCATGGTTCAAAGTTTCCATTGTGTTTCATATCAGACGCATTTTTCTTCTTGCTCTTCAAATGTCCTTTTAACATAATAGTAAAATAAACTGCACATATGTTTTATTTGAAGCAGTCTAATAAAATCCAACATACGAATGCATAATATAGGCATTTGTTTGGGTCACAGTGTTTGTGTAGTGGCTGATACGCGGTATATGGTATACATTAATGGTTGCGCGGTATTTGTGATACAAGTTAATATGGCATACTCACCTGCGGTATCTGACACATTCCGCAAGTGAGGATGGCATATTCCGAATTGAAATATGACATAGTGAATACCTCATATTCACCTGCGTAATATGGTATATTCACTCCGAGAATATGACATACAGGTTGCGGAATATGGCATTTACCGCACGGTGAACGCCATACGAAAATGCCTTGATTTGATTGGTTTACAGAATCAACACTAAATGTAAAACTATAATGGATTACCATTGTTTTAATCGCTTCAAGCACTAAACTATGAATGCTGGAATGATCGAGTAAATTTATTACGTGTGATCGGTAAATTATACTTCTGAAAGTATCAGTAACGTATAAACCGTGATCAAATATTCGTGTTTTCAGGTTTTTATCTGGTCTTTGTAAACTGTTGATTTGTTTGTAAAAGTCACTCATAAGCTTCGCGAACGCAGGTTCGTTTATTTATGTGTTATAATGTTTTCCCTTGAAGGGTGTTTTTGCGTGTAACACACATGTAAAACAACATCAAACAATACAGATACCACTAATGTACATGTATGTTATTCAATTGTATTAGTTCACCTGGCCTTTTGATTTAGTAATCACTATAATAATTCATAGACTTTTACCCGTTCGTTGAATCCATGCAATTGACAAATGCGTACTGCCGTATCGCGTTCTCATCGGTTAATGTCTGTATGCCATATACCGCAGGTGAATCCGTCATACACTGCCATATATATACATATATGCCAGCGACTTTCATGGTCTTGAGATTAGGAATTACTGTACTCTGTTATTTTGTCATAATAATTCACAGAGTAGACAACCTATGCAATACTCATTGATCGTTTTGGGGAGAAACTTTACATTTTCTTTTCAGGGTGTCATATTTAACATCACCAGTATATCTATTGAATATTATCCATCTTATGGAAGATGCACTCACGACTTCCTGTATCTTTATGATGGTTCCTCAGACCAAAATACCCGCGTAGGAAAATTCTGTGGAAGTTCGCCCCCGGGGACAACAACGTCCACAGGAAGGAGCATGTTCGTAGTGTTTAAGTCAGGCCCTCTCAGAGGCGGACGTGGCTTCAAAGCATCAATATCCTTTACTGGTGAGAAATAATATAAGGATCAAAAGTCCATTTTAAAAGCCATTTTTCTTTATAATTAGAATGCTTGTTTCGGGACGGCATTGTATCATTTCGCTCTTTATTAGACTTCAGATTGAAAAATCTGGAGTCTATTGCTTCTACTAGTATTCTTATCAGATGATGTCGGGAGTCTATTGTATTTGCAGGAAAGCTTTATTATTATTAAGAGGCCCTCTAAAAGAGTCGTCAGCTATAGACTCCTGATTGAAAATCTAGAGTCGATTGCTTTTGCCTGTTTTATTAGACTCTTAATAAAGAGACTTTTGAGTTTGCAGGAATTTCTTATCATTATTATTAGCAGGCCATCATAGCTTTCTTGGTTTTCTCATAACATTCTTCCCCTACTTCCAACTAGTTTTTCACAAGAGGGGCCAAAATATGTCCATATTTTTTATTTCAATATAACTTGAAAAATGCATTGATATCCAGAAACTTTTGGCAGGATATGCAGAAATCAAGTTTACAAATGTTCAAATGGTACTGCAATATTGTCCTATTTGCATCCAGATTCTTGTGGTGCCTCCTCAGGAAAAATATGAATTAACGTGATATTTCAAAATGAATGTACTGTACTGATTTAATTATTACATTTGTGTACACCAGTATCTTGTTGACCATTTTTCAGCCAATCATTAGGTAACTATTAAATCCTGAAGTGAACAGACGTAACTCTTTTTGTCTGTCAAAATCCATTTGCATCTAGCGCATTCCTACATCGTATCCAAATATATTAATGAAATAATGAAGTACGATAGGAGAATCAATGGATATTTAGAAATTGTATAATATTTGATAAGTGTAAAGTTGTTTTTGGAGCATTTTTCTTTAGCCATTGTGAAGGAATAAACTATGAAAAAATTGAACTTTGACTGACATGCTTTAATCTTTTATCATGTTGTTTTTTTTGTTTCAGGTCAAACGGGAACAACAGCAGCACCTGTAACACAGCCCCAAGTCACTGATCCACCCGCAACGGAATCTCAAGTTATTAACCCACAAGGTACAGTGTAAAAGATCTGTACAACCAATCCATTTTACATAATTAATATACTAATATTGTACCATTGCTGCCATTTATATATCAGCTATCACAAAACCAGACAACAAAAACATTTTTTTATAAAGTCAAAACATTTTTTTCTTTCAGTTGAACAATGTGGTATTGGCATTATGCCAAATGGCAGAATAGTTGGAGGATCAGATGCGGTGCCTTATAGTTGGCCCTGGATGGCAATGTTGACCACTGACTGGGGATATCAATTTTGTGGAGCAACCCTTATTGATACAAATTGGGTGCTAACGGCTGCTCATTGTACATCTGGGTAATTATTGCATTTATGAAAAAATATTTTTAGTTCACGGTTTTGGGAGGTCCATCCATGGCTGTTGTGCTTTTACCACATAAATGATGATTAAATTGAATCTGTATTTAAAAAAATAACAATTATATTACTATCTGGTCATTAAACTCATCTTTTATTACATCATTGTCATATTCACCGCTCACTTTCTGATTGGTCTATGTCCTATACGTGACTAAAAAACAACAAGCGATATTCACAGAAGTCGAGCTTACGTGGTATATCAATTGATATTTATCAGTCACAACCTAGTTCATTGTAATTAAGTTTACATATCCCCTGAAATACATAATTGTTATTATTAATTGTATAGACATCAATGGTTTATTATTCCATTGATGTTAATGAGAAATGTAAAATTATAAAACAAACATTTAATTCTATTTTTGGTGAGTACCTTTGCATCTTTCAGAAGCTATAGCTATATATTCAACGAAGCCAATATAGAATTAAATATTTGTATAATGTTCAAAATGTCGAGTGATTTGATAAAATATGTTTTGTTCATCGGGAGTTGGTACCCCGCTGAGTTAATGTTCATCCAGTCTTCAAGTTATATTATGCCGATACACAATTATTTATTGATTCAGAATGGACCCTTGGGATATGGTTATAAGACTAGGTGAATACTCAAAGACAAAATGTGAACTTTTGACCCAAGTAATTCCTGTCATTCAAATCATCAATCACCCTGGGTATGACCCTGAGACCACAAACAATGATATATCCTTGCTGAGACTTGGGAAACCAGCTGAGCTTAATGGATATGTTGGGAAGGCATGTCTTCCTGCAGCTGAACCTGAACCGGGACGCCAGTGTGTTGTCACTGGCTGGGGCACCACTGAAGGTAATGTCAAGACTGTACACAAACTAGTTCAAAGTAAACTGGCATGTATAAAAGTGAGGTAATTTATTTAGATTATTGTTTTGTTGGTTTGATTTTATGAATGCAATTACAGACTCGCAATGTATTTGCATTGCTGATTTTGTCATCTCTATGAATACACATTATGAAATACACTACCTTCAGAGGAGGGTTCATCTAGTGATAAATTGAAGGAGGTGCATGTCCCCATTATATCTCGAACTACTTGCAATTTACAATATAATGGCAGCATCACAGATCAGATGATATGTGCAGGAGAACTGCAAGAGGGAGGAAAAGACTCATGCCAGGTGAGCATTTAAATGTTGTTATAGATCTAGTCATACAGCGTATTTGATTCATGCAGTTTGTTGATTTCATTTTATTTCAGTTACAATATTATATCACACGAGACACCACAAGGCATTTATGGGCCTGGATTTGATTCCACCACGGAGCATCGAATTTAGTCGTTACCTGAGTTTGAATATATATTATTTTATTCATTTCAAGAAACTGTTAACCATGTTTTCAATATCCAAGTGCTAAAATGTCCCCTTTTATTCAAAATAGGAACTTCAAGATTATCCTCTGAATTGTAGTGTCAAATAAGGACAGTGCCCGAATGTTTTTTTTTATTCAGGGTGATTCAGGTGGTCCTCTTGTATGTAAAGAAGAAAGCAATGCATGGTCTGTCTATGGTGTTGTGAGTTGGGGGTCTGGTTGTGCTAGAGTTGGCAAGCCAGGTGTATATGCAAATGTAGCACAGTATCTCACCTGGATAGACGATTCAAAAGAAAGTAAGTACAATAAAGACCAGAACATTATATTGTAATCATAAATGGTCGAAGTATTCCAGATTTACTTAGAAAATTATGCGCTTATTATTTTATAGTTAAGACATAACAAATCTTATTTCTGTCCCTAATAGCAAACAAAGATTAACTAGAATAAAAAATATGAATCTATCTGCAGCTCAGGCACCGGCTCCTGAACCCGAGCTTCCACCAGAATGCACTGGTTCACCAGTCCAACTCTCGGGCGCAACTGGCATATTTACCTCACCCAACTATGGACGATTTGATTATCCACATAATGCTACGTGTACATATGTTATAACATCACCTCCTGGAACGGTGAGTTGTTAAAAAAGCAGCTTCATATTTTCCTGATTAAATAAGTGTGGGCATTTGACTCTTACCTATTTATTTTTTAAGATGTTTCTCATAGAAATTTATTCTAAATTTAACAGTTTGCCCCCGAGGAGCCTAATAAGTACAAATAATTTATTGTTTAATTAGCCTTATAAAGGGATAGTTCTCACTGTCGAGGTTTAATAATTATAATATGTTTGACTGAGTTGGTTATTCAGAAATTACAGTTTACATTATTTTCTAAGTCGATATCCGGACGTCATTCCTCAGCTGATCCTTTGCTCACTTATATATCACTCTACTATAACTAACTCCTAGAAATGCATATAAGATACTCTGTTTGTCTAATTGTATTGTTTAGTATATTTTTGAAAGAACCTTATTAACATCTAACAGTCATCCGATAAACCATTAATAAGGAACAAACAAATAAAAACAAATAACATAATCATTACAAATAAGCCAAATGGGTTTCTCATGAACACCAAATGCAAGATATAGTAGAGTGTACTGTATATTGTAGATTAATATGCTGTCATTTAAAATGTGGTTCATATGACAAATAAGAACTAAAAAATCCCAAATCCAAACATCTCTTGAACAAAATTCCGGTTTCATGACACTTAAAGTGTGCACATTCCAAAATTCTTCCAAGAATTTAAGAACAAGAATTTATGGACCATGATTTCAAATCAGGTTGTGCAGCTTGAATTCAAAGAATTCGATGTCGAGCCATATCCCGAGTGTATAGCTGACTATGTGACGATCATTGATGAAACGGCACGTTCCACTCACAAACTCTGTGGGGCTGGGGAGATGGGCGTCTTTGCATCTACATCCAATACACTTACGGTGGAGTTGTCAACGGATAACAGTGTAAGACATCCGGGTTTCACTGCGGTCTACACAGCAACTGAAATAGGTACGGTATTTTCCCAACCAAACACTTTGGACGCACTTTAGACTTGTGTAAACTTGTTATTTCCAATGTACAGTATTGTATTACCTTTCAGGCTGTTCAGTCCAAGCCCAACCATCAATAACCCATACTCCAGGTACTCTTACACCCTCTGATTGTGGTGTACCTTTCATATCACCAAATATACAGCCTAGGATTGTTGGCGGTGATATTGCTAAGCCAAATTCTTGGCCATGGCAAGTGATGCTGACATCAACAACCAGTCCTAGTAATCAGTTCTGTGGTGGATCACTGATTAGCCCTTATTGGGTGCTCACAGCTGCTCACTGCACAGATGGGTAATACGTCAATCAATATTTGCAAAAGTAGCTTCACCCTGAAATGTTTAACCACAAAAACATGATAATTTGAAATCAATCCATTCCAGACAGAGATAAACATTTTCTAACCATAGTACCAACAAAAAGTTCTAAAAAGCAAGAAGAAGAAGAAGAAGAAGAAGAAGCTCTATTCCTACTATTGAAAATAGTTTTTAGCAATACCAGCCAACACGAATGTACTTGTTGAGACTCGATCGACTTGAGCACTTCTGAGAAAATGAGGATTTTAGCAAGGGTGCATTGACTTACAACATTGGCCAATGACTTAGGGTCGAGATACCATCATGTATTTCAACGCACCCTTGGTGAAATCATCATTTTCTCAGAAGAACTCCAGCTGATTGAGTCTCAACAAGTACATTCATGTAGGATTGTATTGCTTAAATCCATTTTCAATAGTAAGAATATGGGTTCTTAAACGGGACATTAAAACTTAACTAAGGCCTTTTTGAAATTCTTGGTTAATACTAATATGTTGTACTGTAAAATATTAATAGTCTCTTTCTCTTAAAAATATCATAATTCTGAATACTTTCCTATTTTGGAAGATTATGGTTTTGGATTTGATTTTTTTTACTCTGTGTTTCAGATCTGAGACCAATGTTGTAGTAGGTGCACATGATAAACTAGCTTCCGACAGCCAAGAGGATGGAAGACAAATTATTCAAGTTGTTGATGTCATAGATCATCCCAGTTATAATGAATCTACATTTAATAATGACATTTCCTTATTACACCTAGCCATGCCGGCTACATTGGGTGATAAAGTAGGTTTAGTTTGTCTTCCAACGATTGAACCTGTAAATGATGACTGGACTTACACTACTGGCTGGGGAGCTACATCTGGCAAGTACTGTATACAGTATATTATGGTTCTGTTTCTGTCCGAGATTTTAGAAAATGTACTTTTCTTAGACAACATAATGTAATAGCAATGGATAGCAAATTGCTAATACAGCACAACTATATTAATTTTTAAGCTCTTGTTACCCTTAGAGGATCAGACCTCTGTTCTGAGTGTCTTAGTTTCGATCCAACGGTGGCGTTGAATTTGAACACTTTTTCATGCCTGTTGGTGACTTATCACTCTACGCTTGGCATTTCGTCATATCCAGGAGGCGTCAACTGTTCATTCATGAAAATAAGGAATCTAAATAACAGAATTAATGCTTATAGCAGTACCATCGAGAACAGTCTCTTTGAATTAATCTCACTTAGCAATTAATAAACTTAAAATCCCTGTCAAATGTACATTTTATTGATGTCCTCCATATGTGTGACTGTTTTATGTATCTATTCAAACGCGATATGTTTTTGACGGGAAGGATTTAGACTCGAATGTATTTCTACAAAAAAAACTATAATCAATAGTAATATTAGGTATTAAATAAGTATTTTTTTCTAATCGCCATCTGACCATTTTAGACTTATTATTTCTAGTTTTGAAAGACTAATATTGGTCTTGATAACATGGATTTTGTGTCGAAAACTACTCAAACAAAACATTCATTTGGTCTCTGAAAACGCATGCATATATCTAGTCTCAGAGCAAAAAATGCCATTTGTGATTTTAGCTGGAGGTCCCGCTAGTAATCAATTGCGTCAGGTTATGGTCAAAATCATCGGTAGACAAAATTGTAGGACTATGTACTCTACACATGAAATCACTGATAACATGATCTGTGCTGGATATGAAGGCGGTGGCAAAGATTCATGTCAGGTACAATACATAGTTGTAGTATATATAGTTGCATACCGAGGCCTGGGAATACCTTATTACATGTTTAAATGTGCACCAGTGTACTGGGTTGTTGTTTACAGTGTATAAAAGGGTGAATTATTATTTAACTAGATAAGTACATACCTACCTACACACAAATAGGAATGAAAAGATGGATGAATGATTTGATATGAATAGATGAAACAAACTATCCATGCAATTTGCTTCTGCATTCACTAGCCTTGGATTGGGTATTTGTATTTTTATTTCATTCGTAAAAGTAGATCTTGAGAATGCAATGTAGCAAAATGCAAAATCTATTATTTCCAGCTGTCATCTGGGTTGGTTGTTTAGGATTTTAGCATATAATAAGCTCTGTAAGGAGTTTGTGCTGCAACCACAGCTCTACAGGGTGTCAAATAAGTATGTTCTCTCCCTTAACTTTTTTATCTTTAAATTTATCATACTTTCCCATATATCATTTTGAAGCTCATGGAAAATGCTGATCACCCTAAAAATCAATCATAAACTCCTCCTAATAAAGTTGCTACAATGTTTCTTGTAAGGTTGTAGTTGACCTTTGATTACGTCAAACAAAATTACCAGGTATAGTGAATGAAAAGATAAAAGTTGATACTGCAGTGACAATGCCAAAATTGGGCGATTTCAATGTTTCTCAATATCATTACAGAGTAAAATGTGTTACATTCAGGGGAGCCTTTGAAGCAGGGGCATCTCTCACCACAAAATAGTTGATAACACCTAAAATTAAACGTTCTGAATGATTCATACAGGATCATATCCTCGTAGAATTGAGGCCCTCCGGGCTGCTGGGGGATACATACAGACTAATATGGACATCACTAAAAATACTCTAAAAAATTTGGAATTTAACCAATCACTCTGAAATTTTGTGTGTAGTCAACAAATTAAATTCCCTTAAGATGACATATACCAACCCCATGTTATCTCTGAATTAAAAAAGTTAAGCGGGGAGAACAGACTTATTTGAAATATAAAAAAAATATATAAGAAAATTTTATATAAAGATGACAGCATCAGTAAAATGTTGCACTGCCATATTTATTTTTAAAAAATTCTATCGCCCTTCAGCCAATTACTAGAACACTAGAAAAAGGTATGTAACATTGCAATGTTCATTGGTTACAATAGCAAATGTTATCTGTCTATTTAGTAAAATCAGTTATATACTAATTCAACATTGGCCAAAAATTGATATGACATTTGCATTTTATCCATAGGGTGATTCTGGTGGCCCATTAGTCACACCAATAGGGGAGTATGGGCAATCAGGCTGGAGGTTATCTGGGGTGACTAGCTGGGGCCAAGGGTGTGCCTCGCCCAATAAACCAGGTGTTTACACAAACGTTATCAAATTTGTCGACTGGATCAGAGGAATTGTGGCTGGTGAGTATTGCGTGTGTGTATTAAACGATATGAATCGAAAACTATTACATAAAATGGTTTAAGGGATGACAAATTCAGTTTTAACAAATTGATTGACAAGATCGAGAGTGACAAATAATATGAACTTTTTACAAATCAGCAAATGTGAAAATAGAAGGCTTTATCTGAAGAGATCAAATGGAAGAGAAATATAATGACGTCCGTGAATTGTCCAACGATCATTTCATATGTTCTTTATTATGATTTTTAGATCTTCCTTCTGGCACTACTTCACAGCCCACAACACAACCCACAACCAGTACATCACAACCCACAATCAGTACACCACAATCAACGAGTACAACAACACAACCATCTGCGCAGCCATCCAACAGAGAATGTGGCCAACCTGCGCTGCCACCAATTGTAACCAAAGTTGTCGGAGGTGTACCTGCCAAACCACACAGTTGGCCCTGGCAGGCCATGCTTGTCTCTCCAAGCAGCGGGGATTATATATGTGGGGGAACATTGATTGATCCAAACTGGGTGGTGACATCTGCCATTTGCACGTTTTGGTAATACAATTCATATTAATTTGTAAAAGTGTCTCGAAAAATCTATCAAAAAAACATTCAGGGATTCGAAACGTTCATTATCAATCCACTTCCATAGAAACAAACATTATTTTTCAAAATTTTCCTTTGATAACATTTTTAAAGAAAAATTCTTATAAAGCAGAATAAATAAGAATAAGATGAAATATGTCAAATGGTTTCGAGCGCTCATATCTTTCACCATGAGTATCTTCTTTCCATTCTCTAATTCAAACAAAATGTTTCCTCCGTGTGTAGTTCCTTAGATGATAAAATATTACTAACTGCAATTCACAATGATTCTTGTGTTGTTAGGATGAATATCATGAATATCCGTGTTAGACTTGGAGAGCACCACAGGTTTAGTACTGATGGCAAGGAGAGGAATGTCAATGTCACACAGATTATTCCACATGATGATTTTGAACCGGGTGGTAATGATAATGACATCTCTCTGTTGAGGCTTGCTGAAACAATCACACATACTGATGAGATAAGTCCTGTTTGTCTTCCTTCTGATGGTGCGAGTGATGGCAAATACTGTACTGTAACTGGATGGGGACCTCACGACGGTTCGGAGTTTTGATTTTTTACACCTATGTGGAATTGGGAAAGGGGCCTTTAACCGACGCCTTAAGGGGGGGGGGGGGGCATTGCCCACAAATCAATGTTTGCAAAGCTCATTTAAAGATGACAAAAGTGGTAGAATCTTTTGATATGTAAAACAGATTGATTGCACTGCAATGTTTATAATTAGAAATTATTTCTTTCGCCCTTTAGCTATAGCGTATCGATCCGCCAGTGCATGTCGATCTGTCAAGACAAGCACAGGGTGTCCCGAAAGTATGCCCCCCCCCCCAGGCAGACATATACCAGTGTCGTTATAGTATGTGTAATATATCATTTTAAAGCTTATCCAAAGTTACATTGATTCGCCAAGTATCATAGTTCAACTCTCAAATGTGAAAAAATTACAGGCATTTCAAAATTTAGTGTTTGGTCAAAATTTAGTTCAATTTTACACCAAAACACTAGTCAATGTGTCCTTCCCGACCATCTTAACAGCAGCAATTCTTTTCGGATCGGATGGATATTGAGTTGGAAAAAGAGAACGGTGAGGGTAGAAACTCTAAGGAAACTCTTCTTAAGTCTCTTAACAGGTTTTAAGAGGGTTGTAAAATTCCACACCCCTATTTGAAGGGCTTCTGAGGTCATATCTGAAAATAATTGCTGCTGTTAACATGGCCAAGGGGGGACACATTGACCAGTAATGTGGTGTAAAGGATGTGTCCGGGTATATGCCCTTTTGGTCCCTCAGTCAAATGTATGTGAAATATGGTTTTTATTACTGTCCTAGTTACATTTAATAAGTATATTTACTTTTTCACGAGTTTATGTTTCAAACTTTTTGCATAAATAATTTATTTAATATTTGCCATTGATTTTTTTTCAAAGTGATATGCACTGTCTTTGATGCCAATATTCTTCATCAATTGTGATACAAATTGATATTTTAGTAATCTCAGAAGAAGGTTAATATATTGAAGTTTAATAATATGTGTGATTGAGTTGGTTTTTCAGACATTACAATTTTCAATATTTTCTAAGTCGATACCCAGACTCATTCCCAGACTCATCCTTTGAACTTTATTTTGACAAAACAGTAACCTTTAAAATTACTGTAACTTTTTCCCATTTGGTACATGATACTTGGCAAATCAATTTAACTTTGGATAAGCTTTAAACTGATATATGACACATACTATGGAATATGTCTGCCTGGGGGGCATACTTTCGGGACATCATGTATATATTTTCAAATTAAACAGCTATAGAATCGTTAGGCTACAAATGAGAGAACAGTATTACCAATGACATCTGTACGTTTTTAAATGACTTTTAGTCTATTCAGAATAAGGGCAAGAACGTGAATCAGGAGGGATTAAATGAGACAAAACATTGTGTTGTTTGTATGATTTTACATATTTTTATGAATTATTGGACATTGACATATTTACTGTGTTTTCAGGGTCCGGTTGGAATTTAAGTACAGTGCTCCGTCAAGTTGAGGTGCCCATAGTATCAACAAATATATGTAATGGTAACCAGACGTACAATGGTTTAATCACAGAGAATATGCTTTGTGCTGGAGAGCCTAGAGAGGGCAAGGACTTCTGCATGGTAATGCCTAACTGTGAGGGATAAACATATGACTACTGTAGGGCTTAACATAGGCCTACTTTAGGGTTTCATAAAAAACTACTGTACGGTTATCAGAGCTGTTTAGTATGTTGTCTCTAATTTTGAAATGGTGTGCATCCTCTATGGGCATACCTTAAATTCATCCATTTGAGACCTTGTATTTTATGATTTTTCTATTATATTTTGTTTAAGAAACCCAAAGCTTTTAAAAAAGCTAAGCGTTTGTGTGTTTTAAATCTTCGTTTTATATTACGAATTCCAAAAAAAACACCATAAAGGGAGCAATTCAGGAACGATATAATGCCCATATATATGTTCGCTAAAGTCCTATACGATATCGTTTTTCTCTAGAATATCATTTTTTATAAAAAACGTCAATTTTTTACAATCCAGGATAACTACATGTAAATCCACTTCGAAGCTCTTTCCCCTAAGAGGTTTGATGCCACATGTTTTGGATTTTCTTACGGGGAACAAACGGCTTTTTAAGTACGTATTAGGCAGTCCTAAATTTATTCATTAAGCTTGGACTCGCCTTATTTAACTATGAGAAAATAATGTCATGCATATATAATGAGAAATTTGTTATATGCAGACCGATCGTGGTGGGCCTCTTGTGTGCACAGTTGGGGACACCTTGACCTATGAACTGCAAGGGATTGTCAGCTGGGGCTCGTGTGCATTTGGTAATATACCAAGTGTATATACTAGAGTGACAAGATATTTAACCTGGCTTAAAGAGATGGTGAACAGTAAGTTAAATCTTATGATATTCAACCTGGCTTGAATACATGATGAACAGTAAGTTACACACTTCAATCCACCATTCATACTGTTACCCAAGCATTGTTTTTCAGCACCCTTTCAAATTGATCGTTTTGTATAAAGAAGACGGAGCTGCCCAACCTTGTATGACTGTCTGAGTTTCCTTATACTAGAGACGGGGATGGACCCTGTTCTATCCCATGTTATTTTCCCATATGGAAAACTCATGCTTTCTGTTGTTTTCAGCAAAAATTCATATCTTCAAAAGTTTGAAAAAGTTCAAGGCCATTCTACTTTTGAGGAAGTTTTAGACCTTTGTTGAATAATCTTTTCATCGATATTTTAATTTTCCTTGAGCATTTACTTGAAAGATAACATTTGATACTAGTATATTGTGTTATTGAGAAATGTCATAATTAAATTGAGAATAAACTCATATTGTGAAAGATATGATTATCTTAAGTAACTTGCTACACTATACCTCGTCATTTTAATTCAATTTCACTGATTCGGTAAATACCGTTGTAAAGTGATTGCTTTAGCAAAATCATATACTGAAATTATATTGGAATAATACCAAATCAACCATTTATCTATTCTTTATCTATTTTAATGAATCACTGATTGGTAATATATCCTATGAATGCAGAAGACAAAAAACAAGTTGAATTGAAAATTGATTATTCGATTAGTAGGTCAGGAATTTGAGATTTATAATGACTGAATATACCATTGCCACTGATGCAGGTACAATTACCGATACTGCAAGAACTACGACGATGAAACCTACAAACTGTGGTAGTATGCTCACTTCAGACGAGGGAGAGATTAAATCCCCTAACTGGCCTGGGAAATACCCAGATTGGCAAGATTGTCACTGGTTCATAGAACTAGAGGATCCATCAATGGTATAATAAATAAAACATAAAATCCAAAAAATGTCTCTTTAATTAAGTGATTTAAGATTTTCTTTATGTCCATATTAGCTGTGAAACTGTACTTTTTAAATGCAACTCGAATTCAGAAAGCTACATCGAAGACATCAAAGTATTAAATGTATATTTTTTTATATTTTAGGCGGTTGAACTTACATTTACCGTATTTGATCTCGAGTATATAGAAAGGTGTTTATTTGACAACGTGAAACTCATTGATGGTGTCGATGGCACGTCTTTATCCGAGGCACTGTGCGGACAGTTGAATGATCTGCCTCAAGTCACATATTATTCAAATTCTCACAAATTGGAGGTCATCTTTACGAGTGATTCAAGCATAAATGGACTGGGATTTCTTGCAAATTTTCAGTCTGTTCAAGGTGAGTATAAGCAGAACCACCATTTACACTATACGAACGTCTATCCAAATGTTCAAAAATCACAGAGATTTTTAACTGAGCATGTTGAATCTTACATTAATTCATGAACAGGGGGTTGTACATGTACTTAGATCCCATATCCAACCTGCTCTCGGGCCAATCTCCCAAGTCTGTCATTCCAAATGAAGGATTATACTTCCAGCCCCAATTTCGGAATTACCGACAGAGTAACTGATTACGTTCTAATGATCAAGGCACTAACTTTTTACTGTAAGATTTATTTAGTGTATTTAATAGATGAACTTTGGGAAATAAATGAATATTGAGAAATTAAAGACTTCAAAAACAAGAAATGTAATGATCAATGATCTTTATTTTACAGAACTGACAACAACAACAACAGTTCCAACCCCAGCCCCTACCCCTGTATTAGAATGTGGAAACCCCTTACATTTGAATGGAACCACTGGAGAGTTTAATTCCCCTAATTTTTATAATGGAGGATATGATAATAACGAATACTGTTCATGGATGATAGATGCTCCAGAAGGAATGGTGAGCTTAGGAATGTATAAGTTTAATGTCTTAATATCTAAATCAGATTTTGTACATTTCTCTGTACAAGATGAGTCGTCCTGTGTTGTGGAAAAAATATATGACCAATTTAGGAACTCAATATGATTGTATCATATCACACAATTGGCTGTTTATATTAAAATACAATTTTTAATTTAACAATTAGACAATTTTGCTAAGTGTTGATGATTTGATAAAATATGTTTTATTTTGTGGAGTTGCTACTCAATGGAATTGCGTTTACCATATTACCAAAGATATTATTCAATTCACAATGCATTGGCCACGATTTAATTTCTCTGTTTCTAGAATGTGCAGCTGACATTCAATACATTTGACCTTGAATATATTGACGACTGCTCTTTTGACTATGTAAAACTGACAGATGAAGAAGGGACCATTGGTGAATTCTGTGGGTCCACTATCCCAGATCCAATAATATCTATAGGACATTGGATTGGTGTCGAATTCAGAAGCGACAACACTATCAAAGGGAAAGGATTTCAAGCATCTTACGCTGTAATTGAAGAACGAAGTAGGTCCTGGGATAATACTCATCCCAAGACAACTCATCCCCAAGACATCTCATCCCAAGACAGCTCATCCCAAAACATCTCATCCCAAGACAACTCATCCCAAGACATCTCATCCCAAGACAACTCATCCCCAAGACAACTCTTCCCAACTTGAAATATAACATAATTTTATACAATTAATTTCAACTTTTGAAAGAATATTTAAAACATGTTTAGAGGTTTTAGCAGTAAGCACACTGTGTTTGGCCATGGAATGTATTTTGAAGTTAGTTTAGTCTAGTTTTAGTTAATTTTTGTTGATTGATTGGGATAAAGATAAATATGTTCAAATTAATATATACTTTGATCATTAAATCAAAGATCATCAAGGGTGTCAGATTTGGATTAACGCAATAAGAATGTATTATCCGGGGTATTATCAGAATAATTCTCCCAGATTAATTCAGTCTTTGTTTTAAAATGTTTTGCTTAATTCCAATATGTCATATTCGGCTTATTCTTAAATAAGATTTCCAATTTTGAACTTTCAAAATCATGATGATTGAATTTTGAAACTATGTCTTTGACTTTTATCTTCAATTCTATATTCTCAAATATATTGAGAATTTGAGAATAACCCAGAATTAATAAAAATACCGGTACGTAAAAATTGAGCATAACTTTCAAGTGCCATTTCAAAATGCTAAAAATTATCAATATTAAGATTGACTGTATAATCAATCACTTTGTAATCGTAAAAATGAAAACGGGAAATATATAATATAGAGGACAAATTAGATAATTTATCAATTATACTAGTGGGATGAGTTGTCTTGGGATGAGTTGTCTTGGGATGAGATGTCTCGGGATGAGTTGTCTTAGGATGAGTTGTCTTGGGATGAGATATATTGGGATGAGTTGTCTTAGGGATGACTTGTCTTGGGATGAGTTGTCTTAGGGATGACTTGTCTTGGGATGAGTTGTCTTGGGATGAGTTGTCTAGAAACCAAATGGACACAGCCAAAAATAAAAAAAGTTGTTTGCATACACATGTAGGCGAGAATGCCAACTGGAAAGTACCAAAAATGTTACAGAGCACCACAAAAAACAGCTACGGGTACACCCGTCATAAGGAAAACAAACACAAAAACAATCACATTCCAAGACCTTAATCCCATTAGCAATATAGTCTCTTAAAAAATGTATATTGGAAATATATGTGTCTACTCCTAGAAATAATTTTTAGGTCTTTCGTCACGCACTAAACCAACCGTAGACCCCTGTGAGAGGACATTGGTGATTAGAAACGCGGGTAGTGGATATGTTACTTCACCAGGCTATGATGCTGGTGAAAATTACGACCCAGATATAACCTGTAAATGGCGTATTATGGCACCTGACGATATGGTTCGTCTCAGTTTTGCCCTTAATAACACATTACTCACCCTGAAGAGTACACAATTGAATTGTCAAGATCCACAATACAGAGCTATCTGGTGATCAAAAAATCCTTAACATTTAGGATAACCATCATATGTATCAGAATATTTATACAATTATACAGTATAAACGTCTTCTGCTTTTAGGTTGTGTCTTTGTATGTAGAGGTCATGGATATGGAATGCCATAAGACTTGCAGATATGACAAATTATTGGTGTATGATTCTAACAATAATGCGAATAAACTTGATATGATATGCTGTAACGATTCTGGTGGAGAGTACACGACCACTCAGAACAATATGTTCATCGAGCTGAAGACTGATGCCTCTACACAGGCATCTGGGTTCAAACTACACTATTGGACACATATCGCAGTTAGAAAGGGTATATTGTTTGTACAAAATCCCTGACGATCCATCCTTGTTTAATTACCTGTACACTGATTTAAAATGATATATATATGATAAAATATGGATTAAACTATTGAAGATTTTTGAAATGTCCGAATTCATGAGTATTGAAAAGCGGGCCGCAGATTACTCAACAAATTGAAGGAATATGATTCCTAATATATAGTCCGAACTAAAACTTTTGGGAAAAACATGGACTGGAATACTAGAGCAAATCAAATATTGTAAAATTGCCACAATTTTTTCTCTATCCCTAGTTATTCCTTTAAAAATAATATATTTGAAAATATTTTTTATTTACACTTTTGCAGCTTTGGCATCAGATTTCACTAAAGATGAGTGTGGCGTTACACATGTGAATGAGACGCATTCGAAGATCACTGAAGCTGTGTCCGCGACCCCTCATAGCTGGCCCTGGACGGTTAGTTTACGCTTGAATGGAGATCACACATGTGGTGGCTCATTGATCTCAGAGAATTGGGTCATTACGGCTGCACAATGTATGGCTCAGTAAGTACAATGTCAACATTTTCTGAGGTCCGTTTTTAAAAAAGTATGTGAATAATGAATTGTGATATTCATCACAGGCTTTCAGTTTTTTGCGGTGTTGCCAAAATTACGAACTAAAGTACAATGTAATAAGAGGAATTGTAATAAATGCTCATTTTAGATAAATTAATTTTGATCATTTACAAAACTTAATATCTTGCAAATTGGAATGTGTAATGTTATAAGAGAATTTATCTAAAGTAACTCCCACACCGTTAAATCATGGTTTGGGATGGTTGGGTTTGTTTCTTTATGACTGGTTTAAGCTTTGATATTTTCCTTTTCTTCCTGTGTTCTGTAACCATTTCCCTTTGGCACTTGTGCACACATATTCAACATATCTATAGAATTCAACTTTTTAAACTAACACGATTAAATTATAATTTTGAAATGATACGCTTAAATAACTTACCCAACTGTAATCGTTTACAGTGCATTGGATCCTGAAGACTGGAGTGCCTCTTTAGGTGAACACAAACGCTCTGACAACTCTGACGGTCAAATAACGCAAGACATTGAAGTGATTGTGACACATCCCGACTATGATGGTGATGTGTCCAATGAGAATGATATTGCGTTGGTCCGCCTTGGGGGAAGTGTGAAATTAGGCCCCTACATAGCTCCAATATGCCTACCAGAGCATGGAAAGGATCTATATGCAGTCATAGAGGAGCAAGGGGACTCTGAGAATCTGCATGATTGTACAACTGTAGGCTGGGGAGTGCAAGGTGGGTCTCAAGTTAAGTCTCAATGTAAATAGTGTCCATGTTAAAGGGGGGTACTTTCAATATTCGAATCCTTGGAATTGGTATATGTGCACAAGGTAGGTCTCAGAGTAAAACGGTGGATTTCGGTGTTCAATATTTTTGTGTATGATGTTTCCAAAGTGGATCTCAAATTGTAATTAATCCACCGTGCACTGGGCGTGCAGTCTATATATAATATGTCGAACTCCATGTCAATTTCGGTCTCATTGTGTCGTGTGTAATGTAAGCCGACCAGAACAGTATACATATGTGCACGCGCAACATGTCGTTCAAGAATCTTTTGGTATATAATCCTTTCTCCAGGAGGTTACTTGAAATGTTCATCTTCCATCCAAAGAATATGAAATTATTGTTTTGAAAGACAATAACAAATCTCAATTGATTGGTCCAAAGAAATGACTAAGTACAGTTATTGCCCCTTTCACTTTGACTCTAGTCACACAACTTAGTACTTATTTTACTCTCACAGGTATAAATGGTGGACTGTCAGATGTCTTACAGCAGGTGAAAGTACCCATTGTGAGTCAAGATGAATGTAATTCGGCTAATGCCTATAGTGGTGAGATCACAAGGAGTATGGTATGTGCTGGCTATAGCACAGTTGAAGGCACATGTCAGGTGAGTTACATGAAATGTAAAGCTCGAAACTCAAATCTACCTGACTGACAATGACAGTCACTTTAACTATTGGCAATGAACTAGTTGCCTATTAGGCAGTGGACCTATATAATGCCAGTATGGTATATTGTTGTGTCACTGCCACAAGTGAACGACATATCATTATGATCTCCAATTTTTGTGGACGTTGTTCGGTGGTCGGCGTCTGTAACAAATGGCAGGTGGTGACATTTTGCATGTTAATGCCTCGATGTTGTAGGACCCGATGTGGTAGGATTCGATGTAATGGGACCCTAGACTTTCATTTAATAAAATAAATCGGGTGTTGAATTGTATGTCATTTTATTATAGCTACATGTATATATCTATTAAGCTAATATGGCCATGGTGATATAAAAAGTTCATACAAACGGTCCATTCTCTCTTGAACATAATTATGTTTTATTCAGTCAAATATACACTATGTCATATTTTAGGGTGACTTTGGTGGTCCTTTGATGTGTCGAGACTCACCGGATTCTAATTACTGGTCCCTAGTTGGAGTAAGAAGCTTTGGAGAAGGATGTGCCTCCCCAAATCACCCAGGGGTCTACACCAGGGTGGCTAGCTATAAATACTGGATTACTAACACCATGGACACTGTTGATGATAAACTTAACAATAAGAAATCTAGTGTGGAGAATAGGGAGAGAGATGATGCAGATGTAGAAGATGAATCTGAAGATGAAATATTATAAATTGAACTCGATATGCCATGTCAAGGTGTCAATATTTATTTGTTTCAGTTGTTGTTGTTGAAATTAGTATGTTGGCTTGTTGTTTAATGACTCATGAAATGCCTTAAGAAGTAATTTCGAGTGAGGACTGTATTCTCAAATTTCTATACTAATTTGCTAATTTAACCATTTGAAATACATGCATGTATATTGTGCAATAATTTGTAAAAATACATTTGTTCTTTTCAATAATTTATGGAAATTGGCCTTCATCCTTTCCATAGTTTGTGATTTACCTTTGCCCTTTCAATAATTTGTGAAAATTGACCTTCGTCCTTTCAATAATTTGTGAAAATTGATTTTTGTCTTTTCCATAGTTTGTGGAAATTGACATTTGTTCTTTCAATAATTTGTGGAAATCTTTTGAACTTTAAAAGGTAAACGACAGTTTATCGCCAAAAACAATTTGGTGAATACCTTTATTTTTTACATGTTCCTGAACGTTTTTGCAAACAATTATATATGATGATAACCCAATCCAAATATTTTTTATTTTCCCCTCTTCAAATTTTCAATTTCACTCATTCGATTTTAAAGCAGATATGAAATGGTATTTCTAACCTAAAGGAATCAATATAATTTTTTGATAAATGTATTTGGACATGTTTTCTCATCAGTAGTGCGAAAACTATTTCACTCTAACGATCGTTATAGCTGCTTAATAAGCAATATTCGAATTGGTTGTGACGTTATTGGCCCCCACGTGATCTCTCACTGGTCCCCACGTGGCCCATAACGTCATAATGCCAAACTGTTTTGTTTTGGTTTACACTACAATCCTATGGTTGCCGTGACGTTGTGATTACTAAGGTACCAATAAACCAAAGCTATATTTTGTATATGACGTTACTTATCACGTGGGGGCCAATTTGATTGATCAGTTAGTTTTATTTCGTTATTTATGACCGTTAGCAGTTATCTAACATTTATTTTATAATGGCTATCGCAAGAACTCTGCGTTGGGCTTACAATGGAGAAAACCGCATTTTTGTAGCTGCAAGTTGAGAAAAGCTATTTCAGTTGTGCTTTAAGTCAAGCATTTATCTTGTGTCTTACTGAATCACCGATTGGTATTTGTAGTACATCTTAAAATATGAATGGTAAAGACAAAACATATTAAAATGGAAATTGTTGAATTTTAACTGCGCGTCCCATTGATTTCAATTTGCGCGATACCTGCTATCTTTGAAAGTGCATAAATTCAGTGACAAATAAGCTTTTAACTTGATTTTTGTTTTATTTGAACGATAATATATTATTCTCTTGAGACATATATATGACGTGCACGGACCTGGGGACAATTCGGGAAATGCGGGCTTATCTCAGCTTTGAACGTTAATCTCTGCCTTATTTAAAAAGCCAACTATGTGTTTTACATATCATTTTGAAGTATTTTTTATTCGCATTTCAATGAAATTATTTTTCCTTCAAAATTTTGATGGGATCCAACACATTTTTAAAGTTAAATATACTCCGACATCGTCAAATACGCTGTAAGACGTAACACTTTACGCTTACAGGGCTCGTTAAAATTGAGATAACTTTTGAAATAATGATCAAAATCCCACTTAAATTTCACAATTTATTCAATGGAACATTTGCATTCATGACGTCACAATTGCTTAACGGCTACATTTCAAATTATCTTATACGAACGCTTTTAAAATTTTCAAAATTGTGTAAGGTTTTGAAGGCGAATGGGACGAGCAATAAGTTTACCTTCATTTAACCTTCTAATTTAGGTCTGATTTGAAAGAAAATTTAACTGCACAATATTGTCATGGCGAAATTTACAAAACAATAACCGGTTTGTTTATTTTGCAAATAATATCAAAATAAGAGCAGGTTTTCGAGACTTGAAAAAATGTGACGCATCGATGTTTTACCACAAATTCCATACATATCAATTTTTACTAACGCCCCAAGTGAATTTCTTGACCGTTTTTCAAAATTCAAAAACATTTTAGAAATATTGTCCTCGAGATCTTGCTACCCTGTAAATTTTGTAATGATTAGATAAGGATAAAGTATTTTATTTTGAGGCTGACTAAACTTGTAAAAAATGTGACGCTTGTCGTTTTTGACGTTGTAAGGCTGTTTGCGCCCTATACTGCTCATTGTTTTGTTTTGTTTTTTTTGACGCCATAATGTTACGCTAATTGTCCCCAGTTTCGTGCGACGTGTAATAGCATTTTATGTACTTTGTTTTTTTTAAATAGAAATAGCAATTCATCGCAGAATGTCAAAAGTTTACACTCCCGAGGTCAGGATGACCTCGATTTGACCTTTGTTGACCTACTTTTTAAAAACCAAGACTTCTGAAGAGGTAATTAAATAGGATATATAACAATACTAAAATAATTGTAAACAGATAAGTGATAAAAATTGCAACTTAGTGTTATTAAAAGAAATTGCAGACATTGGGTTATTGCAACTGAAAATATATGACTGCTAGCTGCCAGGAGGGCAAATGCTTTGGAAGCAATAAAGGTAAACATTGAAACAGCTTGTCACTCGTGCGTACATATTTATTTTTATACGTGCCGAGATAAATTTCAATATGATAGATAAGTATCTTTACTGCGTTTTTGATGTCAAGCGATTCATATATTACTGGTTTAACGAAAACATTTTTGAAAAATTACTATACCTGCACATGGTATTTTCAGGTACAAAATAAAGTATGAACGCATTTGTGTCTTTCCTTGCTTTTTTCAGGAAAGCATAATTTCATTGTCTTCTTTGGGTAAACTTGGGAAGAGGTCCATGGTAACTGCAGAAAATAAAAGAGGTAAAGCAATTTTCAAAAATGTTTTCTTTCCACCAATACCCCGAGAGTTTCCGATTACATATAACTATTTCATAAACGCAATTTGATAAATGTTCAGAGAGATATTTGGGATATGCTTTTTTAATGAGCAGTGTGATCGTTGTTTTACGACAAAATGTTCATATTGTTCTCTAGATTAGAAACCACACAAATCTATTTGAAATCGGTAAATGTTTATTCAGGTGCAACAAGAGGACTTCAGTTAAACGTTAAAGCGTTGAAGACTTCAGTCAAAGCGTTCTACAAATGTCTATGTTTACGGTAAGCGTTTTATATTTGCTTATTTTAACCTCAATAAACATAACAAATACGCTATATCATACAAAATTCAAAGGATCCGTTACGCCGACTACCTAATGGTGCCCCCAAATGTTTCATTGAAAATAATGGAAATGGTTACTTTTATCAATTATGAACATATCCAAAATGAATCGTATGATAAATAAATCCTGTTAAACGTAATAGTACCATGATCACCCCTAGTATATAAACTGTAGCTTTAACCTAGGTATTCAACCTTGGGGACATGTTAAAACATCATTGTCGATAAGCAAAAGAACACAACGGCAACAGCTGAAAACACAAAACCTAGGTATTAGGCCTAAAACCCTACATTAATTTTCTGAAAAAAACACTCCCAGTTTCAAAGATATCCGATGAAGCCATTTTATTGCCATTTATAATCAGTAATGACTATAATCCCATTTGATCGCACGTGACCAAGCATAAACTGATATTTATGAAAAGACTTTATTCCACTCCAAGAAAGTCTCGTCCACCACGAGAAATCACGTGGAATGAGATTTTAGATGCGCAAATTTAATGCGCAATCGATACCAGATACCAGACTGCTACCTTACTGTATAGTGATTAATATGTAATATATTGAGAATGTAGATGTCAGTTCTATTCCAGGTTACTTGTTTACTTTTGATAATGCTTGGGATATCTCAAGCTAATGTTGACGCTAATCTAGAATCAAAACGCATGGCTCTAGAGGCTACTATTGGTTACCCTGTTGACATCATAATATTCAATGATACAGCGGGAAGGCAGTCTGCTAAAATACTTTGGGTCAAACCAACAACAGTAAGACAGGTATAAGTTTTGTAATTAGTTTGAAAGGTTATGCAACATTATTTAAGTTCGATTTACCTCGTGCTACCATATTCGTTTTTACATGCTACATGCTGACATGCAAATAGACGTACATGTAACTCATTGTCTCTAATTATTATATACATAAAACAGATCTCAATAACTGTTAAGTAAACAGAAAACATGGCATAACATCACATCACAGCACAATTGTATAACATAAAGAAGAGATGGAAACATTAATATCATATTAGATACATTATTTAGATACAGCTTCTTGTTCGTGGGGCCAACAACCTAAACCTTAAAATGCGTGTTGTTGGAGCGGCTCATACATTTTCTGCCTTGTACCCAGACCCCCTCCAAATAGGAGTGAGCCTTGATGACTTTCGTGGAGAGAAATATCATCTAAATGAGGTTTGTTCATTTTAGGATAATCGTTATTTAAAGTTGACAATTTTGAATCATCAAAGTGTCTGATAAGCAAGAAGATTAGAAGTTTAAGGGACGATTTATGATAATTTATTGACATACCCTCGTACGGATCATAAAATCTTGCTTTTGCAGAAAAGGGACAAATTGACGGTTCTGTCATCTGAGAGACTTGAAGATGTTTTAAAGTGGGCAGCTGGGAAGGGGGTGACATTCGGTCCCGTCCCAGATGCATTGGTATCCACAATCCCCGGTATCACCGCTACAAGTAGCCATGTGAGTTGTTAAACATTTGACATGATCCAAACACTGTAATATCAGACTCTTTCATTTGAACCTTGATAGTTGTAATTTTGCAAAGAAACTACATTAAAGGTGTATATCTGAGTATAGCGCGCAAGGTTTTCAATATTTAAAGGCTGCATGTAAGATTTCAATCATTGACAAATAACTCATTTAATTACTAGATTGATCATTTTGGCACACTTTGACTTAAGTGGGCTTTTTGCGTTTCAAAATTCTTGAAAATGTGAACCCATTTGTCAAATACGAAATATAGATTTATCCTCGAATACTTTTAGAGCACGGGTGTACACTTTGGACCTTTCGCTAACATGGTTTACGGATATGAGTTAGTAGATGGAAGTGCCAATGTCAGGAAGATTAACGAAGATGACAACAAGGAGATCATTGATGCATGCAGGGTCCATCTAGGCTTATGTGGTATCATATACAAAACAGTACTAAAGGTATGGCCTATCTATATTTTTTATTTATATTATCTTTGATATTAAATGATATGAGAACTTTTTGAAATTCATTTGATTTTGCTTTAAAAGTATTTTACTTGAGAGGTAATTCAGTTATGGTTGGCTCTTAAAAAGCCCATTCAGCAACACGTTTCAAGATCCTAGTGAGAACTAGTTTATTGTGGTTTTGTAAGAAAGAATATATGTCCGGTTATTATTGGTATTCATCTAGCATCCCTTAATTATCTAACTTAACAGGTACTACCCGATAGGATACAAAGGCTTACGATTGCCAACATTCCCATCAAAAAACTTCTTGACAATGAAAATCGCAAGAACCTCGTTATTAACAACTTGGGAGCGCAATTAAACCTTAACTACGACTTTAAATCAGCTACGGAAAAGGAAATGGAAAAAATGTTAGCAGACCCATTAAGGAGGATACCAGACAGTTATGATATATTTAAGGAAGAGATGAGACTTTGGTACGTTTTTGCTATTATCACTTCGTTCACTGGTTTTACTCAAATAATGAATTAAGGGGAACGGCGTATCCTATCGTTCACGGAGCTTTTTATTTAAACTCCGTTCACGAGTATACTTGTTTTTGGGCTCTTATCCCAAAGATTAATGATTATATAAGGTTGCATAATCATGATTTTGCGCTGTCATTACGTAACATTATCTCATGATTACCTAATCGTTTCTTTAGTATACAATTACGCAAGCTCTGATCGATAGATAGCCGTCTCCCCATGTTTAAATTGTATATGTTATATTTTATGTAATAAAATCTATAAAACGTACACATGTTCTTTGGATATAAATTGTGATTTAACAAGTATTTGTTAAATCTGGTTTATATCACAGAGAACGGTGTCTGTCCTACCAGCCCAATTAAAAGTCTGTTGACAGATCCAATTAGGCCGGGACAATAACTTATCTTAATGCTATACCAACTGTTCTGTAGTAGTTTGGTTTACACAGAGGCGGCTATCTATCTCAGCACTCGGTCCTCTATGGTGGCTCTTATCCCAAAGATTAATGATTATATAAGGTTGCATAATCATGATTTTGCGCTGTCATTACGTAACATTATCTCATGATTACGTAATCGTTTCTTTGGTATACAATTACGCAAGCTCTGATCGATAGATAGCCGTCTCCCCATGCCAAAAAGTTTAAATTGTATATGTTATATTTTATGTAATAAAATCTATAAAACGTACACATGTTCTTTGGATATAAATTAAAGGCTATGATATCAATAGATTATAGCCATATAAAACTATCTTTCTCCTAACTAGGTTATGGAGTGATGTTGATCAAAATACACGGTTACGTGACATATACAATGACACGATCACCTTAGCCGATGGGTCCGAATATGATGCAGTGTCGGTTATAAAACCATTTTCTGCAACAAGCACTGGGCTGCTAAGTAATTCCAAATATCAATGTTACCAATTCAGAACTTCAGTGTCGTTCGCAGCACCTGAATCTGATGATTTCACAGAAAGTAACAAAACAATAATGGTAATTATTAGATTGGTGAAAATACACAATTGTTTGCGATGACTGCAACGTGCAATAAAAGTATTTGGTCTCTAGTAGTCATATTGAGAAGTTACATGTATAAAATGATGACAGTCGTAAACAAATTATTAGACCACTGAGAAATGTCAAGAAGATCAGAATATGCACTGAAAAAAACTATAACCTAAAACAACCCATCCCCTTTGGGCGACTGGACTATATAGCATTTTTCAAGGATTTTATAGAACATAATGGTTTATACTAATTAAATTACCTATTTTAGAATCACCTGACCATACTCGAGGACATATTCAAAGATGTTGGATTTTACCCTCACTTTGGAGGAAGCTGGATTCGCTGGATGAAACATTTTGATAACTGCCTTTTGTGCACAACAAAGGTATATTGTATACTTCCTAAATATTAAATGTTTCGAGTATCATATAATACTTCAATCTCGGCGAGATGTGAATTTACTAAACATCTTAATTTCTCTTAAAGTTGAAATACGGCTCATTCAACTCTGGGAACGATTCCGATTCTGTGTTGATATTCTCGCCTTAAAGCGTAGATACTCTATTTTTAGGTGGCGGATGATAGCTCCAAATACAGATTAGTAACATTTACTGAAATGAGCACTGATTTTGATAAATGCGAAGAACCATTAATTAGTGAAGAACATTCAATGAAACAAATATTAATGGAAACGCAGGTAATAGTGACAAACGTACATTTATGTTTTTACAGCTAGGATACAAGGATGTTGTTTTTCAATTTAACTTAAGTACCCGGATACTAATATAGTAAAACCTGCGAACAAGGAACACTCTCCGAACTTGGTAAAATTGTTCCTTATAGACAGGTGTTCTATATAGAGAGGTCTGAACCTCTGACCATCCAATATTGCTGAATAAGCATTTAATTATTGAAGATGAATTACTTAGTGCTATATAATATGTCCAAACATGTTGCTTAGAACTGATATTCGAACATGACTATATTCACGCCTTCTGTAAACTGTAAACAAAGTCAACATTTCACGGCCCGGGGTATATTCGCCAAGAATACCCCTGGTAATACGTGTAATGTGTGACGTCATAACGGCGGGTCGTAGTAATGGCGGACCATCGAAACATTTTGGTGAGTTTCCATGTTCGAATCGTAATATAGACCTCAGAACAGGGGTAATATCGTCGAATACACCCCTTAGGGTTAGGCACAAAACTTACTCCATTGAAGTTCAGTGGAATAATGAAGTCCCAGTTACCTCGTGACCTTGACCTCAGTCATGTGATCTTTGTTCAGGGGATTGACATTCTTACTTCATTTGTTCTATAGTTTCATATGTACTACTCCCCTCAACAAACTGTTTATAATTTCATAAACCCAATTATTGCATAATTATTATACATTGTACAATAAGTACATGTAATTGTATTCCAACAACTGTACGTGTTACTTGTGTTTTGGACGTGTTTGGTTGATACTTGATTCCAGGGATACTCAAGTTTTTTCGTTGCAGCTTGTATTACGGTATGAATAAACACGTCCCCGATTTTCCCGATGTGCAATTTCTAGTTTTTTAGATTTTGGAAGGTGGCTCAGTAACTGAGTCTGGCTGTGAACAGTTTTCTTCTTTTTCTTTAGTTTGGAGTTAGTACGATGAAGAACAACCCTCGTGTCGTGCCACATTGGGCAAAACACTTTCAACACATACCTGGAACAACAGATCAGATAAGACGCCATTTCGGAAATGATCTTCGGACATTTATTAACTTGCGCAACAAATATGGCCTAGATTACAAAAACCTGTTTCTAAACAATCACCTGAAGGATATATTTAGAGATGCCTTTGTAAAATTTCTATAACAGCTTGATGTATATGTATTGATAACTTAATAAATACTCCGTCTTGAGAATGTCACGTCCTTGGCATGATGTACATGTACGAAAATTTCGTTCTTTGTATGCTCATCTCTATTCTTTCTATTTCTATTCTTCTAGTTCTAAAAAGGCGGTCGAAAAGATTTACGTCCAATCCGTCTACACACAAATACTGTGCAAATACTATCATTAGGGTTTATTGGACTGATTTAGCTGGGTTGCCAAAAAATTAACGTTGGGGAAATCTTTTGTATCTATCACCATGGTAACATACCAGGTACATGGTGGTATCCCGACGCTAAGTCAATAGTCAACGCCATGTTAAGCCAATGCACCCCTCCCTAATGAGCCGATATACTTTTTTCCCCAAACTAACTTTTTGTCCAACCCAGTTAAATCACTTCAGAAAACCCTTGTTATTATAAATTAACCATAAAACATCGTGTTTTTAACAATTCATAGGTTCACTATAGTATGTATAGGGGTGACAAATGGACTAATTTGGCAGCTTGCATTTAAGAACGTAGGCTACTTGAGAACGAGTTTGGTGAGAATCGGTACAACCGTGGTATTTGCGTTGGAAGTGCACATTTACCAAAACCAAATCATTGTACCAAAATACAAAATACCAAAATATTTTATGTGAGTTTGCATCATCGTATAACACCTGTCTCTCTACATTTCTTGAAATCATTGTTATGCATTTGTGAAATAGATAGGTTTCGCACAACGTTTTTTGTTGAACGTCTAAAATCCGTAACGTATAAAGATGTTTGTGATACTCCTTAGAACTACTTTTTGTGAATCGCACAAAACGTATTTCGTGTTGGGTGTAAATGAAAATTATAACCTCTATTTCTATTCACGACTTGGGTCTATATAGTAGCCGAGACAACACAAGTCCCATTTTTCAGGCCATTGAAAGACGCCAAAATCTCAAATAATGCAGGCATCTTCAGGAGTCGTTTTTGGTCCCGTTTTGTTTAGAATACCATGTTTCTACATAGCATTTTTCTCGGATATGTCTCAATTACCTAAAACAGTTACACTTGTGCTGAATTAGAAAACATTTGGTCATTTTGGAAAATATTAAATGAATTATTTATGCAAAAGGTTTGAAACATATCTTCCAAAACATTGGTTACTTTTTTTGTATAGACATTGAATGGCATTTCTGGATAAGTGAATTGGTGTTATGTGGGTAATCAAGGGATTATAGTCACTCAAAGTTACTGAGCATCCAGTTTTGAGACTTAAATTGTGTTGGTAATGTTACACATATTTCAGTCAAATTCATGCTGAGCACAACATTTTGGTTTCAATTTTATAATCTCTATACATGACCCTGGTGATGAAGAGTCAGAATCAGTCAAAAAAACTAAACCGGAAAACTGTGCTCATTGTCTAAAAGTGAAGCAACTTTTTTCTGATATTTTTTACATCAAATGGCAACCATCTTGTATTTCCCCCTTCAAATTAAACTGGCGGGAAATTCAAAAATTTGAAAAAAAATTTAATCCTTAAATATATTTCAAAAATATGATTTTCTCTTCAATTCTTCATGGGTCTTAAGTTATTTCTTCTTTGTATGTCATACATGTTGCTATTGGTCTTTTCTATGATAATGACTATTTTTTTGTTTGTTAAGATACTTATTCTGACTCTCAGCAGGGGGTTAATTATGCATCAAAACTCGTGAAAAAGTAAATATACTTATCAAATATAATTAGGACAGTAATAAAAACCATATTTCACATACATTTGACTGAGGGACCAAAAGGGCATATACCCGGACACATCCTTTTGGTTATAGACCATTCAAAATCAAATGCTTCCCTATCTTTAACTAATAAACTATAATCAACACCAATAAAATTCTATGTTAGGATATCTCCTGGGAATATGTATGCAAAATGTGGTGACTTAACTCTTAAAAGTGAAGAAATGAGAGTAAATATACAGACTTGGGACTTGTGTTGTCTCGGCTACTATAATACTTTAATTGTCCACAGTATGAATGCTTAAATAAATATATAAATGTCAAAATATGTATTGTGTATTTATAATTAATTAATTAGTTATTTATATACCTCACATACATTAAACTAAAATAAAGCAATTTTACGCTGAGACGTATCCCAAGATAATAGGCCGTGTGCCCATCTTCTCTGGAAGTGTCAATCAAATAAGAGATAATTTGTGATTCTCCCTAGAACTGCTTGTTATTAATTGAACAAAACGTATTTCGTGTTGGATACTGATAATAATATCATAATCTAAAGGATCTTGTACACCATGCCATTATGATCTCCCCATGAACAAAAATAAATTTATCTGATTTTTCAAAATAAATATACTGCTTTTATTATTACATATATATGTACACTAGTATCTTGTTGACCTATATTCAGCACTGTATTGATGAATGGGCCACTTTTTAGGGCAATATTCAATCATAAAGTGTACAGGGGTAGAGATGCCAAACCAGGAAGTCTTTTTGTGTCTGTCAAAATCCATTTGCATCCTACACATCCCTACATCTTATCAAAATATGTTATTAATTAATGAATCATAACAGTATAATCTTTGGATTTACAAAGTTGTATGGGATTTCATAAGTGTAAAAGTTGCTTTTGAAGCATTTTTCTATAGCCATTTTGTAGGAAAAAATGATGAAAAAAATGAATAATCTTTTAATTTGAAGTATGACCTGAATCGATTGCAAACTTTATATTTGCACATCTGATCTGAAATACCATTTGTGTCATATTGTGAAATTATTTAATTTGCAATCGATCCAGGTCATAGTGTATTTTAGGTATTTTTGTGAAAATCAATAGAAACCAATGGCCTCCATTGGAATCTGAGGGTATCCACATGTTAAGTCAATAGAACACATCCAATGTCAAGTCAATACACCCTTGCTGAACTTAATGACCCCAACCTCAGCCCATGTGGGGCCAAACGCTTAAATATTTTCCAAAGTATTATGTAACATTGTATTCTTTATATTACACCTAAAAATGATTCATTTTGTTCATGGGGAGATCATAATGGCAGGTGTACAAGATCCTTTCTATTCACATAACCACCTAGAATGACCGTTTTAAGGCCCCCTCACAGATCGTAAGAATCCACCAATCGCAGTCTAGGGATTTTGAGAGGGCCACATAAAATACTGGATTTCATTGATACCATACGCAGCCACTTGTCCTACTCAGGACTAAACATTGTAAATAGCTTTCTTCTGTGTATATTCAATATATTGAAATGTGAAATGCTTATCATGTACATATCATAAGCACGTGTTGACAGATAATGTTGGCAGAACACATAGGCATACGTCTTGTTAATACATATTAAGCAAAGTGACATAAAATGGCCACAATAGTATTTATCGTTTGGACGGTGATTTTGGGAGGAATTGGACTTTTGTTGATTCAAGTCTTCGGCTGGTTATACAAGTTACAGAAACGGATAGCTTTCTTTGAAACTTTCCCAGGTCCAAAACTGCACTGGATATACGGAAATTTACACCAGGTATGTATTGTGCAAAATTCCTACTTTTTTCTTGGCGTTCCCAATGCATGTCGTTGATACATCTTTTAAACAAGCTCGTCTCGTAAGATATTTGGATTATACTGTATAATGATCCCGTTGATACCAACGTGAAATTGCAAATCTCCCGTTCTAAACACGAAACTCAAGCTGATCAGGTATCCGAAGTAGACTAATTAGCGCTTGTTTTGCATGCGTACTATAAACAGCAGGGTGACGCAAAAATGAAACCCACCTTATATTATGCTGCATAACTTGTTTGTCCATTATTATATAGACTTGTCCTTTGGCACAACTATGAACTTATCCGCGGTAATGAGCTCGTTGACATTACCACGGAATATAACTGATCATTTCAGTAAAAATGGTGACCTTACCCTGCGGAAATGGAGATAATGTTCCACAGCTATATTTCTTAGAGCGATACAACAGCGCAGTGTCTCTAGGGAATTGATTTTACTTTCTACAGGTAACAATACTATACCTGTGAATAGAGTGGTTCTAAAGCCTTAGCGAAATAACCTCCTTTGTTTACATTTGCCAAAACATAAAGAAATTAGAAAAGTCATACCTTTTTAAAAACTCGATAATCGGAACCGATTTCACTTGTCAGTGACGGGTATTTTAGTTGTACACGAACTGTACATGTCCATGTGTCAGTAGCGTTTGCAATATCTCCAAATTAAATATTTCCCCAGTTGAACAAATTGAATCCAAGACTACGTTTTACCACGGAATGGATCATACAAAAGAGTATTGAACTAAGATGAACCATTCCGTGGTTATACGTTGAATGTCTTCAACTGGTGAAATATATCATTTGAAGGTATTACAAACGACACTGGCATGCTCAGTTCGTGGTCATAGCCACTATAACTGTATATATGTTACATTGATTTTTCTTTTCTTTTTTTACATTGATTTTAATTTTTTTTAAAACTGATAACCCGTAACTGATAAGTGAAATCGGTTCCAATTATCGAGGTTTTAAAAAGTTATGACAACTTTTCTAATTTTTTTACGGTTTGGCGAATGTAAACAAAGGAGGTTACTTCGCTAAGGCTTATGTAAATGGGCTAGGTATAGATTTGTTTCCTGGAAAGTAAAATAAATTCCCTAGAGACTGGGCGCTGTTGTCAACTGAAACGTCTTGTGGAGTTGCGAAATGGATAGTAGTTTGAATGTGCGAAAAACACAAGTCAGAATTTTTTCAGACAAAACAGTGAAACAATATGTGGGATGGTGTCATTTTTGTGTCACGCGGTACGTTACTGTATTGATTCATGGACTTTGCGTCCACGGTTACGTTGTGAAAAACATCGCAAGCTTAAAGTGTCCAGTATTAGACATACGTACGTACAATCACAGAAAGACCATGGAAAAGTGCAACAACTTGTATATTATAAGTGGCTTTTCAGATCGCACACGCGGAGAATCTTAATTTTCAAACATTGTTTGTCCAACCACTTGACAATTTTGAAGACCATCTCTGGTAGAGATTGACCTGAAACAAAACATTTAGCATCCGGTTAGACGGTATATGGTTAAATTTGAGCTCACAATCAACTCTTCCCTGCATCTCTTTTGTTTTTGTAAACCATCTATTATCCGAACATATCGATGAAATGTTTTAAGCCCAACGTCCGCAGGGGGATTATTTCAATAGTTCTTGTTTGCAAGTTTTTAGTGAGCTATTAGTATAGTGCCCCATTGACCCATAGATAAATGACTTTTTGTCGTAAAATCAACGATTATACCTTATTTCAAAATATACATCTATAACTTATTTAATTAACAAATAACAGTTTCAATATTAATACTGATAACACTAACAAAGGAATTGATTTGAAAAATACAATGCAAGCATTTGAATACCATTCAATGTCATTTTAGCATCCTGGCGCAAACCAGAAAGGGCTTGATTGGAGAATTAAGCACCAACGGGAATATGGAAATGTTTACCGCTTGTATTACTCAATACTAAGACCAGTCCTCAGCTTAGATGGACCGGAGGTTGTTAAAGCAGCGATCAAAAGTGGGGCAAAAAAAGTTTTGTTTGGACCCAGCTATAGGTACTTCTATCCATGGTTAGGTACGTATGATTTTTCAAATTGACGGTTCATTTCAACAAATTAAATAATTCGGTTTTTAGCGATACGTATTACGCGATAGTTTCATTTAGTTTTCTACACCGTCGAAACTCAATTTTATTTCGGGAAAAACGCCGATTTGTATAAATTGAAGGTGAGGTAAATAACCATTATTCACATTTGAAAGCCCCGTCACATGAAATATAGCCTAATACACGACACGTTTTTTCGAGCAGGAGATGGTCTATTGGTAAGCGAGGGTGCTAAATGGTTCCGTAATAGACGCCTCTTAACACCTGCTTTTCATTTTGACATCTTGAAACCTTACACCAACGTGTATAACACGGCAGCAGAAAAATTAGGGGTAAGCTTCCCGAGGTCCTAATACAAGACTAGTTAGGTCAACCGATTTCAATATTTTTCCATGTGATCACATGATCTTCGAACTCCATTACAAATGCAAATGCTAATACTAGAATAGTACTCCTACCAGTCATATTTGTAATATCTAAAACATGATTACCCGCATTATTGATCACAAACACGTAACGGTGATGACGCCTTCTTGCCCAATGGTAAATCTTACCACACACCCTTGGTCTTCACATTTCTTGATTCTCTCTCATAAGGGTGTTGCCAGAAGCAAAAACGTCAGGTGAGGCAAATTCCACCAGGGGACGTATGATTAAATGTGTATATTTGTGATTTTTGTTGAGGCGGTAACCCTGCCGGGTTTACTGATCATTGTTGTTTATTTCAGGCCAAATTTGACAGAGTGTGCGACAAAGGCGACAGTTTTGAAATATTCAGTCCGGTCAGTCTCAGTACGTTAGACGTCATGTTAACATGTGCGTTTTCATACAACCAGAACATCCAAGAGACTGGGTATGTAAACGTACTTATTTAGACAGTTGATTAAGATTATCATGAATTTTGAAAGACTTAACCTTATTTTAATATATGCATCAGATACAAGTCTGTCAAAGGACATAAATAAAGTACCTTTTGGATGATACATCTTTAACATTTGCATGAAAATAGTCTGTAAAAAGAATATAGTCTGTACCCTGGTTTTGGTGTCCAAAGTACTAGTTTCACTCTTAAAGGAATATTCCTTGCCAGACCCTTTCTCTCTTGATATGGTAGCTATAATCATATATATAGTTTCCATATTTAGCAAAACATGGGAAAATGTTTTAATATGGTCAATATTGATCATTTAAAAATCTAGTGCTTATTTCCAGTGAGCTGCCATCTTTTAAGATTTCTTGCAGGAAGTGATGTCATCAACTCTCAACTTCTATAACCGTGTCCATAACAGTATAGGAAAGTAGCACAAAATCACTTCTAGACAAGTGATCATTACTTTCTGTGCAAAAATATTTTAAAGGCTTGTCAACTTAGAATAAAAGAAGAGATTTTCAGAAGGATTAAATAAGATACAAAGTTGAAAAAGAATATTTAGCTGGTTTTGTAATTCTTAATAGCTCCTCAACTAATGCTATATGCAAAGTTGAGAGTCGATGACATCACTTCCTGTGTGAAATTTTAAAAGATGGTAGCTTACTGGAATTGAGCATCACATTTCTAAGTGATCAAATTTGACCATATCAAAACATTTTTGCGTGTTTTGCTAAACTTGGCAAGCATACACAGCGAAAAATGATACAATATCCTGCCTGGATATTTGCGAAATATTATAGTGATATGGAACGTATCCTTAAGAATCCGTGACAAATACTCTAAGTATCGCGATTTTGGAGATTCACGGATATTAGTGAGAGACGGAACACTGGTATCCTGAAATATCCATAGTTCTGGATACTACTGATATACATCACGTCTTTTCGCGTATTCTTAGGGGTATGACTAATATATGATTCGAATACTCACAAATATAGCTGAATATTCAACAATTTTCCGGGATATTTAGGGATACAGTTCGTAATATTTTTGGGATATTCACGAATACGGTCGGGATTGCAAGGAGATTTTCGTTCATATTACCTAACAAACTTAACACGAAATGACGCATTTAAATACGTACAGTTTATTATCTCATCAATACAAATGAGATGTACGATAGGTGTAAGCATTAAAACATCTGATCACAAGGATGTATAACAATGACCACATCGATGTACTTAGGCTGTTCTGCTACTTTTACATCTCCTACTTGACGTCCTTCTTCACTTAGGAACTGATGTGGCTGCCATGCTGATCATTGTGTGTTCAATAATTTGAATTTAGACTTGAGGAAAATGCTCGATGTTTAAATCAGGGGCATTGATAACGTTGTAAGTTGTAACGATATTTCGTCTCAATTTATTGATAGCGCGCGGACGTCAGAGAGCAAACTTCCGGTTTGATTGCAATGTTTTAATGGCGACTAATATTTGTGTTTGTTACCTTATTTAAAAGCCATTTTCAGTGTCTACGAATATCGAAATGTAGTAAACAAAAGCTTCCTAGTAAAGTTCATAAGATTCTCTACAAGATGAATTCACGTTTATATCTTGAAAGTACGACCGAAGCCAGATAAAATGAGAAAACTACGAAATGTACAAGCTAAAATTCGACAGATTCACGGTATTATTGAAACAAATCAGTTGTCATGAAGGAAATGTTGTTTCTACTTTAGTTGTTATAAACGTTAATATACCCTCCATGCTTAGAAGCAAACTTTTCTTCGAAGCGCAGCTTATTGTCGATGAAATCGTTGATTGAATTTCCCAAACAAACACAAGTTGGAGTACCCAAAAATATCCTTTCGAGGATATTTCCGGATATTCGAAGTATCGGTGTCTATGTCTATGTCGATAATCTGCAAAAGGCTCATAAGCCCATATGAAGCAGATATATGATTTAACAGTAATAGAATTTGAAAAGAATATAACTTAAAACCTTAACATTTAAGAATAGATATATTTTAGACAATATCCCAGGAACTTTATTTAATATTATCTTCCATGCTTAGAAGCAAACTTTTCTTCGAAGATCAGCTTATTGACGATGTAATCTTCGGTCATCATGAATTTCCTGTCTTACATATGTCTGAATTTCCCAAACACAAGTTTTTCGATGGCAGCCATTTTGAGCAGTTAAGATATCACGAGGAGAATGTTGTTTCACTGCAGAAATTCATACAAGATATTCCACATTCTATATGGCGAAACAAATGTTTCAATGACACTAAAATTGTTAATTGAACGTTATAATTTATGTACTAGCATAATTTCCAGGAATCAATATTCCGGATACTTAAAAAATTTTCTGGATACTAGGGTAGTCAACTATCCTGAAATATCCTTAATTCGGATATGTTGAAAGTTGGAAACTTGGAGTATCCAAAAATATCCCTTTGAGGATATTTCCGGATGTTAGAAGTATCGGTATATTTTAGGTTATTCAAGGATACCTCAAATATCCGGGATTTGCGATACGTACGGAAACTATAGGATATTACACCATTTTTCGCTGTGATATATGTGGTTATAGCTACCATATGAGGAGAGAGATGGTTTGGCAAGGAATATTCCTTTAAGTAAAGAAGAATTTTCAAAAATGTGCGGATTAACATCCTTGGTGTGTGTAACGAAAAGGTCATAAATCATTTCAAAGGCAAAAACAAAAATACTCAGATCGATAGTGTCCTCTTGTATTTCAGAGATGATCACCCATACGTGAAAGCAGTGAAGGGACTTGCCAGCCTTTTCGTTAACAGATTTTTGTAAGTGATAATGGTTATACTATTTAGTTGACCTTTTCTGTGAATTGACCCTGTCAAAGACCTAGTTTCTATACATATTGTACTTTTACAAATCTGAACATTAATCATAATGGTATCAATATTGTATCTATTAAATTCACTTCGGAAAGATTTTAAAGTGCAATGATACCTACTTAAAAATATCGTTTTTATATGTTATACTTCGACTTGCAGCAACCCAATTATGGACATAGACTGGATATACTATCGTACAGCAGATGGAAAACGATATCTTGAATTATCAGAGTTTACGCACAGTGTTTCTGAAAATGTAATTAAAGAGAGGAGGAAAAACCTGGTAAGGTCATTGATAATGACAATTCATTTTCTTTTTTTGGGCTCCCATTCGCACTAATAGCCCAGTGGGCGGTTTTGAATAAACATGTATGAATGTCGAGGAGTGAAGGCTTGGAATAATTATACGTTTTAATGCAATCATCTTCTGTCTGATTAATAGAAGCAAAATCCTGATTCTGATAGAGGTCGACTAGATTTTGTGGATATTTTACTGTCGGCTAAAGATGAAACTGGAAAGGGACTTGACGATGTTGAAATTAGAGATGAAGTCGAGACATTTATGTTTGAAGGTAAGTTTTGACGTATGTGTTTTCTTATCTGTGATAGTTATTAAATGTTGTAAATGTAGTGATTGTTAAATCTTTTTTATACAACATTTAGACTATCAACACTCATTTGAGGAATTAATCTATTGAAGGCCACGACACAACTGCAAGTGCTATCTCATGGATACTTTACTCGCTAGCCCATTACCAAGAATGCTTAGCTAAAGTACAAGAAGAATTGGACGATGTGATTGGTCAAGACGTCAACCAACCAATAAAATGGTAGGAAATACCACATAAAATGTTTTTCCTTGTGATATTCAAATCTTAAACATCTACTATATATTTTTCTCATTTCTGAAAAATAAAAGATCGTGACACTTGGTCATTAGTTGACCATTTTCTCGAAAGAGTGGTACTCGTATAGGTCGATCATAATCCAGCTCCCCAATAAGGATTGCGGGTATAAAATGCCATGCCTATAAAAGTATCTTATATCAATTTATTATCCCATCGAACGAAGTTTGGGGAATTGAAAACAGCTCCCTCCGTACGTACGTACTTCGTTCGTATTCATAGTATGTGTGTCATCCTCTCCCCACGATATATTTTCTTGCTATGAGAGAGAATGAGAAATCACAAGATATATTAAAATTTGATACAAGACTGGTGTGGTGCATTTAAGGGAGGACCTGGCTAATCTGAATTACCTGACCTTGTGTATCAAAGAGGGGATGAGGTTACACAGTCCTGTACCATATATCGGGAGGGTAACGGATAAAGAGATTGTGCTTGAGGGAAGAAAAATTCCACCGGGAACGATTCTTGATATAAACTTATATCATGTCCATCACAATCCGGACGTTTGGGGAGAGGACCATATGGTATGTTTTTAATATTTTTGAGTCTTAGTAATGGGTTATGCTCAATAACTTCTAAAAATGTATTCTAGAATTGGGTACGGTTTATCCTTCCAAATTGTTCATTTTCCATCCAGTTTTCGTCATGTTTTGTAAAATTAACATATAATCATTCCAAATGAAATACAATTTGACAAAATACAAACGTGTGATAACATAAATTCTAAATCATTTAAATACATTGAATATTTCCAGAAATTCAAACCAGAGAGATTCGACATCGATAATAGGGCAGACAAAGACAGCTATTCATTTATACCTTTTAGCGCTGGACCACGGTACGTACGATGGTTATGTAAATTATTCTCTGAGATCTCGGGGAACAGGGTCTGTCCCTTGTTTCTCCTTATATTTTTGAATAGAAATGGGCTTTATAAATGGGTTTCTTATTTTAAATATTGGTCACAAATCATTAAAAACGGCCACTTTGTCAACTTCAAGAAACGTAAAACCTGATATTTCATACTCTCGATATAAAGCGTACCGTATACCTCATGGGAACTTGGATAATTTAAGTAACTTCAACTTACAGAAACTGCATCGGACAAAACTTTGCAATGAACGAAATGAAAGTGGTGATAGGGAGAATAGTTCACAAGTAAGTGCACTACAATAAAATAATATAGAAACTACACATATTTTTACCAAAAACCTTGCGTACATCTCGCCATTTGTATTCTAGTTATCGAAATAATTTTCAGAAAAGCGACCACGAACTTTTATCTTGAACTCGATGGCGATATTAGACTTATATGATATTGCGAATTGATAATCAAGTCATCCCCTAGACGGTTACTTTCGAGACCATATATATTGAGTTTTCGTAAATAGTGGTAGAATACAAGTTTGATGTCCAATCTCACAAGAAAAGAAAATATAATGATACATATACCAAATAAATATATAAATATAGTTTTCTTGCAATTCAAAATTCTGAATATGGGAGATTATCCTACACTTAGTGTATTAAATGTATAATAACATTAAAAAATAAATTTGATATTTATTGGCAAAATGAATATCCGGAGGATATCGTAACGATATACTCCGGGCGGAGGATATCGTGACGATATACTCCGGAAAACCCGATATGCGGAGGATATTGTGACGATATGCTCCGCTTGTTGATTTCCCGCCAAATTGACTCTATTTGGCATAAAATTCATTTTGCAATGATATTATACATTTAGTACACTCCTTGTAAGTGTAGGATAATAAGAACATCCTATGATTTTTTTCAGAATATCATTTTAATCTACTCTGTGATATTGATATATGCACTCGTTCGCTTCGCTCTCTCGTGCAGATATCAATATCACCTCGTAGATAAAAATGATATTCCTCAAAATCATAGGATATCCTATAAATATGCACTATTGTCTCATTTGTGTTTATTTCAGGTACAATATTTCCGTCGACGAAACGCATGTCATAGAAAAGGTTCCAGAACTTATTATGCGAGCTAAAGATGGCATTAAACTATTCGTCACCTCTAGGAAAAGGGTGTAGAATGACAAATGCTGAGCTTGCACATTTTCCATAAACGATATTGAAGCAAAACTATGATGTAAAATATCGTGACAGACATATAGATCACTAAGATCAATGTTAACCAGAAGCGTCAAATCATAATAATAATGTTTTGTAAATATTTTTTATGGAACAATAAACAATTAAAGGGCATCAATATCGCGAATTTGTATGTGTTTTGGAAGTGTGTTGTTAATAATTTATTACATTATAACTAATATTCTTATTATTACTAATAATATGTGATGGATTTAGGCACTTTGTTAACTCACAATGTTTGGGCCAGTTTAGCAAACCACATACATAGTCCGCCCGGACGGAGTTGTTCAATGGTCACTTTTTCTTTAATAACTTTTTTGATTATCAGTATTATCTCTGGTCCATCTTTGTGAATGACTTAGTTACGGAAATAAAAGGTCTTAATAATGGAATTTTGATTAACGATGAATATATTTCAACTCTGCTTTACGCTGACGACATCAACGGAACAGGATTTACAATTAATGTTAGATACAATGTACGTATGGACAACGAAATGGCGTCTATCTGTAAATACAGAGAAAACCCAAGTAACACATTTCAGACGGGCTACACGGTCAAAAACTGATTTTAACTTTAAGTTTGGAAAGTCTAATTTAGTGATAACAAAATCGTATCGTTATCTCGGTCTTATTTTAAACGAGACACTGGACTACACCGAAACTGCAACAACATTAGCTGAATCCAGCGGTCGTGCACTTGGTGGACTTATCAGCAAACATTTTTCCATAAATGGATTAAACTTCAGTACATATACTAAGATATACGACAGTGCAATTACCCCAATCATGGACTATGGATCAGGAGTTTGGGGATATAAGGAATTTAGCAAACCACAGCTAGTACAAAATCGAGCAATGCGAACATTTCTTGGCCTGGGCAAATACGCTCCCCTTCCAGCAATTTACGATGATATGGGATGGATACCGCCTAACACAAGGCACCGATTAGAGATGGTGAGACTCTTTATAAGACTGAGCAAAATGCCTAGAGATAGGCTAAGTAGAAGAATTTTCGACTTTGATTATGAAAATGCTATCTTGGGACACAAATGTTGGTGCAAGGATGTCAGAGAAATATTTATATCTGCTAATTTGCTAAGAGAATATGAAACAAGACACTTTGGAGATAGTTCACTCATCCTCGATTCTGTTAAAACAGCGGAACTACAACGATACATCGAAAAATGGAAATCTTAAGATCTCCAATATGCCAAAACTAAGGACTTATAGGACATTTAAAACATCATTTGGAGCAGAAGATTATGTCAAAAACTGTTTGCCAAGAACATTCAGATCATTGCTTGCAAAAGCAAGATCAGGCGCACTACCATTAATGCTGGAGACTGGAAGATATAGATCCACCCCAGTTGACCAGAGACTTTGCTTACATTGTAAGAATGATAATATATCCATTATTGAGGACGAGTTCCACTTTTTACTAGTATGCCCATCATATAACAACTTACGAGATGACTTATTTTTGTCTGTTAAACGTATTTTACAAAAACAAGAACTTATTATTGATGATGAACTTTTGAAAGATTTATTGCATGATTTTAGATTAGTGCGCCATACTGGAAAATTCCTGAATGCTGCTCTTATCAAAAGAGCAAGCTTTGTTTAATTATCTTATAATATTGTTTTCAAATATATTGTACAATGTGCCCCATAAGCCTAAAATATGCTGGGTATCTATACGAGGCACTTAAATAAATAAATATACATACATACATACATATCAAAATCTGATTACATGCTTGAACATTAGAGTAAAATTCTGACATAGAAAAAAACCACATTAAGGATCATCTCTTAATTTATTGATATAATAGGCATTCATAGTATGAGTAACGCAAACACATAATTCACCATTTTGTCTCATATTTGTTCAAAAATGGCAGCATGTTTTGTGAATTTGAATGCTCATTTGAAAATTATTATTTACGAAATGTCCTAGGCTTACGAAGTCATATTAACTGCTACTTTGGTATGAGGTAATGACTGCATTTTAAAAACCTTGTTTTCATTTTACTTTCATGTACAATACCGCTACATGTACTTAAAAAGGTTTGTAAATTGTATGTACAGTATATTGGGTGGGGTTGCAGGATTTAAAGGTTTTGGTCATTCCATTGTTACCCGCAGTGGATTAGCAACCCTAGTTCGTTTAACCCGTGCAACTATGGGGTCATACTGCCGCAGTCCCAGTCCCATTCCTCTTAGCCCATCCTTGGCATGTATGTGAATTGTTCTTCAGCTTTTCAATGGCCTCTGATATGGCTGTTTGAAGCTCTTGAAAAGACTGAGGACCTACCCAGCTAACAATTTTACGTTGTGATAACGTCGTCAGAATATATGTCTCAAGTTGTAGCAACGTTAAATATGGAACAGGTAGGTGTGTAGGTACAGGAAGGTGTGGACTCGCACAGATGTTTAAAGAACGTTACATTTGACTTAAATATCACGTGTCAGGAACGTAGTAGCGACCTTAACAATTACGTCGCCAAAATAACGAAACTGTAACGTACTTACATTACGTCATATATACGTGGCCAATCTAAATTTCTGGTAACGTTGATATGGAACGTTGTAGGTACAGGAATGTGTGGACTCGCATAGATGTTTAAAGAACGTTACATTTGACTTAAATATCACGTGTCAGGAACGTAGTAGCGACCTAAACAATTACGTCACCAAAATAACGAAAATGTAACGTACTTACATTACGTCATAAATACGTGGCCAATCTAAATTTCTGGTAACGTTGATATGCATGGAACGTTGTAGGTACAGGAAGGTGTGGACTCGCACAGATGTTTAAAGAACGTTACATTTGACTTACATATCACGTGTCAGGAACGTAGTAGCGACCTTAACAATAACGTTGCCAAAATAACGAAACTGTAACGTACTTACATTACGTCATATATACGTGGCCAATCTAAATTTCTGGTAACGTTGATATGGAACGTTGTAGGTACAGGAAGGTGTGGACTCGCATAGATATTTAAAGAACGTTACATTTGACTTAAATATCACGTGTCAGGACGTAGTAGCGACCTTAACAATTACGTCACCAAAATAACGAAAATGTAACATACTTACATTACGTCATAAATACGTGGCCAATCTAAATTTCTGGTAACGTTGATATGGAACGTTGTAGGTACAGGAAGGTGTGGACTCGCACAGATGTTTAAAGAACGTTACATTTGACTTAAATATCACGTGCCAGGAACGTAGAACCAACCTAAACGATGACTTCGCCAAAATAACGAAAATGTAACGTACTTACATTACGTCATAAATACGTGGCCAATCTAAATTTCTGGTAACGTTGATATGGAACGTTGTAGGTACAGGAAGGTGTGGACTCGCACAGATGTTTAAAGAACGTTACATTTGACTTAAATATCACGTGTCAGGAACGTAGTAGCGACCTTAACAATTACGTCGCCAAAATAACGAAACTGTAACGTACTTACATTACGTCATATATACGTGGCCAATCTAAATTTCTGGTAACGTTGATATGGAACGTTGTAGGTACAGGAAGGTGTGGACTCGCACAGATGTTTAAAGAACGTTACATTTGACTTAAATATCACGTGCCAGGAACGTAGAACCAACCTAAACGATGACTTCGCCAAAATAACGAAAATGTAACGTACTCACATTACGTCATAAATACGTGGCCAATCTAAATTTCTGGTAACGTTGATATGGAACGTTGTAGGTACAGGAAGGTGTGGACTCGCACAGATGTTTAAAGAACGTTACATTTGACTTAAATATCACGTGTCAGGAACGTAGTAGCGACCTTAACAATTACGTCGCCAAAATAACGAAACTGTAACGTACTTACATTACGTCATATATACGTGGCCAATCTAAATTTCTGGTAACGTTGATATGGAACGTTGTAGGTACAGGAAGGTGTGGACTCGCATAGATGTTTAAAGAACGTTACATTTGACTTAAATATTACGTGTCAGGAACGTAGTAGCGACCTTAACAATTACGTCACCAAAATAACGAAAATGTAACGTACTCACATTACGTCATATATACGTGGCCAATCTAAATTTCTGGTAACGTTGATATGGAACGTTGTAGGTACAGGAAGGTGTGGACTCGCACAGATGTTTAAAGAACGTTACATTTGACTTAAATATCACGTGCCAGGAACGTGGAACCAACCTAGACGATGACTTCGCCAAAATAACGAAAATGTAACGTACTTACATTACGTCATAAATACGTGGCCAATCTAAATTTCTGATACGTTAATTATGGAACGTTGTAGGTACAGGAAGTTGTGGACTCGCACAGATGTTCAAAGAACGTAACATTTGACTTAAATATCACGTGCCAGGAACGTAGAACCAACCTAAACGATAACTTCGCAAAAATAACGAGACTGTAATGTGCTTATGCAACGTCACATATACGTGGCCAGTTTTAAGTTCTGGTACGTTAATTATGGAACGTTGTAGGTACAGGAAGGTGTGGACTCGCACAGATGTTTAAAGAACGTTACATTTGACTTAAATATTACGTGCCAGGAATGTAGAACCAACCTTAACAATGACTTCGCAAAAATAGTGAAACTGTAATGTGCTTATGCAACGTAACATATACCTGGCCAGTTTAAAGTTCTGGTAACGTTTGTCTTGGACCGATGTAGGCACAGGAAGGTCTGGACTCGCACAGATGTTATACAACGTTACATTTTACTTAAATATCATGTGCTAGGAATGTAGTAGCAACCTTACAATGACTGCAAAAATAAAATAACAGACTGTAACGTGCTAATGCAACGTCACATATACGTGGCCAAGTTAAAGTTCTGGTAACATTAACTATAGAACGTTGTAGGCAAAGGAAAGTGTGGACACGCATAAATGAGTATACAAGTTACGTTCGACTTAGATATCACGAGCCAGGAATGTAGTACCAACCTTAACAACGACTTTGCCAAAATAAAGAGACTGTAACGTGCTTGTCACATACATGGCAAATTCATAACTTCTGGTTACATCAAGTTAGGACAACACATGCAAGGAATGTTCTAGTAACCTTAATTATGCCATCAACAAGATATAGTGATAGT